CCACAGCTGGTAACTGAATTATGATGAGGAAAATGTGTGCTAATAGCAATAGTAATACATAAATATTTTGCTGCAGTCTCAAAGGTATCCAAAGTTTATTTCAGGTTTTTCATTTCCAAACCAATTTTTGGTCAATATTAAGTGAATTGTAATTTCAAGGCAGAAAAACAAAAAAAATTTTGGACGAAGAAATCTGTCTGCTATTGACATTTACTGTCATTTCACACCTCATTTTACTTCATTTCATACTTAAAGTGTTTGAGCTAAGTGATGAGTCCCTTTATTTTTAGGTACCACCAATAAAGATCTAGAACTAGCCTATAAATAGTATGATATGAAACAAGCAACTGTCTTGCCATCAGTACTAGTGACAGCACATTTTTTCACCAATATCAGTACTCTATGGCTAGGGTTGATTCAACTCACTACAATAAAAGACCAGAAAACTGACTTTGAAAATCTAGTTTTGCTTCCCTGAAATTGGATGAGATGCCTTTAAGAAAAAAATCTATAAAGGAAGGGCACACTTGCATCCAAATGCGATCCAGTTCCTTCAATAATTAAGATATTAGTCTCCTCGTTAGGGCCAAATCTGGCGTCCCTTGAAAAATTGATCGGCTATAACTAGAGCTGTGTACCTAAACAAATTTTAGGTACAGGTACAGGTACAGGTACACAGGTTTAGGTACAGGTCCGGACCTGAACCTGTACCTGAACAATTCGACCAATTTATATGCTCTTCTGAACTCCTTCAATAACAAAAAAACATAAATAAACTTGATAGTTAAGGTTTATTCTTTGTTTATGGCGAATGCTCAGATAAAATATAGGCAAAACTAAGATGTTTTTGTTTTCATGAACACACTGTCCTTACACAGGCACCCATTGTTAACCAGCTATTTAAACATTTGAGGTCACAAATAGGCATAAAATTGGTGTGAAATTGTTTAGGTACAGTACCGGTACTGAGGGATTAGGTATTTTGGACCTGTACCTAATCAATTTTTCCGGTACAGTATCGGTACTGCGTACCGGTACACAGCTCTAGCTATAACAATAATTAATGTGTCAAGCTTCTCCAGACTGCCATGAAATTTTTAGAGTCATGCCTGCTGGCATGGGTTCACAGACTAACAAATGTTCAGTCTGGAAAGATGAATCATTCTACTCCTAACACTATTGACTATTGTTTCATGATACAGTGGTACGTACAATAAGAGCATCTTTTGGCAAATCTTTCACAGCAAATTATGCTGCCACAGACGTATAACTCATTTTATCAGAAAAAATGACTCTGTGATGATAATAAAATTTATAATAAGAATAAGTGAATACTAACTTAAGGTCTATAGTATACTGTATCATGTCCCAGCCAAGAAATGATATATAGAGAATGCACCACGAAAATAAAACCAAGCTGCAAAAGTTTTACAGTACAACAACACATATTGTATAGTGTTGTACAGTAATGCCCTTTGCTTTTTTCTACATAGTTAAAAGCCCACAGAACAAGCCATCATTGTAAAAGAGAGGCCCATCTGTTCTAGTAATAAAAGTCGCAGAGAGACGGGGGTAAATATTTGAGAGGAGTGTCTTGTTCTATGTGGCTGAAGGGAGGTGATTTCTGTCAATGTGTGTATGCAGACCACATCTGGTTATGTAGGGAGAAACAACATGGTATACTGGTAGGACAGGTGGCTAAAATACTGACTGAAACACTGAATCATTGATGTTTCACATCACCAGTATAGCCTGGGTGCCAGGCTGTTGCCAGGGCTAGCTCCTGAGCTCCAGGGCTAGCCTGGGTGCCAGACAAAAAATCTCATATTACACTTACAATATGGAATTTTTCACTTTTCAGAAAAATATCAAAACCAAAACAGGGACCAAAACAAAAGGCTACTCGTCTTCCTAGAATGCTTATGATATTTCTTATAACTCAAACCAATTCTTCAGAAGTTCTTTTCATACAAATCACCATAAAATCTCCTTACAATTTTATAGAATTGTAAGATTTTCCAGATGTAAAATTTTTCAAAGGTCAGAAAAGTACAAACAGTACCAAAACAGACTACTCATGCTTCCAGAATGGGGAACATCTCTTATGATTCAATCCAATTTGTAAAGAACTACTGATGAATGTGTGTGGGTCAGAAACTGTCTTTGTGAGACACAAAGGCACAAATGTGATGACATTTACATCCCTGTGTGTCCATCACCCATCACTCACTGTCTTGTCACTCCTCCTGCCCCAGGGCAGAGGTGCTATCTTGTCATCTAGACCCATCCCTGAATGAGTCAGACCCAGCTGAGCTAGTGGTCACAACAGGACATGTTGTATTTTCCAGATGTAAACACACCATTTCCAAGAAGTACAGGTAATACACTGTAATACAGTAATTTTTCCCAGACAGAAGACATGCAAAACAGTGGTACACTGTATATGTAGTACTATAGATACATTTACCTTTCAGTTTTTATTTTGCAGTACAGGGCTCAAAATACTTGGTGAATATGCATATGTGTAATGATAGATAAATCTTATCATTACCACAAACAAGTAATTTGGTGACTTTCTTTCTTCTGTACCAGCCACCACTGTGAAAATTTTGCTACCACGAACATTACTGAATTACAGTATACAAGCAGTTTCTTCCTTCTGTTCAAAATCACACTAAAGCCAAAAAATTTTTACCTGGATGCCAGACCCAGAGCACACTAGACTAGGCCCAAAGTTATCCAGTGTGCAGCACATTGAACAACTTTGAGCCTTTCCAGTGTGCTGTGGGTCTGGCATCAGGGCTAAAAAAATTTGAACAGGTGATGCGAATTTGATTTTGAGATCCACACGTACATGTAACATTACCCTTTGTTGCAATGGTGCCCAAAGTCAAGTACAGGGTGTGTCAAACGTCTAGGTCAGTTACAGAAATAACACAGAGGTCACAAAGGTCATGGCTTATTTTATCAGGGGACTATTCCACACATGGGACCATCATTGCTCAGTCAAGACTGAAGTCTCAATTTGTGTCAAGAGTCAAGACTGAAGTCTTAATTTGCACAAAACCAGTTAGCATTGACCCAATAGGTTGGAACCTAGCTATTATAGTTCTCTGTGTACCACAGAACTGTAGGTAACGAAACTTCATTCAATCAAAAGGTCCTCCCGTGCAGGTGAATGCAGGGCTATCCTTGAAAAACCAAATTGCAGGTTAGTACAGGCAAAATTATAGCTGTGCAAGTACCTGATCAGATGTCTACCTGCACCATTCCATACTTACAAACTTAGTAAGTAGGTATAGCACTACGTATATAGGTGTACTATATGGATTTTTGTGTGCGTATTGACCACCTACAGTTTCAGTGACATGTAAAAGACATATAATACGGCAATGGTTTCTGAACAGTTTCTTGTATGATCCATACTTCCTAAATTCTGAGTGGACTGGTGCAGGTAACATTTGTCTGGTACAAATAATATTTAAGGAGCTTTCTATATTGATACACCAGTGCAGGTATGCAGATAAAAAAGTACCTGGTATTTTGAGCCCTGCAAGGCCAATTGAAATTGATGTTTTCATTGGCCAGCTAAGCCTCCGATACATCAAGGGCAAAGAGCTTATCACAGAGTCAATACCAACACTCTGGCTCGAGTCCAACTCCGAGAATTATTGGGCCAATCACCATCAAGAGGAAAGGGCTTAATTTAGAAGTGTCACTTCGCACTTTGGGTTAATTAGCGCAGTTGCCATCTTAGCGAGGTTCAAAAGTTGACAGGAATCAGTACATTGTCAAATTTGGACATGACGAGGCCAAATGCACCAGACAATGAGTCTACAGTATGATTCGATACAACTTCCTTTTGTTATGTTAGGTTAAGTACTGAGTAAGAATGTAATCAGTTTTCTACTAGCCAGCCTGCAATTGTTTTCTGTCACCTCAATTTTGTTTGACGTAACATCATGTTGGCTTTCGGAGTCATGACAATCCTAGGGAGGTCCAGGAACATGCTCACCCTGGAAAATTTTGAAACCTGGACCCCCTAAAAAACTACTAGTATTTTCTACATTTTGCTAGGCAAATTTTGCTGGTAGACTAAGCTTAGTTTACTGAAATCTCTTTTCAAATCTTTACATGATCATTTTAGTCCATCATGTCATGAACGACAAAATTCTGTCAACAGCAGAACAAAGGATACTGACTAAAACACTGAATGTGTTACTGTAATTTCTGATGTTTTCACTGTCAGTTTTGAACTCTGAACTTTAATAACATTAGTTACCATTATCAAATCATTTGTCTTTTGTCCCTCTCCCTGCACTTGCTGTCACTGTGAAGATTATGTTCATTTTCCACAGACCATGAAATTTTGCTACCACGAATTAAATGGGTTACAGTGTTGTATTCAGTAAGCGTTACTTAACACATACAGTTTACACACTGGTCCTAAGAGCACTAGACAATACAAAGTAAGAGCATAATTGTACCTAAGTGTCGCGCCAACTGGCTATTGACAAATAATAACAATGAAAACAGCAAACTGAATTACAAGTAATCGAAACGGAATACCACGTACTGACAGGGGTATTGTAATCCTTGACAACCGACTTGGCATTGTTTTCAAAACAGGACATGAAAAAGAGGATGCAACAACAGTTAACAGACAATAGTTGGATACAAACATAAACACTAAACAGGATAGAATGCTGAAAGCTGACACTGTACCTGCGTACATGGTAGATGTTTTGAGACCAAAGTTTGACTGTATATTGGATGACATTGGTACAGTTTCTCCTGCTTTGCTAATCAAATATTTTTACAAGTCTAGCAGCTGTAACTTAGTGTAAGGCTGTAAGCTCTGGCCCTTTTTGGAAATCTGTATTGATGGTGTTAGCTTCCTAAAAATGTCCAATCACAATTCAGGTTTCCTTCCGTAATTTCTTTCCCATTTGGAAAGGTTACACATTCACCCACAAAGTGAAAGACATCCTGGCTGCTACCTGTATTGGTTAGACTATAATACTGTATTACATGTACAGCAGGAATATGGTCTAGGATGGCACAAAGTTATTTTCTCAGACTAACAAACTGAGATGGGTGCCGAGAAAACACACAAATAAACAAACAAGCCTACCTGTATTGGTTAGACTATAACACATGTACAGCAGGCATCCTTCTGGTCTGGGAGTTGCACAAAGTTCATTTCTCGGACAACCTCCGCGAACACGTCGTCCACGTTGTGTTTGCTTTTCGCCGACGTCTCCAGAAACGGGACGCCCCAACTCTGCGCCAGGGCCTTCCCCTCTGACGTAGGCACTTCACGTTCGCTCTCCAGGTCGACCTTGTTCCCGACCAATACCAGCGGGACTTTCTCCGTCCCCTTCACTCTTATAATCTGATCTCTGATTGGCTTGATGTCCTGAAACGTTTGGTAGTTAGTAAGGCTGTACACCAATAAAAATCCTTGTCCGTTCTTGATATACAAGTCTCTCATGGACGCGAACTGTTCCGTTCCGGCCGTGTCTAAGATTTCCAGGACAGATGGCGCCCCGTCGACTTCGATCTCCTTCCGGTAGAAGTCCTCGATGGTGGGGTCGTACTTTTCCATGAACTGACCGGTCACGAACTGGACGGTCAGCGCGCTCTTCCCAACTCCTCCGCTGCCCAGCACCACCACTTTATATTCCCTCATCTTAATCATGCAGTCTTCTGTTCACCTGTGTTCACCTGGGTGAGAAATGGACAAGAAACAACAACAAAAGCAAAACATTTAGATAGTCATCAGCAAATCATTTGCATATCAGTAAATTATGGGACGACTTTTATCTCGTCCTGGGTGAGACATGGACAAGAAAGAAGATTAGATATTCGTCACCAAAAAAATTTGCATATCTGTAAATTACAGGATGATTTTGTGTTAATTCTTTCCTGGGTGACAAATGGACAAGAAGAAACAACAAAAGTTCATTTCGTATTCATCACTAAATAATTTTCATATCAGTGAATTACAGGATAATTTTTCTGTTTTCTTGTCCTGAGTGAGAAATGGACAAGAAAATCTGAAAAACAATTAAATAAAAAAATATTAGGCATTCTGTTTCATCACTAAACTTAATTATCTACATACAAGAGATGACTCGTTATTTTTTATTGCATTTTCATTCACTAAGCCGTAACATGCCATCGTGTTTGACTTGAAAATGTGGGTTTTGACGTCAGTTGAATTTTTGTTATGGTATGATGAAACAATGAATTCCCGGGGGACCGAGCCCACTCCGTCGGCCTGGCTGGCGCTAGGCTGTCCCCGGGCTCCAACCATCCGGATGTGGCAGAGACAACCCAGCCCTAAAAACTCTCTAGTTAGCCTGGTGCCCAGTCTATCGTGGTTAGGGCGGCTGTCCTCGGGGCTCAGACGGTTTTCCCCCGTCCAGCTCAACTGGCCGTCCGGTGGGAGTGTTACGCGCTTGGGACTCGGGACGTGCAAAACATACCGCGGGGAAGAGCTCCTGTAGCCCCGAAGAGAATCCGCCCTAACCACGATAGACTGGAAACCAGGCTACCCTTTTTTAGTTACATCTCTGTCCTGGGACGTGCTTGGGCAAAGCACTGAAACTCGACTGTCTCTGGCCTGGCTCTAAGATGGCTTAGTGAGAAAATATTGGGGCTGGTAAAGTAATAAAACGAGTTTAACTGAGAGAAAGCGGATCTCACAACTGTTTTCCAAAATCTGAAGTATTGATTAGAACATGATAGACGACAAACATGCCCCAAAACTCTCTCGAAGCGGACCCCTAAAAAAGTAGCACCATCGCTTACCCGCGTCGTGGAACTTCGCAGGTCAACCGCCGAAAAACGTCGTGGAAATCACCGGTCTCATCGGCCTTGGGCAAAGGTTGGCTCCTGATCGGCAAGGTGTGGTGCGTGGGTCGTCTTTACGGGCGCATTTTTGTCGCAAACTTCAGAAATTCCTCCACAAATTTGCTCTTGACGGAAGCTTCACCCCCATATCGTGGGTGGGACGGCCGCGCTAGGGACTCTGGGAAATATTCGACCTCTAAACTTTCACCTTTCAATAAACTTTGACCTTTCAACTTTATCATCAGCCTTACCACGCATGCGCCAAGTGACGTCGTGTCGATGCTTTCTTCTTCACACTCGATAGTTTCGACTGGAAAAGAACTGAATACTTACTGAATTTTAAGACATTTTTACCAATTTTAAGACGAAGATGCCCCAGAGTAGGTCTTACTCGAGGTCGAGAAGCCGGAGTCCTGTCCGGCGGCGGTCCCGAAGTCCAGTTCACAGGAGTTACAAAGACTCGAAAATCAAGCATGAAAACGACAGGACAGGAAAACATCACAGCAGAGTGGAGAGTGACGACAGGTGAGATAGACGTTTATAAATTTTTGTAGACAGACTTGGTGGTTATTGTGTCCAGGTTAATGATGTTAATAAAATCAAACTACAATTTTTTTGTGTAGTTGTTTTCTACTTCTTGCAACAAGCAACAAATGAATTTGTAACGTATTGTTGTTATACCTCTACGTATTTTTGTCTGACCCTACACGTAAGTTCTTCTAGCTAAGCAGGACCTCAAATTATGAAAAGCGCATAGCTTTCATGAATAAATAAAGAATACAACAAACAACAAATATCTGGCTGAGATACCTTGACAGAGTAGACAATAAAAATGATACCTCCAACAATACTGATTCAGAAATATTTTCCTACAAATGTAACGTTACCTCACTTCAAACATTCTCCTTTGATTCTCTGTCCCCAGAAGCAGATACAGAAGCAGGAGTCCCAAACAGAAGTCCAGGAATGGGGATGTACACGTACACTCCTCAGACAAACACAGGTAAAAACAATCAGGTTGTACCGTAAATGCAAATGATGTAAGAACATTGTATGTGAAGAAATTAGAGATGTCTGACTTCTGGGAAGTGCAGTATTTAAGGATTTTGTGACCTTTCTTCAAATGAAACAATAAAGTGATGGCTCAGTGACCATGTAATTTGTGTGTCTAAAAAATCATTGAAGTTTGATAGGTTAACTACACAAGAATAGATTCTTATCTGCAAACTCAAGCACGTTTCTATGATTTTTTTGTAGAGAATGGGACAGACATCAGACAGGGTCATCACGAGATAATGGTCCACCCCGTCACAGACACACGGACAGGGCCCGCAACCACGGACTGGACGACCAACAGGCAGCCTTCATGGAGAGGTATGGCTACAGACATGTGTACTAGTACAAACAACTTTGTCAGTGGCTCCTCCTAGTGACGGATTTTTAAACTGCAGTCATAAGCTCTTTAGCCAGAGTAGATACATGTAACAAAAATTTCATATATTTTGTTTAGCACTGACAACTTCTTTATCATTGTTAAGCTCCTCCTAGTGATAGGTTTATGAACTGCAGTCTGTAACTCTTACCTGCTGATGTATGTTCTTGTACCCGTTGCCTAGGAGACGAGAAGAGCGGGAGAGAATCGGCATGATGGGAGCTCCTGAGATCTGGGGAAGATCTCCCGACCATCCAGACCCCGAGTAAGTTACACCATGGCTCACTGAAAATGGTTATCGGAGATATCATTATCAGAGTCAGATTTCTTGAAGTATTAGAGGGACTCTTGTGTAATTTATGGCTTCCTGAATCCCCCATGTCACCCTCTAATTCCTGCTGGCTCCACCCCAAAGCTATCCTATTATTTCTGAAGGCTTTAACTATTTATATTAGTAAATCAAGTTCCCTCTAAACAATAGTGTAGATAATGTCGTTTGTTTGATGCAGGTTGTAATAACAATGGAACTTTTTTGTCTTACACTGCAGTTCTGATGCACACTCTCCACAAGAAGACAGTGAGAATAGCAGCAGTAGTGGGAATGATTCAGAAGGTATGATACCATATACATTCTTAGATACATATAAACTTACATCCATAAACTATCAGGCTGTTTGTTATACTGTTAATGGTGAGAATTTTGCAGCTACATGTATATTATTTTCCTAAATATGTCTTTCTATTCTACACACATATACTTTTATACAAATTGTTTAGTTTTTCTCTATGTACATTATTTCTATTTCTATAAAACAGCCACTATTTGTTAACATTCCAGACAAAAAGAAGAAGAAGAAAAAGAAGAGTAAGAAGAGAAAGTCTAAGAAGAGGAAGAAGCGCAGAAGTTCAGACAGTTCTGATGACTCGGATGACAGTAGTGATGACAGCCCAGACTCAGAAGGTGGGCTGTCTTGTCCTGGTTTTTAATTATAAGGTTTTATTCAAGTTATACTTGACTTAAGTCTGACAGAAGTTCATTTTCTTCATAGATGTTAGTTAACACTACATATTCTTTCCCCCCAGAAGAAGCCAAAAAGAAGAAATCAAAGAAGAGAAAACACAAGAAGAAAAGGTAAGCTACAGTCTTGTATTCCTGGCATTCTTGGCTACACATTGTGTGCTTGTGTCCATTTTACACGACTTTCCTGACTCCACCTACATTGTAGGTGTAAAATGGGTACCTGCCTTTGGTTGGGGAGGTAAAAGGCAGTGTAAGGAGAGGGAGGGATGGGCTCTGCCTTCAAATACTGTGCCTTGATAGACACAGTGAATTGACAACCCACTGCCCCTATGTCCTCACAGATTGTATGTAAATGTACTTACCTTTACATTTCGTATCTTACACAGTAAAAAGGCCAAGAAGATGAAGATGAAGAAGAAGAAGCAAGTAAGCAGCAGCAGCAGTGATTCTGACTCGGACTCTGAGGAGGAGGTCACCTATGTTGAAAGGAAAAGTGAGTACTGTACAAGGATGTATCTGTATCTGTATAGCCGGTATAACCGCCCTTCAGCATAACACCAGCTTCACAGGCACGTGGCATGGCGGCAGCTAGCTATCACACTGAACGAACTGTTAACACACCCAATCTTTGCACATTAAATTACAGGACTTTTTTAAATAAAAGCTTTCTGGTGATGATGCCCCAACTATACTAAATGAGAACAACTAGAGTGCCATCACCTCATACCTTTGCCAAATAATGTCTTTAAGCATTATGACTTTATGCGTATGTTATAAAATGTTTTTCACTAATTACGCAAATAATAGCCTTATTTTTATGAATTTTAAGAGTTGATCATGTTCTCCACCCAATGATATTCTTAAACCACATACACGTACATGTACATATCCACATACAAATGCCACTATCAACATAAAATTCTAGGCAATGATATTGGGGACTACATGAAAACACATGGTGACACCTGTCAATATTTAAATGACACTAACTGCTGTTCTACATTTCTGTCCAGGAACATTGAGTAATGAGATGATAGGACCAGACCCTCTGACATCAGGCGGTGCCAGTGGAGGTCTGACTAAGTAAGTCAAGTACAGAGTTGAAGCTACTGTACATCATTTTTTGTCGTGTTTCCTTTTTGTAATTTTTTTTTCAGTGACCTCTCAACTACAACTTCATGACAACATGCAAATATGTCTTCTTTGTGTGACTACTGCACTATAGAATTTTTTGAAATGTAAATTTTGAATATTTTGAACACAACATTTTTTGAGCTCATCATTATGTGAGACTGGTGAGTGACCCTTGACCCTGTTTCCATAGTTACGGCCACGCCCTGCTGCCGGGTGAGGGTGCGGCCATGGCTGCGTTTGTACAGGAAGGGAAGAGGATCCCGCGCCGTGGTGAGATTGGTCTGACGTCAGATGAGATCCAGACGTTTGAAGATTCCGGTTATGTCATGAGCGGCAGCAGGTGGGTCAACCTCTGGGTCATCTTATTTCTTGCTGTAAAGTTGATAACTCTTTTGATAAGAGTAAGATGCTTTACCTATAATGCTATTGAGAACACATTGCAAGCCCAAAATTATGTCACTTTTTTCCACCTTTTTCTATATTGTATCTTCAAGACCTACCCACATACCAAATATCAAGGCAATCCATACAAGCCTTCATGAGTTATGGTGTTGATACAATGCTACAGAAAACATTACCTTCTTGGCAAAGGTATTAAGAGATGTAAGAATATGTAAAATTGCCTTAAATGAACCAATCACCACCAGTTATTTTAACTACGCACCTCTCCCCCACCAGACATCGGCGTATGGAGGCCGTCCGTCTGCGGAAGGAGAACCAGATCTACAACGCTGACGAGAAACGGGCGCTCGCCAACTTCAACCAGGAGGAGCGCTCCAAACGGGAAAACAAGATCATGGGAAGCTTCCGCGAGCTCATCTACAACAAGACTAAGAACAAGAAGTGAACTGATGCATTCAGTTTGTTAGACTTGATTTGAACTGTAAGGTTCGAAATACCACCTACATGTATATATGCTCACTCATCCATAATATATATGCAGGTCAGGTGAAATTGGAGCTGTGCAGGTACAGGTATTTCTGTTGTCTACCTGCACCTAACTAGCTTTGTACTGAGTTTATGATTATGCGTACTTGTACTGAAGTTGTAGGTGAATTTTTCTCTGCTGCATTGACTGCTACCACCTACAAAACAAATAATACAATGTAGCAATGGTTTCTGAGCAGTTTTAGTATGATCAGTACTTGCTAAGTTCCAAGTTGCTAAGTCTAATTTTAACCACCACAATGTATGCACAAAAAAGTATTTCGAGCCCTGCACTGACAATGCCACCTGAACTGCTTTTGCATTTGTCTACAATCCTCTGGTGATATTCCATGGCAGACTTTCTATGAAAATATATTAATTACATTTGTATATTCTATCAGCTGTGACAGTCATAATCTGAATGTGCTGGATGAAAATAAGAGGACAGAATGTTTGATTCATTGACATGTAAAATAATGTAAATTTGACTACTAGTATCCCAGATCCCTTCAGCCAGGTCACTTCTTGTACAATCTGTGTCATTAAGTCTCAAAAGACTATGACTTGACTCTACAACAACAGAATGGTGCAGTTCCTTTTTCTCTTGTTCTTGTACAGGTCAGCTAGGTTAATCCATCTTCTGATAAATATCTCAAGTTTAAGCAGTTCTTACTATTGTGCGAGTACTGTAATATACGGATTGGGAATTTGATTATGTATTTGTAGCTATCATTCCATACTTTCGACTATCTTTCTTCAAATTAACACGTTCCTATTTGTGGCAAAAATGTACTGGTAATTTCCTTGTTTTTCACAGAAGGTATACTACATATTGTACAGTCAGAACTGTCCAAAAGACCACTCGGGACCAACAAAATCTGGTCTATTTGAACAAGTGGTCACCATAGACAGGATTCTTGTGAGAATGGGAAAATTATAAACCAAAAAGTGGTCACATTGGCCAAGTGGTCCTTATGTACATGCAGAGGTGGTCACTTCTATAGCTTTGATTCCACAATGTATATTGTTATCACTTACATGTAACCCTGCTTTTTTAAATGTTGAACATGTATAGAAAAATGCACGTTACACAAGAACATGAACAGAGACAGTTCATATTTACCTAAGTGCATATATCAGCTCTCCAGTATGTATTTCTGTAATAAAGTTCACACATTTTTTATCTTATCATTGCAGCAGTAACTTTTTATTTCAACACCAAGAAGTATTTTGATGCCAGGTATTTGTCTTTTCAACAACTGTCATTTGCTAAAATCTTAAATGACTGGTGTCTGTATAACAGTTTTGCAATACATTGAGAAGATTTAAACGAGGGCTTGGATTGGAGTCTGTAACCCCACGGAATGAATAAATAGTGCTAAAACTGAACAAAACATTTGTATCCTAAACATTTGGATGAAAACTGGTTTATGTATTATCATAGGAATGATGACATCACACAAATTGTGAACACGACACATTGCACTAACAGACAGGTCTTACAAAAACAAGAAGTTGAATTGAGAAAGCCAGTCATCTCGGAAAATTTAACACAAGTTTATATGGGTATACAACTTTGTTTTGCAGCTTGCTTGCTTTGGCTGCTATGACCTTTTCATCTGAAGTTCTAAAATGCCGGTTTACAACTGACTCACATACAGTGTCAACAACAACAAACTCCCTAACCAATGAATAGCATTTTCGATAACTCTGAAAATCTCTCACATATTTTTTGGCCCTTTTTAACAAATATTTTCAACCATTTTGTTCTTAAATAATGTGAGTAAATGTTCTTCATTTACAGTAGAATAGTGCACATTATCACACATAAAATGAATGACATGATTGTTCCCTGTCATCAAATCTCAGACCTCACAATATAATAAGTTTATACAATATTCCATGCAACTCTTTAAAAGTGTAATCAGGTCCTTGGGTAGTGGTCGCATTTCAAATAAGGCACATTTACAACATTACTTCACAAACATTAAGAATAACTTACAAAATGCACTAAGCTCTACTACACAATATATTTCTAATATACTGAGGTCACATGCTACTAGTATGTTTACAACATATATAAGAGGTAGAGCATCACAAAATGTCACATTCTACAAGACCTAGACACATTTATTAAAGGCATCCAAACGCAATTTCAGACTGGCAATACAAAAAATGTTTTGGATGAGGAAATCTGTCTGGTATTGACATTTTCTTCAATCTATATCTTAGCACATTTTATTTTACATAGTACTTGAAGCATTTGAAATAGCCCCCACACAAGCTATGTGAGGAGTCCCTTCAATTTTTGATACCACCAATAAATAGCTAGAACAAACCACTTTCAGTGATATTACATTTTTGCCTGACAGATATAAATATGCTATGGTATAGGGTTGATTTCACTTGCATGACTACGTTTAAAAAATGACCAGAAAATTGACTTTGAAAATCCATTTTTACTGCCCTGATATCACTTTGAGTGCCTTTAAGAAGTAAGGAACATTAAGCTAAAAGGATTTCAAGATCTTTCACTGCACTTTTGAACAAATAATAATCAAAGAATCTGCATATAATGACACTGTACTTATACATAAGGTACTGGCTACTGACAAAGCTCTTACATTTAGTATTGTCTGACAAAATAGACCAGCTTGTTTCAAAAGAGTATTGCACATTAACAATGGCGTTATCCAAAATGATGTAATTCTCCACACAGACTGATACATTCTATGCAACATTAAACTGTTCCCTAATATACAGCTATTGGAATAGAATTCTAAAACATTATCCCTATATACATGTATGCCTTGCAAAGTTACACCATCAACTTTCCAAGAAATCAGGGATTTCAGACTTCCAGGACGTGTTTCAAGTTTTTGTGAATGTATTGAAACTGTGGAGATGGTGGTACAATGTAATTTCACTGGATTTTACACCACTGAATTCCTACACATACTGTACTGTGGCCAACATGTCAGCAAAACGTACTAGGCCTGTGCTAAACCCTGATTTTTCATGATTTTCACTGGATGTTTGGCCAACGTTGCATCAGAATTGTGCCTGTTGCAGACGGTATCTTTATCAACATAACACTTGGAAACGAATAAGACCTTATATGAGACTTTCTACTGAAGTGCTATGCACAATACATTATGGTTTTCATGCAGGTCCAGTACATTCTGCCAATGACTTCATGTGGCCTGGCATTCTCCTGTAATGTAGCCTGATGCAATGTTTGGAACCCAAACATACAAACTCCTCCTACATCAGCACCACCCAAAACAATACTTCCCGGAAGAAATTATCTAGTATGTAGTCAAAGAGCTGGTTGTTTCTGACCCCACATGGCTACATTATGTTCTACACACTCCTGTTCCGCCTATGCGGCTGTTTCGTATATGGAGTCTACGATGTCATAGCCGACAGCAAAGGTGAAGTAGAGCGCCACCAGCCAGTGGAGGTGGTACAGCAGCCAGGGAGTCTCCAGCGGAATGTCCAGGGTGCTGGAACACAGAACACAGGCACAGAAGATCAAGTTTAGACTTTGATGTAGGGGGAGGACCTGAGTAAGTATTAATAAATTTCTTTGACAAAAAAGGAAATGTACACTTAGGATACATTTGGATCCATTCCATCTACATATAGGGTTTGAAATACTTGCAAACAATAATGACTAAACGAGTAACTAGAATATATATATTTTTTCCAAACGACCTACATGTACCGGTATATACCAACTCAGGGAGCTTTGTGAGCAAATATTGCATCTCTAGAATTCCTTCAATCTGGTATAGCTACCAAACAGAATAGATTATGGTCCATAATCAAGTCAGTTTGGTCTAACTTGTACATATTGACACAAAAACAGTCCCAGTATTTTCCTCGTGTTAAAACCCTACCTGAATGTTCCAGTTCTAGCGTTGCGCACCATGAGGAAGATGAAGATTCCACACTCCAGGTTGATGAAGAGTGACGTTCCTCGGTCCAGGATCTCTACAAAACCCTGGGGAAAAACAAACAGAAGTGTAAAAATGTACATCTTCAAAATATGAATAAATTTTGCAAAATCTCTAAATCTGTTCAACATCTTATGGATGCTGTTGGGAAAATTGGGAGATACTTATTCTTACCTTTGGGTCTAACATTGCCACAGTGAAGACAATGGCAAATATGAAGAGGGAGATCAGAGACTGGCAGATACTGAAAAACACACAATTTAAAGTTTAATGCATTATGTTATACGTGTAGATGAACAAAATGTCAGAAAAATAGTCTCATGTATCTGGATGGTACATTATGTTAGCACACTTTATGTACATTGTTGAATGTATTTTATATTGTGAGTGGTGCAGGTAAAACTTGTCTGGTGTAGGTAATTTTCAATGCTACCTGCTGTGCAGGTATGCAGACAAAAAGGATTTCGAGATACAGATGAGATGTACATAGCTACATGTACATCTCAGAGTATACAGTTTGTTATTCCTTACCATTTGGGCGTGCAGCATTTGCAGATCCCCTCAAAGATGGGAGCATATCTGCAGAACCCAGGCTCATTCCAGGAACCCTCCACCCAGCCAACAACTGGGAGGGGAAAGATGGAGTAACAAATCATTAAGCCTGAGGCCTGTATAAGTGGAAAAATTAATTATGGACAATAGTCTTAGTTACATCTTCAATATATTCTGTTTCTGTATCTAGATCTGTATTAGCCGGTATAACTCCCGCCTTTGGCTTCACCCACCAGGTTCATACGGTTAGGATTATCTTACACCGAACAAATTGTTGAACCATTTGCAGATCTAATATACTAAGACTTCCAAATTCATCCTTGAAGAAGTATACAAAATTGAGAAAAACATATGACTATGAGCAATCTGGAGTTACAATATAAAAAAATTACATGAGAATGCAAAGGCCTTTAACCTTTAAATCTCTGACCTGTATGGTGCATGGCTGACCCCAGGGTGAGGTAAGACACAGTAATACTGACCTGTATGGTGCATGGCTGACCCCAGGGTGAGGTAAGACAGTAATACTGACCTGTATGGTGCATGGCTGACCCCAGGGTGAGGTAAGACACAGTAATACTGACCTGTATGGTGCATGGCTGACCCTAGGGTGAGGTAAGACACAGTAATACTGACCTGTATGGTGCATGGCTGACCCCAGGGTCAGGTAAGACACAGTAATACTGACCTGTATGGTGCATGGCTGACCCCAGGGTCAGGTAAGACACAGTAATACTGATCATGATGAATAACTGCACCAGGATGGCTACCCATGAGAACTCAGGGTGCATGGTCTGGATTATCTGCCAACAAAATATAGAAAAGTTTATTTGCATGTTTGTGCCTGAAGGCTAATTGGAACTTGTACTGCAAGTATGTGGACATGGGAAGCATACATGTGGTAGAGACATATAGCAGTACTCACCTCTGTAAGAGGGAGGGTTGCAATTTCTCCATTGTCTGCAGATCTGTAGAAGCAATGAAATATAATGATGACTGTGTGTAATACCTGATTACACAATCCCTTCCATTGGTTAAAAACATTCATCAAAACCCAAAAACACTTCCTAGAGGTCTGAAATCTCTGATTTCTCATCACAGAAATAGTAAAACTCAAACAAAGCATAGGTCCATACAAATACCTCCTAACTGCAGTAAAGAAACAGAAACTGATGTGGTATGAACCATGTGTCACGGTCATAAAAACTTGCCAAATCCATTATGCAAGGAACAATGTAATTAAGACAGAATGACAGGTGATGGAAAAGATTAAGGATAATATTAGAGAATGGACAGGCAAAACACTTTCAATAAAACTTAACAAAGATACAGAAAAATGAGGAGAAAACTATTTGTCTTTTGTGGTGGCCCAACGGTTGAATAATTACACTAAGAGATAGACGATATGAGATATTTCATACTGTCCACTCCTTCTCCTTCCTGTTTAGGTCTCCTCACCTCTGTAGTGACAGGTTGTGTGCACAGGCTGGGCTGACAGGAGGACTGGTTGATACAGTGGTGACGACACTCGCTGGGGTAACTACAGTTGGGGAGTCTGTGGCGTTCCCTACAACAGACATGGGACTGCAGGGCAGCTGGGGGACAATGTGGAGAACTGCCCAGCACCTTAAAGGGAGGAAACATCTTCAGTGAATTCAAAGAGGTTGATGGGGAACAATGTGGAGAACTGGCTAGCACCTTAAAAGGAGGAAAGATCTTCAATGAATTCAAAGAGGTTCATGGGGAACAATGTGGAGAACTGGCCAGCACCTTAAAGGGAGGAAACATCTTTACTAGAGACCAAAAGAAATGTCTGAAAGTCTTAAAAACATGTCCAGTTGCTTGAGTAACAGTTTTCATGTGTATAGCTGAGTTGACTTGACGATTGCCCAGTCATCCATGTTTCAGCACCAAGGACAAAACTCACTTGTATGCTACATTTTCATGTATACAATTTGAAGAATACAACTTTTACTGGAGACCAAAGGAAATATCTGAAAGTCTTACAAACATGTCCAGTTGCTTGAGTAACAGTTTTCATGTGTAAAGCTGAGTTGACTTGACAACTGCCCAGTCATCCACATTTCAGCACCAAGGACAAAACTCAGTTGTATGTTATATCTTCCTGTACTCAGCTGTTTTACCACTGATCAGAAATAACTGTTTTTTATCATTAATACTGTGAAAATTGTGTTTCAACCCACCAGAGGATGTTGAGAACAGTACAGGTGGAAATCCCGGCTACCACAGCTCCACGAAAGTGCTTCACCTGGCAGAAGGAAAGGTACCACAGTACTACAGCAGTCTCATGGCATGATAAAGGCACCAAAGTACAGTACAACAGTGATTCCTACATCAGTGGTCAAAATACTTTTTTCTGTGCTCTGCAATAGTGCAGAAGAGTCAAAATTTTGTTCTGCAATTTGGAAATACTTTCTGCAAATACACAAGCCTCTATACTACAACATACTCTAACCGATAATGTCTTGTTTTACATCATATATAACTGTTAGCTTTGTAAATTTCTTGCATTACTGGACTGCAGGAGAATTTTAGGTTTATAACATGAACTATTGATTGATATGCAAATTAGTGAAGACAATTTTTTGGACGTCCAAAAGGAAACAAAAGATAAACAAGTCAAGACAATGATAATGCAAATTAGTGAAGAAGCTCCTGTTGTTGTTGGAGCTTAAGTGTTGTCTGTTCTTGGGGCCTGAGAGTTCTAGTTTGCTAAATTGAAAACTATGGAACCTATTTTTCCTTCTGCAAAATTGCAGATTGTATAAATTTTTCTTCTGCAATCTTGAACATCTATCTGCAGATTGCAGACTGCAGACAGGTATTTCGAACACTGTACATTAAAACAGCAGTCAAGAATCTACAGCGTAGTTTCCCATGGCTTTAACTAAAAATATAGACCTAGAAGCAATCCCATGGGAGATTCCGATATTCAGCTTTTACACAGTACTTTCGAATTTCATGTTGTTTGATTTGCAAGCGCACTAAGCCATTAGAATGCACTAAGCAAAAAAGGCTGACATTGAGGCTTGTCACTTGCTACAAAAACTCTTCCTAGTCTTTGTCCTGAACTGACCTGAGCAGTAACTGGTGATATCTTCTGATACAGCATGGGCATCACATTCACAACTCCTCCTGTACACAAAACATCATAGTTATCACAACAAAGGTGGCGTGGTCTTGTGGTCAGAGTTGTTTAGAATCTAAAGGTTTTGGGTTCGAATCCTGAGCAGACACCAATGCTGTGTTCTTATAAAAGAAAGCCACACCGGTATATTAAAAATCAGGTCTTACATGGTTTGTACTTATTTACAAAACATACATACAACAAATAAAGAAAAATTACAGTGTACCTAGTGCCACTGTGCCCATGAGGAAGGGAGCTCCTATGTAGTGGAAGTCATTACTGATGCCCTGGGACACCTCAGCTCCAACAAAGAACGTCACCACCACCTGCAGGTAAAGTAAAGTTGATGAACTATATCATTATGTGGCATTGGATGGCCAATTGTTAGGCTAGCGGACATGACATGGAGAGGTTGTGGGTTTCATACTTGGCATTCCTGGCTACATGTAGGTGTTGTGTCCTTGGGAAATGCACTTGACACGACGTTCCTCACTCCAGTCAACACTGGTGTAAAATGGGGAGGTAAAAGGCAGTAGAAAGAGAGGGATGGGCTCTGCCTTCCAATACTGTGTGCCAGACAGTGGATTACCAACAAACTGCCCTATGGCCTGAAAAAATGCTACAGGTCTACCTTTACCTTCAATTAATACTATTAAGATGAGCCACAAATATAACTTCTACCTTTGCAATTCCTGTCCAAAGGTGATTCCTAGGTCTCAGAACAATTGTTATATTGAAGCCAAGGTTTTTTCCAAACTGACTTCCCCTTCCCATACCTATGGTAGCATCATGACCCCCCTCCCCATATATCTACTGTTACAGTAGCACTATGAACCTCCCTCCCCATATATGTACTGTTACAGTAGCATTATGAACCTCCCTCCCCATATTGTACATGTACCTACTGTGGCTATGAGCAGACTGCCCTTGACCAGTGTGAAGAGAGAGATGACAGGCTGCATCAGGGTTTGGGTGAACACGATGGCAAATGTCAGGATCCACACAAACCCTGGGATCACGTAGAAATGTCTGAAATAGAACAAAAAACATCTTAAGTGAAAAGGTATAAAAGTCCTGGCCTGACTAATCACGCTTTTAGCAATCCTTCCACCACCCCTAGAAGCTTGATGGCCAACATCTATGTCAGGAAAGTCGGGATTCATCTTAAACCCAGTTGATCTGTGCATTCGAAGGTGCAAACATTGACCTATCATTGCCATATTGACAACTGTTTGTTACCATAAAGAGAATCCTGAGCTCTTATTGGACTGATTTTCATAGTTACTGTGATAGACAAGCCTCTGAGTCAATGGCCCTTAACATTTGTGACTATTGACATTATTTTGAGTAATTTCAGCAGATATTTGTGGCATAATTCCTCCAAACAAGTATAACATCTTTTATGTATAATACATGTTATTACATGTAAATACTCACGGGACTCCAAACATCTGAGCATAGGCCTCACTTCCAGCCAGGGCATAGCTGATCAGGATTGAGATACTGTGGATAAGAGGGACTCAGTCAGTATACATATGGGGTACATGCAAATATATCAATTGAAAACTCTAGACATATTTTACAATATAATTTTTTTCTTGAATTTGTCGTGTCTAGGCATTTATTTTTGATTAAATATTTTCGTCAAAATTAAAAACAATAATGCATGACATGGATTGCTGAACACTGAAGTAGTTATCTTGATACATTTACAATTTACATTTTATACTCTAACATGCTAAAATAGGAACAATCTCACACAACAAGATGATTGATGAAAAAAAAGACAAACATTTTCTAATCAATGGAGAACAATTTTAATTCCACTTAGAAATGATTCTACATTTCCAGTAGACACTTTCCACTAATCTGCAAGTAAACACTGAGTGACCAAAAATGGATGTGGATTTTTATTTCATGATTGGAATATGGTGCATAATGTAGGAGTATGATTTGAAATACTACAGGACATGAAAAACATTTTCAGAAATGTATTTTTTTATCTGCAAAAGTTGTTGAACGATATGTCAAATTTTTGGTGGCTTAGTGCGGTGTAAGAAAATTTTAATTCTGCCGATGTTATGAGAAGACTGTTCCTAGTTATGCTTAATTTCACATGGATAAGGGCAAGGCAAACAATTATGCAATGCATTATACACAAAATAAAATACAGAAACAATGCTGGACACCACTGCAACCAAAGCAAACAATGAAGAAATAAGAGTAACTGGAAATTAGGAAAAGAAGATTTTGAAAGGGGAAAAGTCCTTGTAGCCAGCATGCCAGTCCCAAAATCAACTGCAGTATTAAAAACAAAGGAAGTTTATAATAAGAAGAATAAGATTGAGATAAACTACCGAATATCCTGGTTATCCAAGGAAGTCAAACTCATAACAATGTTGACAAGAAAAGGAGATTTCAGACTTTTGGGAAGTATTTTGGGTTTTTGTGATCTTTTGGTTCACAGGCCTCCAGGAAGTGTTTTGGCAACTGAGGAACCTGGGATTGTATGGTGTAGATGTAATTTAATCGAGTCACTTCCTGAATGCACCTGCAGGTCACCTTCAGACGACTACCTACATTTGTATCAATCAATTGTCAAAATCACCTCCCACCCACCCAATGAAGGCCAGCAATTTGGACAGAAAGAGCAAGGGAGAAAATTTGGATCCTCAACGTCATCTAGTCTTATCATTATGTATAGATGGAAAAATGATGAGAAAAAAAGAAGATTATGAAACGTAGAACAAAACCTTGGCACCAGAAGGGAGACCTCTAGCTAGAGTTGAAACGTACAAGTGTAAGAAGACGATAATGTCAAATGCTTGCTGCACGCCACAGGACAGGAACATGGTGCCCAGCATGTGCAGGTCAGGTGACCTGATCTCCGACCGCTTGGGCAGGATCACATGACCTGCCAGCATGCCATCTGCTGCAAAAAGAGAAAAGGTCAGGGTTCAATCTGGGGTCGTAACCTTTGACATCTACAAAGCTCAATCAATACTTCACCTTTTCTGCTGGTGTCAAAGATCTTTCAGATCAATGCCATTAGATCATCCCTGATCAATGATCATTTTGATGTCATTGAATAAGGCCACACTGACTTGATATAGATGACATCAATGCGTGCATCAATTTATCAAATTTAAAGAAAAAGTTTGCAAACATACTGTGAATGCTACTGTAACAATGTGTATTGTTAGTTTTATTAAGCCGGTTCTATCCCCTCCCTTGGGCGGAGCCGCGGTCACCTGTTCGAACACGTGCCAGCGCACGTGCCAGCGTCGTGTTCGAACAGGTGATCTATACCGGTACCGTTCGAGGGAAGGGGCTCTAGAACCGGCCGGTTGCAGATTGAATAAACCAGTTGAGTTTAAGCGTTCACCGTGACTGGTTGTCTATCTTTACACTACAAAGTAGCTGTAAAAGGAGGAAATATATGCTGTGAAATAAAATCAAATATTGGAGGATGGTAACAAGTGGCATAAAATACCTTGTTCTTTGTGTCAAGTCATTTGTTCAACTTTCCTGACCAATTAGAGTTCATAAATAAACAAAGGTAACTTTTTGTTTGCCCAACTTTTTTTGTTGGTAGTGTCAGTTTTGGGGTGTCATCCATATAATCAAATCAATATGGCCATACATCAAATCAATATAATCTGCAATGGGGTTACAGTCTGTTGATGACTGTTGGGATAAGGTTAATTTGGTTAAGTTTGAATACAGGTGTCAAGTGTCCATAGCAACAGTGCCTGAAAAAAAAACAAGCGTAATTTTCTGTCAGTTTGCAGACGACACACACCATATACACTTACAAGTTGAGAAAGACAACAATATCAAACATCTGTCTGGTCCCACATGGCAGGAATAGCTCTCCCAGCAAGTGCAGGTTTGGCAGTCTTATAGCTGATTGGCCGGGAAGGATCACATGACCTGCCACTAGCATGCCGTCTAGTAAATGGTAACAGAACATCAAACAGAAAAAGTAACAGAAGAAAACAAACAGTCCTATAGCTGAGCAAAATAATTTTACTGCCAGGAAAAAAGAAGAAGCAACACCTAAAGATATTATAACTAAGGCTCATTGGCTGGGAGTATCACATGAGCATGTCTAGTAAATGGTAACAGAATATCAAAGAAACAGTTACAGATGAAAAGTGCCTAGTAACTGAGCAAAATGACAAAGCTTTCAGGACAGAAAAAAAGCAAGCTAATAAGATGGAATAACCATCGTTGTACTACATGTAATTTCATAAATTAATTACGCTGCTATGCAAATATTAAGTAAACAGTTATGGCATGGTCACATTGGTCGTTGGCCATCATACAATTTTGATGCCGTTGAATTTTCAAGCAGTGGGTGACAGAACCAACTGCAAACAAGGTTCTAAGTCTGACTCAGCCTTTTGTGTATTTCCGGTATACTAGCTGAATTTTGCAGGACACATGCATGACTATCCAAAGAATTCCCTCAGTTTGTGATTGTTCGGCTATCACAAAACATGTGTGACCAAGCCCTAACCGAAAACCTGTTCTATTTTTGCCAGCTTTGTGATCCTAGATCATTATAGGTTTCTTTGTTTGGCTTAAGCTGCAACTGTATTTTACAAATTGCACACTGCTCTGTGTTATTGGGCAAATTTTGCTAACTGCTTAGAATTGTTTCAAAATTGTTTTACCTGTTTCAGCTACATGTGGCATTTGGATGAAAAGGGAAGAAGAAATTTTAAAAATTGTAAACTAGATCTGGCGCATAGCCATGTTAGATAAAAGAGTACAATTAATGTTATAGATAAATGTTAAAATGGTCAATATAAAGTTGTAATGTGCAATTTGTTACACATTAGAAGCATACTCTTTAAGTTTAACTTAAACTTAAAGATGCAGAAAATGCAAGAAGGTATAATGTAGAGTTAGTACTGCCATATATGTTACTCTTTTTTATTTGTTAGCCAATGAGACAAGAAATTTTAAGATCATTGTTCTGTTAAATTGTGATATTTACATTTTAGTAAGTCATAGAATAAATGTGTCACTAAGGAAACATTCTTCTATTCTAATTAAAGTGATTATAGTAAAAGTCAAAGTAGATTAGAGGGAAAAGTAGATGTGGAAAGTGATAGTTCAGAGGTCAATAATTGTTAAAGAGAGAAAATGGATTTATCAATGAAGGGTGAATACTGATCTTACTTGTTTCCTTTTCATCAGCCTCATCCTCCTCCTCCTGAAGTGGGATGTGCTCATGGCTCAACGTCGCCCCCTACAGGCGACAAAGAGAATGACAACATCTTCAGATCAACCTCATTGATGCTTCAAATACTCAGGATTTAGATGTGCGACTGTGCAGATGGACGGGAAACTAATAAAGTTTCAGCTAATAAAAATAACCATGAAAATTTCAACATCTTCTTCTTTTTAGTATTGATTCTTCTAGAGCAGCTTGCAGACAACAGCCCAAAGCAGAAATGTACTGTAAAATGAATTCACTTTGCAGTGAATTTATTTTACAGTAAGAGGGAAATGGAGGTACTATTTGCAGTTGCAACAATTCTGTACTACAGCTGAACAGTAAATTATTTAAAAAAAAAAACATATTGGCATTGCAACGATTCCGCTGTACACACACATAACAGTTCAACACAAAACGCAAGAAATAAAACAATTGCAAAAGTTTCTGAATTAACAGTAACTGTCACGGTGATAGTTGCTTTTTTTGCCTGAAGTAGACCTGTCTGTAACAGCTGCATGTTTGAACAATATGATCATGACATTACAGAGAACTTTATTGACACAACAAAAGTACACATTACAGGCATTAATAATAGTCCTGAATAGCTCAGAAATAACATATCAAAAGCAAGTCAGCAAAAAGAGAAAGGTTTCAACTACTTTCCACCACCTCTACATTTAAGCAACATTATGCAACAGAAGGATAATACAAAAAGTCAATTTGAATATATTTTGTTCAATGAACCAGACCTATTATGTACTGCCATTCAGGGAGTGAAAGTACAAAAATATTACACTGCACAAGTGTCATTGAAATCTGGAAATGTGTAAATCTTCTAATCTATGTGTGTAATTTTAGTGGTGTCACAAAATCAGGATGTGGACTTTTGCACTCACTAAAAAATTTTAAGATAAAGGATGTCAGAAATATGACAGAACAAAATGTGCTGAAGAATGGTAGTAAATAACAATCCCAAAAAGGATTTTCTATATCAAGAATATTAAAATTTTTGCACCAAAATATTATTATATTACATAATGTTGCTTTAATTCATCACCCAAGCAAGCGTAAGTGGTGGACAATGTTTGAACACACCTTCACCCTTGCCACAACATGCAGTGGAACAATCTTGCTGGATTTCTTTAACAAAGGGTCTTTCTCTGTCCAGAAACAACCTCCCCACTATATATATTCCAGTCAGAAAGAAAAGTCAGGAAAAACTTAAATCTCAAATTTGTTTTCTTTATCTAACGTTTTATCATAAATTGCAAATTATTGGGCAACTGTTGCCATAATGGCCGTGTGATAGTTACCAAAGGGCAGCTAAAATTAGCAACAAGACACAATTATCACAGAGTAACTGAATTATTGCTCAGTAACTGAATTTTCTTCAGAGAGATGGCCCTCTGACTTCTTGTGTCAAGTTTGGCATGCATATTTCATGATGCTGGCTATACCAAGGGAACCCTATTAAAGTCTTTAGATTTCTATCTCCTTCTACTGCAGATGCAGAAACATTTGCACTGTTTTTATTTGCGGTGTAGGCGAGAAAAAAGGTGTTCACGGTACCAGTGTTTGAAGTCTGTGTTTCAAACAATTCTGTAGTACATGTTCAATAGACTTACAAAAACACATCACTGTGTTTTCATTTTGCGATGCAAGGTCATCGTAAAAATAAAACCATGCAATACAAAAGTTTCTGCACTTACTGTTATGTCTTAAATCATAATTATTTATTAATGAAGATACGATAATGTATATGTACATGCCTATCCTCATATATAAAGTTTTACACACTGTATTTTATTCCCAAAGAATTGTACCGACTACCCCTTAACAATATGTACTTACTGTAGTCTAAATTAGATCATTAGACTGTATTGATTAAGCCAGTAGATTAACTTCACGGTCTTCCAAGGATAAAAGAAATCACACCCTACCTTGGATATCTGCTCCTGAGCTGCATATGCTCTTTGCAGGATCTCCACAAAGAAATATACCAGCAAGCACTGTTGGAAAGAAATGTATCATTAACATGACATACATGTATTTTACTGTGTATGTCCCAAATATTCTATATATCAAAGCTCTACCACCACATATTGGACCCATTGACTTGTTTGTTTTGCTGTTATGTTTGTTACTAGTAATTAAAACTTATAACTGACCACTACAGATTCTCAGAAGAGTGACTGAAGTAGCCTGTATGCCAGCCTTGTTAGCTTTTCCTGTGTCTGCCTGTCAATCTTTCCTCCACCCACATTGCTGTCAACCTACTCTGTCTGGCACCTGACAGAGAACACACAAACCCACAGCTCAGCCACCACAACAGTTCTGTACCCTGAAGTAATAATATGCATAATTTGCATACCCACCTGTATAACAAAACCTATGAGAAATGACACTAGGAATGGGTACAGTCCTGAGTGGGACAGAGTCACTGGGAGACCTGAAGTGTAAAACAAACACGTAGTACATGATTGTATACATTTTGTACATGATAAACATTCATACTCTTTATTTTAAAAAAAGTCAAAAGGCTTGAAAATTCAAATTTACACAAACACGAGGAACATTTTATTATCTAATAAAATGCAACATAACATATTCTTGGTCAATGAACCTATCATCTGTTAATTGAGCCTATAGTTAAGTTACTTGGAAGGTAGAAGTAGTATAAATTTACTCACCGAGAATTCCTGTGCCCAGAATGGTTGCAATTGTCACAAAATCTGAAAAGAAAAATATTTAAAAATATAACATTCTAAATGCAGTTGCCTCATCAAGTTTGTGATGAGTATGGGATGATCCGGGAGACAATCTTCTATCAGGTGGTCAAATCTATGATCTAATACCATATTTTTCTATAAACAAATACGGAGAACTGTCTACTGTAAATCAGTTTACATCCTTCAATAGCCAAGAGGCATAATAGTGATATACATGTATATAAAACTTGTAAATGCCACACAAAATCAAAACAGGTATTAAGTTGTAAACCACAAAAAAAACTTTAGAAAGACTCACTTAAGCAGATGTCTGCAATCAATATAATTTTTTGCCACATTTGTAAACCAGACATACACATGTAACATTTTAATGTTGTGTGTATGTCTGTGTATGTCTGGCATGCTCTGTCCGATGTTGTACTTGACTTTGACTAGGGATGTTCACAAAATGGGATATTAAATGGAGGTCTCATGCATGTTTGAGCAAAGCTGTCCAAGGACCACATTGAAAAAAGACATCACTGTCACACTTAACAAAAAGATCAAAGGTTCTCCCTGGTTTGAGTGGTCCCTCGTAACACTTAGACTCAACAAAAAGAAGAATAACATTAGCTACTGATGTCTTGATGATTTAATTATCTACAAATTTTGTGTTATTTAACCATGCCAAATCAGCAAGTTGGTAATCTATGCTGCTGTTATAAAATATGATAGTTAGTCAAGTACTAGTACTTAATATACCATATTACCATATTGTGCCTGGTATATTTGATATTTGGAAGGTGAGTGACAGTAATTAAGCTTATGATAGCCACAACCAAAAAGTACACAGTCTATTTACCATGTAAATAAATTCCCCTGTTCCTGTTTGATTCAAACTGCTGGGAGTGGGAGAAATGTAATAAATGGCTCTGGGGTACCTAAAAAAATTAACCGAGAAGAAGTTGACCCAGTATTTTTTATTAGATTCTAATACGTTTGTTCGTTCTCTTGCATTACGTGTCGTCTGTACGTTTTGTGGGTCAGCCATTACCAGCTTTTAGTTCTGCCTGTGCTTCGGCCCTTAAAATATGTTTTATTGCCAATAAATACAATTACATTTTAATTTAATAGCCCCTGTAGATGTACTAAGATACCACACTCCTATATCACTCGAACTGTACCTCTACTGCTTTATATCCATGACAAACGTAACGTCACAATTTACATGTACAATTTATAAGGCATCACATTCTGTCAGTAAACAGGGCCCCGCCCCTTTCTTTGCAGCACAATACTTGGTACATTATCGCTCTTGTAATAACGCTTAAACCAAGAAAATATTTTACTCACAGCACTGTATGTAAACAATGTACATGGTCGCCCGCGGCCTGGAATCCTGCGAGTCGCGTCTCTCTGTCAATCGATCTGTGTCTGCCTCCATCTTTTTTTTCCGTCCACCAAAAATTTAAAAATGAATTTCGACGTGTCTAAAACGATGTTTTTCTCCGTTTTTCGCTACTCTAGACGCTGAAACACTTCACCACAGACATCTCCCTACTTTATGGTTACGGTCCTAACGTTGAAAAAATCGGAGATGGTCAAGTTTTTGGCCTAAGCGATGTTTTAGCCGAAGCAGGTTGCCGTTTTGGAGAGCTTGCTTCCATATTGCCACCTGGAATGACCGAAAGTAACCTTTTGACTAGTCCATTATTTGAGGGGGAGTGGAAGAAATGTCGTAGCAAATTATCGTTAATATAATACGTAAAATCTATTTTGAGACATTGAAATATTTGTAGATATGATAATGGAAAGTAGAAGGTTTCTTTTGGTGTCATAAGAAGTAAGAAAATAATTTTTGAAAGCCGAAAAGTCCATTTCAACTTTCTCCTACACTGCGCAGGTGCCTTACTGTGACCTTTGGCCTCCATGCGTGCACAGTTCTGGAAAAGTAAGTTTTGACGTTTCGTAGGTTTTTATTCGGTGTTTAAGGATGGTTAAATGTAGTCAATAGTATATCATGATTTGAGGAATGACATTTACCAAGTTTAGAGACTCTATGTTTGTAACCAAGGAATCAGGCACGTGGGAATTATGGAGGGGAGGGGGGTTAGGGGGTGTGTCAGGGTGTCATGGTAGCACAAAGATCGTGTTTAGCTTTTAGGGTACCAGATAAATTTTACCTGCACCACTCAGAATTTGGGAAGTATGGATCGTATACCAAAGGCAATACATCCCTACGAAAAATATTCATAAATCATTGTCAATATAATTTATTTATACTGTTTAATTGGTGACAGCCAATGCAGCAAATAAGAATCCACATTCACATGTTCATGTACTGAGTATATACAAAAAGTGTATATAATATAACGCCGTGGCTATATACACCGGGTGTGTATATAAAAGACAAATAGATTTTATATACACACCGAAATACTAGCCTCCTTGATAGGCCCAAAACCTGGGTTTTTGTGAGTGTTTGAGGATTCAGGGGCACCAAGTTTAAACCTCGGTCTTCAAGTTTATCTTAGTCGATGATGAAAATCAAAAAACAACACGGAAATCCCCACCGAAGTTCGAAAACACAGGGACTCGGCGGTCAGAGATCCGACCGCCCTGGCGGTGCGGCCGCTCGTCTCTGTGCTGACGGTCGAGTGGAGAGCGGACCGCCCCGCTTGCGCGGGGCCCGGGACCCTCCGCTCCCAGCGGCGGCGGCGAGACCGGTCAGCGCCCGCCCCTGGCGTCCTCGCTACCTGGTTGATCCTGCCAGTAGTCATATGCTTGTCTCAAAGATTAAGCCATGCGCGTGCAAGTTTAAACTGTCTCAGTGAAACTGCGAATGGCTCATTAAATCAGTTATGGTTCCTTTGATCGTCACATCCTACATGGATAACTGTGGTAATTCTAGAGCTAATACATGCGGAAGAAGCGCCGACCTCACGGTCTGGCGTGCATTTATCAGACCAAGACCAACCCGGGGTTCGCCCCGGTCCCTTTGGTGACTCTGGATAACCCACCGGCGACAGATCATTCGAATGTCTGCCCTATCAACTTTCCGGTTATGTATATAAAAGACAAATAGATTTTATATACACACCGAGTGTGTATATAAAAGACAAATAGATTTTATATACACACCGGGTGTGTATATAGCCACGTTCATAATATAAACCCCTGATATGGACCGGTGCGGGTAGACATCAGAAATAACTGCACATTTTACCTGCACTATTAAACCTGCATATGCAGATGGTATATTGTATGTAATTCGAGCTCTGACAGTGCAGTACTGAAGTTTCCTCTTGTATTTGTCCACCTGTGCAGCAGTCAAGATGGCAGTCTCCGAAGTCTCCAGCAACAAGATGTTTGGTGGTTTTCAGAAGGTGTTCTCCCACGAGAGGTTAGTTTGATCTTTGTACCATATGTAAATGTTACGTGTAGTATCCAGTATCGTATGAGAATTCCTTTATGCAACATTGTGTTTACCTCTGGCATGGAAGTATTGTTTTGGGCAGCAATTGGGAGTTTGTTTGGTGTTTTTGTCTTCGGCAGCAAGGATCAGAAGTGGATGCGGAGAGGTTGGGTTTCAGCTGATTAAAAGGGTTTGACCCACGATGCCCTGGTTCGTAGCTAGGATGTGGTGCATGTCTGTGAAGAGGTGGCCAGAAATGTGTTCTGTGTAATCATGGTATGAAACATAAATACATGTTGTAATACCAGATGGAGTTGTGTCATACAGTCATATGAGCAATAATCTATTCTATGATATAATTCAACTGGGTACCAGTATTGCCCCAAGATCATGTGCAATTCCATTCCAATACATTCACCTTCGGATAGATGCCCAGAACACTTCCTAGAAATCTGAAATCTCAGATTTCTTGTTTGATATGCTTGCATTCATATTAAGTTATCAAAGGTTTTAAACAAGTGTTCTGTTCCCTGCCACAGCACCTGGCTGAAGTGTAAGATGAACTTCGGTGTGTACCTGCCTCCCCAGGCAGAGTCAGGGAAGTGCCCTGTGCTGTACTGGCTGTCTGGTCTCACCTGTACTGAGCAGAACTTTGTCACCAAGGCCTGTGCACAGCGGGCGGCCGCCGAACACGGAATCATCATCATCGCTCCCGACACCAGCCCTCGTGAGGATACTACCATTGTTTATTATCTAATTACCTGAAGCCTTTGAACAAAATTGAACTGTAATTGCCAACACAAAAAATTGGACTCACCCAAATTTTTTGTGTTGGCAATTACAACTTTCAATCTTGTTCATAATGACTTCTACCAACACAGATGAACTTTGTGCCTATTTTGAACTAATTGCTCGAAAAAGAGACTTTGTAGTATCTGTATCTGTATAGCCGGTACAACTGCCCTTCGGTGTAACATACTAGTACCAGCTACTAGTACTTGCAATAGCAATGACAAAAATATCTCAAAAGGAAAAATTACCCTGGAACTATAATGTTTTCTGTCATTCATTTATTTCTTTATGTTACCAGTAGAATCTGATCATACTCCATCTGTGACCTGTTTTTATGTGTTGGGATATGTACATTGTAGTTGACTAATAGATACTTACCTCATTCCCAGGTGGCTGCAACATTGAGGGAGAGGAGGATGGCTGGGACTTTGGTACAGGAGCAGGGTTCTATGTGAATGCCACAGAAGACAAGTGGAAGACCAACTACAGGATGTATTCATATGTTACTGAAGAGGTAGGGTGTAGGAGGCTCCAACCAACATTCACCCTACACTCACAATCACTGTATTGCCTAACATTACTTTTCAAAGTGCAGGTTAAAAAATCTTACGTTTATAAGCAAAACATGGTTACTTATACCTTATGCAAGAACTATTTATCTGTACTAAAATTAGCCTACTAGTAGCCTTATGTTGTTCCATGCAGTATTTGCTTACAGAAGCTCCGGAAACAGTTCTTAATTACTGGTAGTTTAGAATGATATATCCAGCCTTCTTTTGGTTGATTCTAACAGCATTGAACAAATACAAAGATTTGAAATACTGTCAGCTTTGAGGCCATTTTCTGAGTCGATAGATCAGGACAATGAAAAAGCCATTAGTACCTGTACTTGTAGATAATACTGATGTGTTAGTGCAGTGTATTGTGTATTGCGATAATACAGTAACTGTTGCTTTTTCATGTATACTGTTTCACTTATGTTTCAAGGGTCCACAGTATCTATTGTTTGTTCTACTTTCAGCTCCCATCAGTGGTGAACAGTAACTTCCCAGTGGACTCTGACAGGCAGTCTGTCTTTGGGCACAGGTGAGGAGAGTGAATTCAGATTTTTTTGATGAAGTAGAAACAAGAAATTTGAGATTTCAGACTCTTGGAACTTTAGAGCTATGTAGTTTACTGTTACTGGTGCTGCTCGGAATTAATCTATACATTTTGTAGTTTTAGATGACTATTTTTTTTCAAAGTCATTAACTTTGAATGTTGTTTTCTCCACAGCATGGGTGGCCATGGTGCTCTGATCTGTTACCTGAAGAACCCAGGGAAATACAGGGTTTGTATGACATTTTTGTGCTAAAGTGTGTATGAATCATTGTATTGGTATTTGATGTATCTTTGCCTATACTAGGATATCAAAGATGAGAAATTATTCCGCACCAGGGACTGGTATGTAACATTAAGTGTATGGATGGTGTTCAGAATCAGGGACAGGTGTGTTTGTATGTGGATGTTGTTCAGCACCAGGGACAGGTTTATTTATGTGTGAATGATATTTAGCACCAGGGACAGGCTTGTTTGTATGTGGCTGATATTCAGCACCAGGGACATGTGTTTTTGTTTATGGATGGCGTTCAGCACCAAGGACAGGTGTAGTAGTGTATGGATGGTTTTCAGCACCAGGGACAGGTATGTAAGTGTATGGATGGTGTTCAGAACCAGGGACAAGTGTTTTAGTGTATGGATGGTGTTCAGAACGAGGGACAGGTGTGTTTGTGTTTGGATTTTGTTCAGCACCAAGGACAGGTGTGTTTGTGTGTGGATGGTTTTCAGCACCAAGAACAAATGTGTTAGTATGTGGATGATGTTCAGCACTAGGAACAGGTGTGTTTGTATATGGATGGCGTTCAGCACCAAGGACAGGTGTGTTTGTGTGTAAATGGCAAGCAGCACCTTTTACAGGTTTTTTCTTTGGATGGTTTTCAGCACCAAGGACAGGCCATATCTATTGAAAAGTATCATCTTTGGTATGATATGATTTTTTTCTCCCCTGCAGTCAGTGTCAGCCTTTGCCCCCATCTGTAACCCCATCTCCTGTCCCTGGGGACAGAAGGCTTTTTCTGGCTACCTGGGAAGTAACCAAGAGACATGGAAGGTAAAAACAGTTGCATTCAAAAATATAACTCACTGTTTTATATAGACCCTATGTTGAAAAGATCATGTACATGTATTTTGATAATTATATATATATATTGTTTATGAGTTGTTAGATTATTAGCATAATTAGAGAGTCTTCACTGTTATTACCTACATGAATAATTTACCTTATAGTAAATGTTTTTGTGTAGGTACAAGGTCTTCAAATTTTTGTGTATAAAAGTAGCTTAGTCTCTTAGAAATGTTAGATATTAGCAATAGTTCAACTTCTATATATGTACAAGTTGCCAAGCATTGTACTTGCTACAATTGTGTTGCAATAAAGTTCTGCTTCTGAAGTTGTTCTTGCTCAATGTCCTTGATGCTGTACATGGATGTATTTTTTTAAAGTTTGCAATGTAATCTATAGCAGTAGTGTAAAGATTTTACCCTTCCTTCAAAGAGAATGCATCCATAATTCTGAATGCCATTTTGTTTTCTGCCATTTCCAGGAGTATGATGCTAGTGAGCTGGTGAAGAAGTACCAAGGTCCTCCAGTGGACATACTCATTGATCAGGTAAGGAGGTGGATTTTTTAAATGTTTCTGCTACTTTGCAATATTGTACCTTGTTTGTTGTCCTAAACAGGACAGTCTATACCCTGTTCATCTCTATTCATTTGATACAAATGCTTCTGTATGATCTACTAACAACCAGTCTGAACCCCCAGGGCACAGCTGATAACTTCCTGCCCGCTGGCCAGCTGCTGCCGGATAACTTTGTAGCCGCCTGTGCGGAGAGTAAGGTTCCTGTGGTCCTGAGGATGCAGGAGGTAGGACACCTGGCAGTTATGTTTTTCTGATTATCAAATCTTACAAGAAATCAGAGATTTTAGACTTCTGCAAAGTGTTTTATTTTTGTGTTGTATTGGAAATGTTTTGTATGGTCATTGGAAAATACCTGATTAAATTACATTATGAAATGGATTATTTCTCAATGGCATATGATTGCATGGCATAATTACATGTACACCATATTTCATACAGTACACATTCCTAGCATATATCACATCCTACTACCTAGGGCATACCAGGTCACAACCTTGTCAATCAGCTGAAACTCAATCTCAGGGTGGGTGTTCTTGGGGGGAGGGGGTGTTCAGATACATGTACAGGTATGTATAGTAAGTGACCTGGCCCTAGAATTATATTATTAGATGTTACATACCAAAAACTGTATATTAGGTATTTTCGTGAAGATAATAACAGTTACTATGCTTCATACATTACTGAAATATATTGCTTCCTTTCAGGGCTATGACCACAGCTACTACTTCATGGCCTCGTTCATGGATGACCATATCAAGCACCATGCTAAACACCTGAAGGCCTGAGTCAACACTCACCACCTGGCTGCCTACACTAAGGACAACCCTCAGCAATAGCTTCCCTTTATTAGCCTTGTGTCTAAACTTATTTTAGCTGCAGAGTCTCTTATGTCCTCTCTATTTGCAGAAAAATTTAAGATTACTGGGTAGTTAAAGTAGGTTTGGACACCAGGCTACCCTTCTATGTTTGCTCTAAGATTCTCCAAAGATGTGTGCTCTTTGCCATACAATATGGACATTGATTTTACTAGTATCTATGATACACAATGCTGATTTGTCATGCTACAAAATGTCTTGATTCTAAATCTTGTAAGGATGTAACTGCTGTATGGCAGTGTGAGCTTTTGGAAAGCTTGTGTGACTTGAACAAGCAATCAAGGGTATGTTAATTACAAATTGTAAAACAATTTTTTGACGTTTAGAGTGGTATGGTAGAGCAAAGCATATGTTAGCCTGGGGGAAGTGTGGAGGCAATAAATGACACAAGACTTCTTTTTCTGTCTCCAGTTTGGTTCATCATTTATATACACATACAGTTATTCATTTTGGCTCATATATGATAAAAATGTCTTGTATGTGTATATAGAAAACTGGAAAGTAGATAGGTGCACAATGGAGATCACACCTAGCCTGGGTGACAGCCTATTTCTAGTTTTAGTACACACGCTGTCTCAGTCGCTTCTCTGCAAAAAAAGACTACCCTTCTGGACATGATGTCACATAATTAGCATAATTAAAACGTACCACGTTGGACAGGGTCTGCTGATTGGATGACCCACCTCAGGTTTGGCCAATCACCATTGGCGAGCAGATTCGGACGCTTAAAGGCCAACTATCTTGAGGGTAGGTTCCGCTTGAGTTGAGCCGAACAATGACGGTCCTCGAGTTACTCATAGTTACTGAGGTCACACAAGTTCCGCTTTCCAGAGTTCTTCAAACACCCTACTCTGGTTTTCATATCATAGGATCGATGTTATCATGTTATCACCGTATTCAGATCGCAGGAGAAGCGATTCACATTCTATCAAGAACGTTAGGAAATAAGGGCTCCTTTACCGGAGTGATTTTGTAAAATGTCAAACATCAATGCGTATTTTAGACAGTAAACACACGGGTAAGGGCCCTGTAATAATCTCTGACGTTTCTTTTGTGTCTTAAGAGCCTGAGGTGATATATAGTTCAAACACGGTTCCCCCTTATAATTCCCCCTTATAATTACAGGCCCTTTCGAGGAAGCCAATTATAAACTTTGAGGAACATGAGAAAGTGACCGATCATCTTAAGTATAGGTGCTTCCTCACTTCTTGTTTCCCAGTCCCAGTTGATTGTAAGTAAGAGAGAAGGGTCTCGCTCCAAAATGTCTGGACACACGTTCGTCCGAGTATTGTGGACATGTTTACTATGTATGTCAAGTTGCTGCAGCCAGGAATTCTTCAATGTGTCTGTTTACGAGAATGCCACTATCGGGACAGCGATTTTTGACATCCAACCACCAAAGACGGCTCTGTCGGTCAAAGAAGATGGGTGGACGGTGGAAGACGATCCACACAGGCGATTCCAAGTCAGCGGAGGTACGCTGTTTGTGAAGAACCCTTTGGATTATGGAGTGCAGAGTGAGTACGTTCTACATGTTACACCTGAACAGAACAAAGGTAGGGTCACCGTTCGGGTACAAGTTGTGGACGTGCCTGGATATCCTCCTGCCTTTAACACTAGCTGTGACATACCGACGAAAGACACACAGCTTGGGAAAACATTTGTACAGTTAACTGTTTCGGACAAAGTAAAGAGATATAAAAGCATTCGTTACGGTAATGAAAGCAATGGTAAACATTTTCGTGTTGATATCGAGAATAGCATGTGTGAAATAAAAGGTGCGCGAGCTTTTCATTCCAGGGATGAAACAGCAGCAGCTTCCAGAATCATAAAACATTACAACGGTTGGGAACATACTACCTGTGGACGGCAGTTACAGTCGGCGTCATTCATTACTTTGCTAAATCATAAAAGAGACATTAGAGATACCGCACAACGTCTATTTGCGGCATCAGCTGAAAATCTTCTCTCCCATAGTTGGATGGCCGACTCCAGTGTTGAATTCATTGCTTTATTATGGGTTCACCACACCACGAAGTGGTGGTGAACCCATATTGCTTTTTCTGATGTTTCTTCTCCTTCTCCTTCTCCTTCTTCTCCTGCCATTTTTTAAATGGATTCAGCTTCTTCATTTTAGGGCCTAAGGTCCTGAAATTTGGTATGGAGGTACAGTGGGCAAATACCCCTAGGCGTTTTTTAAATTTTTGTGATACAGGCTTTTAGAATGGTTTTATTTGAGTTTTTTGGCTGTGTTATAGCAAATGTATTACTGAGTTAGTGTGCAGTGTTACCACATTTGGGCATGAGTCATCACAATGGAATGCAGGGCATCAACCAATAGGCATGCAGCTTTCCTCTATTCTCCTTGCTGATTGGCTGTTGGAATTTAACAGGCTTAACTTAATTAATACCTGCTCAGATCCATTCCATACTGACAGTATGTCTGTATTCAAGTGTTTTGGTAGGTATTTCAAGCTTTCCTGCTCCAGCATTGGAATGCGGGGCATGAACACTTCTTTTTTTCTTGAAAATCAACAGCTTGCATTATGCAATTAAAAATCCTAACCAATAATGTAGGGAATAGCTATCCAACTGTTGTAGTCTTAGTTGTATGTTACTTCATACTATAGTTATATCAATGTAAAGCATTGTTTTCCCTTGTGTTTCTCATTCTTTCCCTGCCATGTCGTAAAATGTGGTGAAGCCATTGCTGTATTTGCTCCAAAGCAAATGTCGGCCTTTCTAGTTCAAATTGCCTTTTTTACCAGACTCAGAGGGCTCTATCAAACATACCTGCGACGTTAAAATTTCGGAATACTTCGGACTAGCAGAAGACTTTTTAAAAGATACATCTGTAAAAGCTGAGGGAAAATTGCAGTTGCTGCCCTGCCCTCCGCATAGATATGGTCCTTTCTGTAAGAGTCAGTGTGCGTGTAAAAACGGTGCCAGTTGTCACAGGTTCAACGGGGCCTGCAAGTGTCCACCAGGCTGGCAGGGGGTCATCTGTGACATACCGAAACAGGAACTGTCCATCATCTCCACACCCGGAAGCTCAGATGAATTGTACATAACTAAATCTGTCACCCTGCAATGTCAAGAACACCATGTCAATATTACAATGATGAAGTGGTCGTTTCAACCCGAGACACAGAAGGGCTCCTTTAGGCCTTTGTATGTGAAGGACGGACGAAAATTGCGACTTGTGAGTCTTCAGCCTGAAAACAATGGTATGTACATCTGCCAAGCCAACACATCAGAAGGAAATGTTCTGAGTTCAAACTTAACACTCAATGTAACTACGTGCCCAGCCAATCATCATGGGTGGAGGTGCAATGAGACTTGCAACTGTCTGCATGGCGCTTACTGTGACCGATGGGACGGCTGTGTTTGCCCGAAAGGTTTCAGAGGAGACAGATGTGAACTGCCCTGTGAACCGGGGTCGTTCGGACTGAAATGTAAGAGCAGTTGTTCCTGTAAGAATGGGGCCTACTGTAGTCCTAGTGACGGAACATGTAACTGCACGGCAGGTTGGAGAGGAACGACTTGTAGCCAGCCATGCGAGAAGGGGAAGTTCGGACACAACTGCCAATCTGACTGCACCTGCAAGAACAATGCCAGCTGTCATCACGTGGACGGCAGCTGCACCTGTGTCTCCCCATGGTCAGGATCGAACTGTGATGTCATCGAGAAACTAGATCTTCAATCATCTGCTTTCATTAGTGTTTCCTTTGTTCTTGTGTTCATCACCTTTATGGGCATTGTAGCATATAAGAAAAAATGGAAGCTTATCTCTGTGTATAAACATCATTCCGAAGAGGAACAAGCTCTATGTGAGTTGAGGAAAATGGAAGAAGACCTGGCAGACAAGTTATGCCCGGGATGGCTGCAGCGCTGGCAAATCGACAGCAGTCGGCTGACATTAGGAGATATGATAGGGATGGGCGCCTTCGGTCTGGTCACACAAGCTAGCCTAACGTTACCCATTGGACAGCGAACTGTTGCTGCCAAGATGGTCCGCTTCAACGACAAACTGTGTTTCAAGGACTTTTACAGAGAAACAGCGATACTTACAGTGATACATGAGGAAAATGGATACAACCCTGGAAAATCTAACATCATCCAACTGTTTGGATTCAACACCAAGTCGAATCCAAAGTTTTTGCTACTTGAATACGCCAGTAAAGGAAACCTCTTGAACTTCCTAAGACAACAGAAAGAGAAGCTCCTGCTGTCTTACTTGCTGTATTTTGCTATTGACATTACACAGGCCCTCAGTCACCTGAAACGTCTACGGATTTCCCACCGTGACGTGGCCGCACGTAACGTTCTAATCACCCAACACAATATCGCCAAACTTGCCGATTTCGGACTAGCTCGCGACGTTTACACTACGGCACAATACATTCCTGTCAATCGCCAAGGCGAGGAACAACGTCTGCCCTTAAAATGGATGGCGATCGAGTCCCTCCTACATCTTCAGTTCTCGTGCGAGAGCGACCTGTGGTCCTTCGGTGTGCTTCTGTGGGAGATTGTAACAGGTGGGACAGACCCCATGTACGGTAACACACAACATCCGACCTGTCAGCAGCTGGTGACGATACTACAACAGGGGATCCGTCTGGACATGCCGGCAGAGTGTCCTCCGGACCTGTACGCCATCATGAAGTCATGTTGGAATGTTGACCCAACAGCAAGGCCAAAGCCAGATGTGTTAAGAGAAAAACTTGTTCGTGAACAAGAAAAACTGAATCCACACCAAGTATTGATTGAGACGATAACAACAGTATGATCTTGTTTGCATAGCAATCTGCTCTCCAGTTTTTCTATAATATGCAAAGCTGATTTTCAGAGACCATCTAGAAGATTATGCCTGACCTGTATATAGATGGTGAAGCAACTGTTAATCGAAAAGAAATAATAGTATTATGCCGTTTATTTCCTCCACACATGTATCATTCTTACGCATGCCTCGCTCTAACACGTTAATATTGTATAGGTCATGAGATCAGTTGACTCAATTGCAATATGTGATGTATTGTTAAATTGCATGTCTTTGTTTATGTACATCTTTGATGATTCAACATAAAAGAACACCTATATTTGACAGGAGTAAATTAAGTTAATGCCCTCTCAGATGCCATGAAAATATGATGAACGTCACCAGACTAAACAAGTCAATATTAAAAATTAAATGAAATAGCAAAAGTTAAGGAAGGTATACGCACGTATATATATTACTATAAACCTTACTGCTATAGTAGTGTAACCCCTGTTTGTCTTAACATATATAATCACTCACTTGTATCAATATACATGTATATATTATCACTTGTTCACTTGCAATTAGCCCACGGGCAAGAAGTTGCAAATAAACTTACTATTTACAGCAGTGGGAGCAGCATTGTTGTCGTTATGCAAAATGTGACATTATTTTAAAAGGACGGGTTGGGAATGAATTTTGAAGACAAAGACACGGAAGTAGCTAGTTTCAGGGACGAGGCGTTCTAATTCCTGAAATGAAAATGCTATACACATGGCATATATGATTGCGTGGTTTAGAAATTAGGACAATGAAACAAGCATTAGTTAAAGTATCTGAGCTGTAAAGTACAGGACCTGTTGCAATTGTTCACATTCAAGCGGAAGACAGAAATGGTAGCCAGTTAAAACATGGTGACAATTCAAGGCAAAATAGCTTGGGGGTAGGTTACACTTGGGTCAAGTCGAACAAAGGTGGTCCTCGAGTTACTCATAGTAACTGGGATCAGGAGGTAACATAAGTTACGCTTTTTACATTTCTTGAAACGTGCTACTCTGGTTTTCGCACTGTATGATTAATGTTACCAATTATGAAGGTCAATGTTTTTATGCAGTAGGAGAGACCATTTCTGTCAAATCGTACATTATCTTGATAGTCTCGTGCGTTTTTCAGGCAGTAAGCACACAAGTAAGGAACTGTAGAAATCCAAGGTATTTTTGTCATCCGTAAGTGCCCCAGGTGATATATAGTTCATTCTGGGTTTCCCCCTTACAGGCCTTTGGAGGAAGGTAATTATAAACTTTGCGGAACATTGAATTGGGGAAGTATTGGGGCTGATTATTGTATGTGCTTTGGCTCTTCTTGTTGATTGAATCAGAAGGGCTTAACAAATTTCCATTTTCTTTATCTTTGAAAATCTGCTCCCTGACCATCATTTAGTATCGACAATCCTTGAACCATCACAACAATCATGCTGTTCCTAATTCGGTTAATAGTAAGTTTATTTGACAATTCTTGCCCGTGGGCTAATTGCAAGTGAACAAGTGATAATTTACATACATGAAGTGAGTGGGTGTACATGTGAGGGAGACATTAAAGATTGCATACACTACGTTGCTCAATAAGGTAGTATATCTACGTTACTAATGTGAGGTGTGATTTAATAGCCCCTTGGCTACCTACAACTTTGCTTAATTTTATGTTTCTTGCCAAAACTTCTTTGGTCTGGGCTTCAACCTTAGATTCATCCCATTATCTAGACCTCTTGAAAGACATTCAGTTTTAGATGTAGTTGATATAGTTCTTCCTCTATATCAAACTGTAAACTGTATATCAAACTATAAACTGTAATCATGGCAATTAACTAAGAGATGCAATACGTCACATATGAGCAAACTGATCTAATATCCTATGTTATTTAATTAACGTTCATACGATTGAGTGATGCATGTGTCGTGGAAATAAACGGCATCAAACTATTGTATTTCTGTGTCCACATTCTTCATCATCTATATACAGGTCAGGCATCAACTTCTAGATGAACGCTAAAATCGTGTTTGTACGTATAATATTAAGAAAACCTGAAAGCATTTTACTATACATGAAGAATCATACAGTTGTTATCCTCTCAATGCATACTTGGTGTGGGTTCAGTTTTTCTTGTTCACGAACCAGTTTTTCTCTCAGCACATCCGGTTTCGGCCTTGCTGTTGGGTCAACCCTCCAACATGACTTCATGATGGCGTACAGGTCTGGAGGACACTCTGCCGGCATGTCCAGACGGATCCACTGCTGTAGTATCGTCACCAGCTGCTGACAGGTCGGATGTTGTGTGTTGCCGTACATGGGGTCCGTCCCACCTGTTACAATCTCCCACAGAAGCACACCGAAGGACCACAGGTCGCTCTCGCACGAGAACTGAAGATGTAGGAGGGACTCGATCGCCATCCATTTTAACGGCAGACGTTGTTCCTCGCCTTGGCGATTGACGGGAATGTATTGTGCCGTAGTGTAAACGTCGCGAGCTAGTCCGAAATCGGCAAGTTTGGCGATATTCTGTTGGGTGATTAGAACGTTACGAGCGGCCACGTCGCGGTGGGAAATCCGTAGACGTTTCAGGTGACTGAGGGCCTGTGTAATGTCAATGGCAAAATACAGCAAGTAAGACAGTGGGAACTTCTCTTTCCTGTTGTCTTAAGAGGTTCAAGAGGTTTCCTTTACTGGCGTACTCAAGTAGCAAGAACTTTGGATTCGACTTGGTGTTGAATCCAAACAGTTGGATGATGTTAGATTTTCCAGGGTTGTATCCATTTTCCTCATGTATGACTGTAAGTATCGCAGTTTCTCTATAAAAGTCCTTGTAGCACAGTTTGTCCTTGAAACGGACCATCTTGGCAGCAACAGTTCGTTGCCCATTGGCTAACCTTAGGTTGGCTTGTGTGACCAGACCGAAGGCACCCATTCCTATTGTATCTCCTAATGTCAGCCTACTGCTGTCGATTTGCCAGCGCTGCAGCCATCCCGGGCGTAACTTCTCTGCCAGGTCTTCTTCCATTTTCCTCAACTCACAGAGAGCATGTTCCTCTACAGGGTTACATTTATACACAGAAATAAACTGCCATTTATTCTTACATGCTACGATGGCCAAAAAAGCAAAGAAGCCTAAAACAAGAGAAACACTAATGAGAGCAGATGATTGAAGATCCAGCTGCTTGATGACATCACAGTTCGATCCTGACCATGGGGAGACACAGGTGCAGCTGCCGTCCACGTGATGACAGCTGGCATTGTTCTTGCAGGTGCAGTCAGATTGGCAGTTGTGTCCGAACTTCCCCTTCTCGCATGGCTGGCTACACGTCGTTCCTCTCCAACCTGCCGTGCAGTTACATGTTCCGTCACTAGGACTACAATAGGCCCCATTCTTACAGGCACAACTTCTCTTACATTTCAGTCCGAACAACCCCGGTTCACAGAGATGTTCACATCTGTTTCCTCTCCAACCTTTCGGACAAACACAGCCGTCCCATCGGTCACAGTAAGCGCCATGCAGACAGTTGCAAGTCTCGTTGCACCTCCACCCATGATGATTGGGTGGGCAGGAAGATACATTAAGGGTGAAGTTTGCACTCATAGCATTTTCCTCTGATGTGTGCGCTTGGCAGATGTACATACCATTGTTTTCAGGCTGAAGATTCACTATTGTCAATTTTCGTCCGTTTTTCACATGCAAAGGCCTAGGCTTAAAGGTGCCACTCTGTTTCTCTGGTTGAAACGACCACTTCATCATTATAATATTGGCGTGGTGTTCTTGACATTGAAGGGTGACAGATCTCGTGATGTACAGTTCATCTGAATTTCTGGGCGTGGAGATGATGGACAGTTCCTGTTTTGGTATGTCACAGATGACCCCCTGCCAGCCTGGTGGACACTTGCAGGCCCCGTTGAACCTGTGACAACTGGCACCGTTTTTACACGTACACTGACTCTTACATACAGGACCATATCTATGCATTGGGCAGGGCAGCAGTTGCAACGTTCCCTCAAATGTTATAGTAGTGTACATGTCTTTCAAAAAGTATTCTGTTAGTCCTAAGTATTCTGAGATTCTAATGTTGCAGGCATGTTTGATAGAGCCGTTTGAGTCTGGTATAAAAGGTATATGGAATAAAGCAATAAATTCAACTTTGGGGTCGGACATCCAGGTCTGGGAGAATAGATTATTAGTTGATGGCCCAAAAATAGGTTGTGCGATCTCCGTTAAGTTTGTTTTTTGATTCACCAAGGTAATTATTGATGCCGATTGTAACTGACGTGCACAGGTAGAACTTTCCCAAACTTCAGGGTTTTCCAACACTTCTGAAGCTATTTGTGTTTGCCATCTGGTATGTAAAGCCCATGCAGCTTTTATTTCGCACTTGCTATTCCCGATATCAACACGAAAATATTCGCCAATCCTTTTGTTACCGTAATAAATTCTCCGAAATCTCTGTGCTTTCTCTGTAACAGTTAACTGTGCAAATGTTTCACTTTGGGTGTCTCTGGCTTGTATGTCACAGCTAGTGTTAAAGACAGGAGGATAGCCAGGCACGTCCACAACTTGTACCCAAATGATCACCCTCTCTTCGTACTGATCACGTGTGACGTTTAGAACGTACTCACTCTGCACTCCGTAATCCAAAGGGTTCTTCACAAACAGCGTACCTCCGCGGATTTGGAATCGCCTGTACGGATCGCCTTCTACCGTCCACCCACCTTCTTTGACCGACGGAGCCGTCTTTAGTGGTTGGATGTCCAAAATCCCTGTCCCGATAGTGGCGTTCTCATAAATAGACACATTGAAGAATTCCTGGCTGCAGCAACTTGACATACATAGTAAACATGTCATCACAACTCTGACGACCGTGTATCCAGACATTTTGGAGCGAGACCCTTTACTAAAAATCAACTGAGACTGCTAAAAACAGCACAGAAGCACATATAGCTACGATAGTCGGTCCCGAAACTTCCCTATTTCAATTTCCTGAAAGTTGATACTTTGTCTATCTCCCTCAAAGGGGTTGGCAAGGGAAGTGAAAACACTGGAGTTCTGTATCCCCTCGGGTTGTTTGAGAACAAGGAGACGCATCAGTTCACTTAATCCGCGTTCTGCAGTGTCATATTGAAGGTTGCTACATGTAGCTTTTATCTGAAATACACAAAATATTTGACAAAATCACTACGTGGAAAAGGTTTGTCATTCTTTCAGAGAACATGTACTATGGGTCAGAACCGTCTCTCTCGCGATCTGTACACATAATGTCTACCATGGACGGTGTGAAAACAAAAGTAGCAAGTTTCAGGAAATTTTGGAAGCGGAACTTGTGTGGCCTTCTAGGCACCTGTAACTTGTGGACCGTACAATGTACGTCTTTGTTCGGCTCAACTGGAGCGTAACCTACGCCCACGTTATGTATATACATGCATATGTATATGTATTATTAGACTTTGAATTGTCACTAGCTTTTATTCTCTACCGTTTCTGTCCTCTTTAATTTAGTCATGTTTTTCTGTCCATTTCTACCTAAACCGGTGCGTGCACTGGGTCACCTTCAGCAGGATCAACCTTCCTATCAAATCAAAATCATCTTGCACCTCGCACCCACCATGCAACCAAAGCAACTAGGTATTAAAGATAGAGAGACAAGCCCAGAACTCAGCCACCCAAAACAATACTTCCATAGTACTCTGAATCAAAAAAGGAAGTTGTTGGCCTCTATAGTTTTAATACAAATGACTATTGAATGAAACAGGTCACAAAAAGACAAATTTTATTTGTAACATGTATGAAGGTGGTCCATTCATCTGTATTAAGGTCTTGAATATGTACAAATAATTTTTCTGCCTTCCAAAGCCATCAAAATATGAACTTTTCCTCCATTCACATGAAATGTAAGCAAGCGATTCAAGATTAAAATTGTACAGATATACATGTAGAAGGATGTATTTTCCATTGGTGAGGGTCATTTTCTGAGTCTAACATTATCCTACAATGTGTGCTGTTTACACAATCTTTCACAACATCAGACTGGCTAGTGTTTAGCCATACAATGTTGCACAGTGTCAAACTTATGAAGTTTTTTGTAATACCATATGTGTTCAGTTTGTGTGCGCCTTTACACAATTCAAAGAACATACATAAGGTACATGATACAGATCTGAAATGTACAGTGTTCATGTCTGAATGAGATCTGTAGAAATGCCATGGAAGATCATCCCTGTGTGTTATTACATGTAGGAAGTCTTGTGGTTGCATCACCGTAGTGGGCTCTTGGTACCTCCTCCCTCTAACATATCCTTTGCCTCATTTATCTTTGCAGCAAGGTAAGGTGATCCACCTGAAATTCAGGGAAAAGTAGAACATACTCATTATTGTCAGCATACTTAGCTAAAGATAAAGGTAAAGGTTGTCCCTTTTTAGGCTGTAGGGGTAGTGTGTTGGTACTGGAAGGCGGAGCCCATCTCTCTCCTTCCACAACCTTTTACCTCACAAACGTCAGGTAATAATTACTTTTTACTCCTGGGTAGAGTAATGAAAGTTGCGTAAAGATACATCTTGCCAGGAATAGAACCTGTAACCTCTTGATCTCGTGTCTGCTGTACTAATCACTGCTATGCCATTTATCAGTATATCATCAACATATTTTCCTTTCCAAATTTCAACTTGTTAACTTGACCTTGAAAAGAATCTGCAAACTTTCCTGACTGATAGTGATAAGATTAAGTCAGCAATTTTTCAATTATTCTAAAAAGTGTGATAAGCAGGTACATGTAGATGAACATTAGCATCTACCAGGCTTGACGGCGGCGGCAAACTGTTCTCTCAATGGCCAAACTCCCTTGGCATGCTTATCTCTCTATTTTGGCCGATTTCTACTCTTTCCAGCCGCCTCCTCAAGCCTGGTAGAGGCTAGATGAACATGTATCAGGACCAATCTGACCATCGTCAACTGGGACCAACACTATCAACAGGGTTTGAGTTAGCTTTGGGACCAACTCCATTGGCACTTGTTAGAGTTAGGTTTATCAGAGTTGACAATGGTTTGACTCGTCCGACATGCCATTAGCATGTAATAATATGATCAAACTTCCACATAGTCTCACCTCTGTCTGGGTGGTTGAGCAGCATGATTCTCCTGTGTGCTTCTCGCATCTTCTTCATGTTAGCAGATGGACTGGAAACAAAACCAAACACTGTTATTGATCACTTTTCTACCATTGTTTCTAGGCCTTTCGATATTGTAATTTGACTCGCAAACAAAAGTCACGCAGTTGGTTTATTGCTAAAGTGATACAGAAAGATCTGTTGATTCAAGATTTTGATTTCTTGTAGGCTACTTCCAAACTGACAAAACAACTCATGACAAGGTATGATGCTTTTTCTTTAGCTGCTATAAGTTAGTGGTGCAATGCAGCTTCACTATGGCTTCCATATTCAACCAAGCATTCACACTATTTATCTAGGAGTGTGCTGGTTTTCTTTGTGTGTAGAAGTTTCACAACATAAGCTTCCTCATACATAGGGCTGCCAGTTTTGTTTTAAAAGACGAAACAACTCTTTTCCAGTTGTGTCCAGATGCGCGGGCAAACCCAGGGAACTGGTACCATGAATTTGAGCCAGATAGGGCAAGTAGCAGTCTAGAGTGTGAAAACCATGCGGACATGACTTACCTGACTCCTAATACAAGTGCTGCCTCTCTCTTGGTCATCTTTGGTTCAAACCCTCCTCTGTAGTAGTGACTGTTCAACAGCTGAAATGGACAAATGGTCTGTAAACATTTGTAATTTTCACATCACTGTTTAATAAAACCAACAAAAAGTCACACATACCATACAGACTTTTAATCATAACAGACTTAGTTGTTACTAACCGGTATGGACTTTTCAAACTTCTTGGCACTCTCCATGATTGGCTTGGACCACCGAATCGCTGCTCGAGCTGCAAGTATAAACATGAAATATAATATATCATAACAGTATCATCAACTGTAGTAGCCACTTGTGCATTTACATGTAGCTTTCCACCAAAGTCTATTTTCTCACATATCATGCACTTGTTTAATAGTCCAGATTCCTGAAAACATCCTGGTAGTACTGTAAATCGTGAAACTTTGTTGGTCTTATAATTATTTCTGCATTTTGTGCATTGACTCTCCACTGTGGAATCATGACAACATGGATATGCCTCCCTTGTATGACATATACCACATATTTATTGTGCATTTATTCATATTCTGATGTAAGAAATTGTACTATTACCTGTAAATGCTGCTGCAGCTACACCCAGACCCACCACTATCATTGTACTCGCCTGTACATGAAAAACACATCAACAAAATTGTAGTCAGTCGAAAACAGCATATCATGAAATATATGATCAGTATTACTTTGTCAAAATTTTAAATGGTACATATGCATGTACATGTTACACAACATGCCCCCCTCCCCCTCCTTTTACCTTGATGCATTTCTTTACACAACATCGTTACCCTTTACTTACAGGTCTCTGACTATTAATGAAATCCTGCTGCTTTCGTGGTGCATTTGGGTAATCCTGTGCCATGTTTCAAGGTTTCCAACACCACAGGACAGTACTGCGTGCTCGCACGAGGTTCGGTCGGCTCTTTCGTTCGCTTCCAGAAATTTCGTCACCCAAGTTGAGTCAGACCTAATTCAGCTTACGCAAGGGCTACACCTTTTACATAAAGCGTCTACAAAGCCGTATAGGTATGTACACTAGTTTTTAGTAATCTACGGGTATAATTTGCGTCAACAGGACTTATAAAAGCAGAATTTTTACCATCTTTTCTCTGTTCTTTTTCCTTCGCCACCGCTTGACCTTCTGACCTCTGTACCAACCCGTTTTACGGTAAAGTATGGAATGGTCTACTAGGATATAGGGGAGATCTGTTACTGCTTTTTAATTCTATAATATACAATTTCTCTCGAGTTTTCGAAAATAATAACACATTTAGTGTTTAGCATAAGTTTAGAACTTGTAATTCATATTTCACAAGCATTTCAAATGATGTACATTGTACTTTCCAGTAGTTTCCACCCATTGATAGAAAAGATACATTTTACGACATATTCATTTTACGGCATGCTGCAAAATGATTCTCAAGGAACCACACATGGTTGGAACTTTTGGGTCTGTGTCAACGTGTTTACCTTCTAAAATTAAGTGATATTTTATGACAGAAAGTTGTATGATTCCCTTTTAATTATGTCAAACAGGTGTTCCTTTTGTGTGTTATAGATGGTTCTTTATATTGAAACATTTCGGTGAATTCTCTCAGACTTGCTTGATCAAGAGCGATATTTTGAGACTAGTAGACTTGTGTGACACTTGAGCAAGATCAAAGGAGGACAAATTATGCGGTTGCTGCTGAAGATACCACGGTACAGCTCCCTTGGACCCCACCCAGTCAGACAGTTGTGCTGTAGTCATGTACTACAGTCAAGTCCAGATGTGCGGGTCAGATTTGCCCCGAGCCCGACTGGTATGCTACACCTGGGTGGCTTGCGGACAGCTCTCTATAACTTCCTGTTTACCAAGGCTCACAATGGGAGCTTCATACTGAGGATAGAGGATACAGATAGGGTAGGTATCAGGGTAGTGTATTTAGAAGACAATGGCTATTGGCGGGATCATCCTGTCAATAAGAGGCTATGTTGTACTATAAAAAAAAATTGACAGGATGATCCTGTCAATAAGAGGCTATGTTGTACTATTGACAGGATGATCCTGTCACCATTGCAAAATATTCTGTTATTGACAGGAAGATCCTGTCAACAGTGCAAATATTCTGTTATGCTTCTGTTATTTCACTTTGAAAATCTGCCAGTAGGTCAGAGTAATGAGGCTGTGACAAGGTTGTAGTTCTGTGCACTAGAGCCTTTCCTCCTTCCTACTTTCTTTCTTTCTTACATGTAATTAAGTTGTATTCCCATGTGTACATATATGAAGGTATTGGTAATGAGTCCTTTCTCTTCCCCAGACCAGGTTGGTACCAGGTTCTGAAGAGAGTCTGGAGGAGATGCTGAAGTGGGCGGGGCTGGAGCCTGATGAAGGTGAGTTTTGTCTCAGCATCTGTATGCAAGCACATCCTCTAACCATCGAAGCACAGGGAACAGACAATAAACTGGATAGTGAAAGTGTGTGTGAACTGTGCTGTAAACTGGGAAAAGTATTATACTATTAGTAGTATTGAGTACATGCAACTGTTCTCTTTGTAGTCCTACTAAATGCAGTCAAAGATGACTGTCAGTCTGTTTGAACATGATAAATACAAATGACGGATAGTTCTGTCCTTATTGTAGGACCAACCAAGAGTGGAAAATATGGACCTTATCGTCAGGTATGTTTTTTTTATATATCCTCTTATATATCCTTTCTTTTAAATCTATTTGACTTTTTAGAGTGGTTGGCTATTAAGAGTGCCCTGTTTGATTACATTTCAAGTAATATATTCTTTATTAGGATATACACACGACAACTTGTTTTTTTACAGTCTGAAAGGGTTCACATCTACAAGGAAAAGGCACATGAACTCATTGAGGTCAGTATATACATATATAGATTCATGCTATATTAGTTGATATTGATGCATTTTGAACATTTTAGATGTCTGTCCTGTTACCATGGTTTCATAGTGACACTGAGAAAAAATGAGTTAGTGTTCCTTTGCATTGTAACATGTCCTTAGAGAGGTGCGGCCTACCACTGTTTCTGTACCCCCCACCGCCTGGAGCTGTTACGTAAGGAGGCTGCCAGGAGGAAGGAGGTGCCTCGCTATGACAACAGGTGCAGACAGCTGTCTCAGGAGGAATGTAGGAGGCGGCTGGAGGATGGCATTCCACATGTCATCAGGTTTAAGGTGAAGAAGTTTGATTAAAGGACAAATAAAGTAATTTCAGTTTTGGGCCCTTTCAACCCCATATTACCCCAGTGTGTGCGGGACTGGTAGAAACTAACCAGTCTAATGAATCACCTTTTGCAAACAAGATTTGGGGTTCAAAGGCCAAAAATATTGAAATAAGTTTAATTGTAATCATATCAGTTACTACATGTACTAGAGACACAAGGATCCAACAAATCTATTGAATGCTAGAAAATTGAGGGAATTACTTTGGTAGACTTTTTTTATAATACTCAATGGATAATGGAATAGAGTATTGGCTTTGCATATGGTTAAGTTCGTGTTTTCGATCCCTGGTTGAGTCATACCAAAGACTTCAAAATGGTATATACTGCTTTCTCTGCTTAGCACTCAACAATTAGGAATTGTGGTAATTGAGCACATTGTTAGTGGACCAGCCCCCTGCTGTAGCGATTTCACAATGCTGTGCAGCCCAAGGGCTATTGAAGTGATGGGCACCATCTTATAATTATGCACCATATGTTTTGGAAAGGTCTTTCGCTTTAAGATGTGACAGACTTTTCAATGCAACTGTAATTGCCTGCGTTTGCTCTTGTAGATGACCAAAATTGTTAACCAAATGTTCTGCTGTTTTTCCCTAGCTGGAGGACAAGGCCCAGCCCTTTACTGACCTGGTGTTTGGGGTGACCAGACATGATGTGGCCAGTATAGAAGGGGACCCTGTAAGTCAACAACTAAAAACTATGTGAAAACTTCATCGTTTTTGTACAGTTTGAGCTTAGTTCCAACACCAAAAGGGAACTCACCATAAATTTTTCGTTGATGTCATTGAAACCTTGAGATCGACCGAAAATTTATGGTGAGTTCCCTTTTTGTAGTCTCTTTGGCAGGGAAACAACCAAGCTAAAAAGGCTGGCATCTAGGCTAACAACTTTTAGGAACTGGCTTGATATACAATCTCGTCTGTTTTGTGTCTGCCCAGGTGATTCTGAAGGGGGATGGTTTCCCCACCTACCACCTGGCTAACGTAGTAGATGACCACCTAATGCAGATCTCCCATGTACTCAGGGGACAGGTTTGGATTGTTTCTTTGATTTGGTAAACACACCTACATGGTAAGTTTTGTACAGTAAGTACATATATAGCTGCTCAAGACCAGACTGTAAAGTATGATCCACTCATCACATGGAACCTTGCTCTTTTTTGGTATAATGTTAGATCTTTTAAGATTTAAAAATGTGTTAGAGGTGTGCCTGCACTTCCGGCTTTACGTCCCATCCAACAGGACGTCCCTAACAAAAGGGTAGAGGTGACCCAGTGTGGCTTGGCTAAATACATGTGAGCCGTAGCAAAGCCACATGTTACTTGCTTTAACTTTACCTTTACACAAAAATTTATTTGTGCCTCCTTCTCCTCCAGGAATGGCTGATCTCCACAGGAAAACACCTGATGCTGTACCGAGCCTTTGGCTGGACTCCTCCACAGTTTGCACACCTACCCCTTCTGGTTAACAAGTACAGAAACTTTCCTTACTTTTATTTGTGTGCTGCTGCATGTACATGATTGTATATATTGTGTTGTTGGTTGGTTCGCAAATTGTTACTTTGAATGTTTCTCTGTGAGTTGTAATGTTGATGCTGCCTGTTTTGGAAAGTGTTTTGTGGAACAGGGTAGGCAAGCATAACTACTGCTTTGTTGGCAAAAACCAAAACTCATAATTCAGGATTTTGTTTGATTTATTTGAGTACACAAGTAAAATGTTTCTGATGTTCATTGAACTTGTTGCACTGCAGAGACGGTACAAAACTTTCTAAACGACAGGGAGACATCTTTGCCAACCACTTTCGGGTAAGTTCAATACATCCTGGATGTCTGAAACTCTAGGAATTTTTGTTCTAGTTTTAATTACTATAATATTTGTATTTTTGTATGTCTATCTGTCTTAAAATATTTTCATAATGATCATCAATTTTTATTTTCCTCAGGAGAAGGGCTACTTGCCACAGGCAGTGTTGAATTTTATCACATTCTGTGGGGCAGGTTTCCAGGACAACAAGCAAGTTAGAACACTAGAGGACATGGTGGCTGAGGTATTAGAAGTTTTCTGACTTTATTTTCTATACCCGGTAGTTTGTAATCACATTTTTTATGGAGGTAATAATAGTGTGGAATAACTCCTGTTTGCACTTTTTTAGTTTTCCCTAGCCCGAGTTGTTGAGCACCCTGCCCGGCTGGACTGGGACAGACTACAGGAGTTCCAGAGAGAACACCTCACCAGGATGTTCAGGACACACGACGGACAGACTCAGACAATATGGAGCCTGAGGGAATGTATTGTGCAGCAGTATGGCAAAAGGTGATCAACAGTGTTCCGGTATGTTTGCCTTTGATGAAGGAAAACATATTGTTCTTGCTCTGTTTCTTCATCTTTTTCTTCAAACAAATGTTGTCAATGACCTGGGCCTGGTGCTGTAGCAGACACCATGTGGTGTTGGGCTACATTATGTAGCAAAGTGCCAGAACAGATTAAGAAGGATTGGTTACCATCATATATATGAATTTGTTTGAGTAATAATTTAAAAAAGCAAGAGTTTGGTAGGCTATGCAAGGTCAAGGTATTAACACATGCCCAGATGTCATCCATGTATTTAAGTCAGTGTGCCTAATAGTCAAGTACAATCAATATCTTTTTGATATACATTCCTTTACTGTGAAGAATGAAGATATTAATTCTTCTCTGTACATTCTCCTCAAGATTTTCCGACATCTCTGTCCTACCAGACGAATACATTTTGAAGGTTTTGGAAACAAGAATGGTGAGAGTCAATTGTTTTATTTTTTTCATCACAATTTTTATGTATATGGAATTCCTTTATCAGATGAGGGCATTGTAGTCATTGATTTTTAGTCAGTTTTCAAAGGTGTTTTCTTCCTTTCCATTTCAGGGTCACTTCACGCTACTTAGTGATTTAGTCTCAGCTGACTTTCAATATCTGTGGGACCAGCCAGATATTACTGCACAGGAACTGGTCATGATCAGTAGCCATGCAAGCCCAATTCTCAGAACAGTCCAGAATGCATTACAGGACATGTCCACAGACCAGTTTACCTTGGAGGGAGTGGGACCTAAATTGAGAGATGTGTCCAAGGCCCACCAGGCAGTCAAATACAGTACCCTGATGAAGATGCTGAGATTTGTGTTATCAGGCAGACAGGTATGTATCGTGTGTGGTCTTGCATGAGTAGTGTTGTACTATAATCATGTCGACAGAATGTACTGCACATGTGCAGAAGACAGATTTTTAAAATGTTTTTCATAGATGTTTGGTCAACATTGCATCAGAATTTGCCTGTTGCAGTCAATATCTTTTCTGATACTACATACATGTACATTGGATAAATATAAACAGAATATCATCCTAAAATACTTGAATACAATCCATGCATAATACGTTATGGATTTTGTGTAGGTGCAGCACGTTCTGCAGACGTGTTGTACTATTATAGTCTGATGTGTTATTTTTGAAGATGAATTTCAAACAATGAATCATACACATTCAGGTTTTCTTTAGTTTATGTGTAATTTATGTGTTTTATTCAAAGCATTCATCATAAAACAACAAAAATATCTCAAACATGGTCTTGAACTCTGCCCTCTCCACACAGGTTGGACCCAGTGTGGCAGAAATGATGACCACATTAGGACAGCAGGAGACACTGAAGAGACTAAACAATGCTCTGTCATTACTACATAATCACACTGAAACCACAGACACAGAGAGATAACATTACTTTCTAACAAGCTTTACAAATAGAAAACAGCTCAACATCATACCATTGTGGTACGAATGTACTTACATGTACATGTACATGACTGTATATCACTGACTCACTGTTTTCTTTAACATCTTGGTAAATTCAGATCATATCACAAAACTTCACACACACACAAAAAAAGAAAATATCATTAGAATTTAGATAGATCATATATTTTAAGCTGTGTGCAACATTAAATACTTTTAGGGGTTCAAGATAAAGGCATAAAATAAAGGAACACAATACTCCATCTTGGTGTGTGGTGGTTGTTACTTCCGGGATGGAAGTATTGCTTTGTGTGGCCCTGGTTTAGAGGAATTTGTATGTTTGGGTTCCAAGGTAAAGAGTGGGGTGTAGTTTTGACAGTTTATTTATAGATTGATCATCATTAACAATAATCAAGCAAGAATGGCATCCCTTTTGCAATTCTGATATACCTGTATCCACCAAAATCCCGAACACTTCATAGAAGTCTGAAATCTCTGATTTCTTGTTGTCCATGTACTGTGATGTTGTCCCCTTCTTGTTGGCCTCCAGGAAACTGTTTTGTTCAGATATCAGAGTTGTGGATGGTATCGTAACATTGTGTGTCTCTTTAGCTCATCTCAAAGTACATGTAGTTCTGTAGGAAAAAAAGAGGCAAGTAATGTAAACCAAAGAAGAAAATTTCCCATTATTTTGTGTGCAATTTTTTTTATGAATTTGTACATCAGAATATTCGATTAGTTTGACTATCGACAAACTAATCGATTAAGTGAACTTACCACCAGGAAACACGCCCCCAACAGCACTGCCTTCATCCTCACGTCCACCTCAAATGGAACTGGTGAGAATATCATAAAGGACACGTGTTTAGAACATATAAATAGCAAGTACGTGTATACCAATAAAAACTTCCCGATGTCGCCTTGTTAATATCCAAAAGCTGACAGGTGTATAGAGTATAATAAAGAAAGATTTCACCCGCACGGTTTAAATGCAGTCCCAAACGTATTTGACTGTCGTATATAGATACTAAAAAACAACATTATCCACGGATGGAGACTCACATTCTATCTCGAAGTTCTCGTGGTCCATGTTGTACTTGTCATGTGGTCCTCCCCATCTCTTAGCGATGGACCCAACGGCCTTCTTATCCTCCTCCAGGGACAGGATCTAATCAGACAATATATATGATAAAAGAATATGTGGTTGACGCTGTTTTTGGCGACGTCTCAGGGGCGAACTAATAGTGTAGTTTATAGAACTAGTTTGGAGGAATTCTAGCGATTTCTCAGGTACCGGTATCTGTACTACGTGCACTAAAAGAATCTGGTCGGCGCGGTGTTTTTTGGCAACGCCTGAGGGTAAAGCCTAATAGTGTAGTATGTTACCGGTTTGCAAACATTCTAACAATGTGTAGTAAACATCTGTTTTAGTCGACGTCGGAATCCCTGTTATATAATGGAGATAGGAGGAGTTTTGTCTTTAGCATATGTCAGCTGCACTACCAATATTTGACAAACATGCAGACAATCTTTTATTGGTCAAACCGCTGATTACCGTGCTGTGTTTTTGTTGAACTGCTAATTGTAACGGGCAGTCAGGATCGTTACCTTGAACTCCATGTTACCGAAGCAGCGGCACGGACAGGCAGGGCCCCGGATGTGGTACCAGGGCTTCTTGTCTGCGTCCTGGACCTCCAGGATCCCGTGGAATATATTCCACCTGAGGAGGGACACAGAACTTTGAGTTTTCAAACAACCTTTTGAGAAATCTTTCAAAGCGAAAGAATCCACGTGTCCATCGCCCAAAACAGCATTATTCCTTACGGGACGGAAGTATTAATTTGGGCTGCGCTGGTTTAGATGGTGTTTGTATGTGGTTTGTCCTGAGCAGCAAGGATGGGAAGTGAGTTGGTGGAGATTGATTTTCAGTTGATTGACAGGGTTGTGACCCAGTATGCCTGGTGGTAGAATGTGGTATGAGGTCGCCAGGAATGTGTACCGTATAATCATGATATTAAACAACGACAGTGGTAAACAAATACCGGAGTAACTTTCGTCATACGTAGAGTATTAATCCATTCTATGATGTAATTCAATCGGGTATTTTCCCATTCTTATACAATGCACTCCCAATACATCCAAATGCAATAAAAGCAAAACCCGACAGTCTGAAATTTCCAATATTATTATTTTCTACCATGGGGCACCAAAGGCGAGGGACATTTACCACAAAACGTTAGCATTAGGCAATATTCTTTAGCAAAATAACCAGGCTGTCTGTCTGCCGCCTACTTTTGCTTGACGTATCCCAGGGTTTCCCCGTCGCCCGTCTTGACGGTGAGGGCCATGAGAAAGCAAGGGCAGCAGCAGGCGTCACAGCGCGCTGGCCGCACCAGGTGCAGCACCTCGCGGGACAGCTTGTCGTACAGACTCATGTGGAAGGCGCGGGCAGGGCCGCAACACTGCCGGCACAGACAGCTCGTCTCTGCAGGCAAGGCAAGGAAGAATGCCTGGAAAATGTAGCTGAGTCGAGGCTATAAAATCGTTATCAATATATATAATGACAATTGTAGCCTAAAGGTAGCATATGGCTGGATAACAACTGTGCTCATGATTACATTTCGTTGCTACTAAATTTAAAGCTACGATGAGAGCCTTCAAAATTTAATAAGCGTGGTCTCATAGACGGAAGAGCTAGAGAAGAGTATGTACTAACAGTGAGTTATCACGAAGAAGACACGAAAGTTCATTTGAGTTGGCAAATTACATTGTGGAAAACTAATCTCCGACTCAACAATGGACTCTTTTTTTGACTAACGACTCGGCCAGTCTTCGGCAGCTATCTGATCCAGTCCCTCAGTAGACACGTGTATGCACGTATGACGTCAGCAATGGGTCAAAGGTTGTTGGACGTCGATATCGCCCCCGTGCATTAAGTCACGTGTCCTGAGCGATTGGGTCAGATAGCTGAAGATGACTGAGTGAGTAAAAAATTCCGATGGGTTCAATCTCTTGAGTTGGTGATCAGTTGAATGTTTCCACAATGATCTACATTGTTCTCATCGTTAGTTACTGTCCAACTCCTGCGTAGTCTAATTTTAATTTAGCTCCCCACCTTCAGACGCAAAATACACCTGCTGCCCTCTGCCGTTCTTGATGACGTAATTGTTGTTTTCAAAGTTGCAAACTGGTCCTGTGTGGACGACAGGAGTTACAGTAACTATTATTATTTCTAATGAAGAACAATAATTTTTGTTTAGTTCGTCCATTCGTTTTGCCATACCAAATTTCACATTCCTTAAACACGTCATAGCCAAGTTGTGGAAACAGACACGAGCAAGTTTTCGACTTGACTACACCAGTATTTCTAGAAACAAAAATAAGTCATTGTCTTATCTTCACACGGAGTAGTTAATCTTTTTTAAGGTTTAACTTTGGCAACAAATGAGAACACCGTGATTCAACTATCAACCTTACTCCTGTATCTTTGATTCTGTTAGCAACCCAATGAATACCAGTCCAACAAAACAACTAACGAGCTCAGGAACTTAGTCTGGACTGTTACTGGTGCATCTGCACTGTCCTGGTGACAAGTCAACATGTCGCTTTCACAGCGTGTTTGAGGTAGTCATTAGAACACGTACCATCGACATGGTCAGTGCCTTTGAATGGGCGCCTAAGCATGGCAACGTAAAACCATCGAGTAAATATAATGATAATTAAAATTGACAAGACAGATACAAAATGTGCATGTTGGTTGGAAAAATACGCAACTTGAAACGCTGGATAAAATCTGTGAGCTTGACTGTGACTGTTCAGCAGAAATATACTCTTATTTTACGTAACTTCACGGGCATTTTACACTCTATTTTGGTCTTTATGTGATTCCGGTTCGGTTTTTACCATGGTCTCTACCGGTTATAATAAGGGCCTAGTAATATATGCCGTACGCTAGTCGTACGACCACAAACTATTATACAGGGCGTACTTTTTATAATCCTGCACGTGTACATGTCCTGTAAATTCCAACTGTCTTGATAAGTTTGCTCCTTGCATTGTCGGCGGTTGGCTCTGTCACAGCCTGCTCGAAAATTCTACCACAAAGGTTCTCCTTTCGCCTTGCATATTTCATATACTATGCTTCATCTACAAACGTCTTACAATCAACTTCACCCATCATTTGTTCCAGCCTACCTTCTGGTCCGAATGACTGGGACATGCGCAGCTTGTCCAGGCTGGTGAGGTACTCCAGCCCGGCGGGACAGTTGGTGGGTTTGTCCGGCGGCCGGCCCATCCACGTCACCAGCTCCAAACTCTCCTCCCCCTTACCGCCCTTCTTAGGCTGCTTGTCAACCACGCGACCCGACATGGTTCGAAGAGAACCCTTAAACTTGTTCTGCACACTGAAGAAGCCCTTTGGCTACCAGTTTTCTATTGGTAACAGGGATAAAAGAGAGGGTAAAACGTCCTTTTGAATACTATACAATTACAGCTGAGCCAGTCTTCTTGCTTCCCTATTGGTTTATGAAGTGAAGACCCTCTCCCGAAGTCGGTCAGATCCAACACGTAGCTTCGTTGTAGGTAGTCTTGTTGTCGTCGCATAGCAGAAAAACGTCGAATAGAAAACTCTGGAAGTATCACTGTCTTGGTCTCAGTTTCCGCCTTCCAGTTTTTGTTACGTCTTCTCTCCTGGTGACAGTGTCTTAGATTTTCTTGTTGCAAAGCGAAGTAGATCTTTCCAAGAAATAAAGATTTTAAAGAACTATTTCGTCTTTAAAACAAATCCTCACCGTTTTAAGAAATGGACGAACACTGCAGGGTCCAAACCTCCTGGTGCCATGCCCAAACTGTCAAGAAAGAACGCACCTGTTGTGTTTGTGCCTAACAACAAAAGAGTTACACACCGGTCCTTTTAGCAGAACGTGCGCTTTCCTGCGCTGTACCACTTTTCAAGAGGCTGCACTCAAAAGGCGTCCAATATCAACATTTCAGCGGAGTGGTCTAATCCCTTCAACATTACGTTCCAACACAAAGACCCTGCCTGATGACATGTTGACTTAGCCTTACTAATCTTTTCGTAAAACGGTTCCTTTTAATCCGGTGTCGGATTCGTTACACAGCAACAGCGCTTAGTTTGTTTTCTGGTATTTCGCTCTGTCTGTGTTTATTTTGTTTTATGATACAAAATGGGTTGACATTTCCGTGCACTATATACTTCCTGTGTACTAGTATATTACGATAATTAAGTATAGTAAAAATGTTTTCATGAGCACAATAAATATCTGCCACTCATGATCATATGTCCAGAAGACGAAATATCAAAACCGGAAGTTATTCTGCAGTACCATGACAAACCGCTAGGGGACAAAATCGAATCATTTCGGAGTCTTATCAAGACCTATCTACCCAACATATCAGACACCCCCCCCCCTCCAATACACACACACTTTTGTTAGTGACCATTCTTTGTACCTCAATGGCGCCAGAAATACACGCATGTAGGTAAAACCTTGGTATAGTTACGAGTACAAATACACCTATGTTCACTGCCTTTATGGATATATCTGCGTGCAATTCAGTATCGATGCTTCTTGTTTGTACAATAAACCATTCATTCCTTCATCAGTGTGGCAACTTTGCACGTGTAGCATTGGATATGGATTCCGAAGTTTCATCAACCAAACAACTTAAGGGCTTATTCATAAATGATGTTATCCACCATCTCACACACACTAGGGGACCTATCATCGTCATTTGACGGAGGGCTCTCCGAATCATATGCTGTGTTGGTTTCAGCATTAGGTGCATGCATATGTTTGCGGCCTTTCTGAACAATGGCGTATTGGGGATCATCTTGGATGGATTCATAAACGTTAGGCTCGTCCCTGACCGCGGTGTAGGGATGAGGGTCCTCCCGTACAGTGGCGTACTGATGCTGGGCACCGCTGGGCAGGACGTCCTGGTAGGACGGGTCGTCAGGGTTACCACCTCCAACGTCACGCAAGCTAATCGATGCAGAGGGGAGATTGTTTTTCTTTGAAGTGGATGACCTAAAAATAAAATATTTTTTGTTATGGTTTTTGTAATTTCTTTCCAAAAAAGGTAGGAGAAAATACCTGCTAATAACTTATAGCATCTAATAAGCTATCATGAAAATCCATCTGTGTTTGTAGATACATGTTTAAAGTTAAACATTTTGTTCCAAATCAAAGGATTGTTCTCACCTACATGTAGAGCTTTTGACCAGTCCCTCTGTTCTTCTTCAATAGACTGACCCACTGATATGAGACTTGTCACGTGGCTTCACGGAGGCTGACGTCGTTTGCCGGATACCTTTGACCGAGTCTTCACGTCATACCTCTGAGAAGCCACGTGACAAGCCTCACTGAGTCAGTTTACAGAGTGCCTGTTCGGAAGCTAGTAGTAGAGGTTTAACTCTAAACCATCTATTAAGCTAATCAAACCTTTTGCGGATTATGATGACAGCAACAACACCGCAGACGACCAGCAGAACAGCTGCCCCTCCCCCGGCTGAACCGGCGATGAAGGCTGGGGGCAAGAGTTATAGTACGGCGGTTAGTCGCCATAACGACTGTCTGTTTCTTATATATCATATTATATCATATCATATCATCTGATATAATTGCTAGTCGATAAACTACTGTCAATTCATTCGTGGGAAAGGAATTTTGCGGTAGGTAGGAAAATAAGATTGTCGTTGATGAAAGAAGTTGGCGGTTGAAACAATACTGACAAAACAAGTGTTAGCTTACAGTGATATCATGCAGTGCCTGTACTATTGGTTACAACATGTCTCTGTTATATAAGGTCATGCAGGAAATAAGATTCATATTGATTGATTGATTGGTGCTTGTTTACCTGTGTTTTCTCTGGAAGCGCCCATGTTGTCTATTGTCGATGATATTGAAGACATCACATTAGGACGTGTCGTCAAGTGTGTCGTCTCAACAGACGTATTCACTGAGGTTATATAACATTTTAAAAGTAACGGTCAGTAAGGTTATGTGACTTGTTAACCGCTTTACATATGTCACGGTGACTGAAAACATTGACTTATGTTTTATTGTTTTATTCACACATAACCAGATGTACCCATCGCAAAGATAGACAGACAGAGAAAGAGAGAGAAAGAGAGAAGTCGCACAGTAAGAAAGTCGCACAGAAAGATCGGCTTCTTACCTTCATACACGGATACTCTTGCATGATCACCACACGACTGGCCACTATTACCGGGGCATGTAAGACAACCTGTTGCATGATGGTTGGAAATAGAATCATAGTAATTCTCACTCCTCTGTCCACATAAACACCTGACTTGGCCATTAGGACGTGTTACTACCCCAGCAAAATTGAAGCTCTGGTTTTCCGCTGCACAACAGGATACACAGTTTGAAGCGTTGAACACCGCTGTCTGTATTTCATAAGGTAGAAAAGGGTCTGCCTGACTTGGAGTCTTTTGATAGCAGCCGACGAACACTGGATCTGTGCATATAACACAATTTCATACACTCATTTTCAACTCATAGACTGTAAGTTGAATGTTCTGAGGATAGGTTGGATACATTCATTTCATAACGTATATAACATTAAAACTACGATAGAATAAGCATCAACAAATTACGCTTCGTCTAACTATAAAATCACACCAGGAAGTAAATGACTCTGCGTCACAGTATCGACAGGTAAGACGTCAAAAATAACACTTTCGGCTACGTACCTGGGACAAAATAGCTGTCAGTACAATCTGCAACAGTCCTCTGTAGATAAGGAATCACCAGCATAGTAATGAACACAACAAGTTTGAACATGGTTGGGGTACTGAGAAGGAAACACAGCTGCACTTTTGCTAGTTATGAGCAGTTACTTCCTGTTTAGTGCAGTGTAGTCATAGGTCACGCGCGTCGAACCATGTCAGTGTTGCTACAGTCAACTCCTGCGTGTAAATGTTTGAAAAGCTCTAGAGCATACTTCATGTGATGTATTCAAATAACCATGGACACACAAGCAAACAAACTGACGAACACAACGAAAAAAAATGTGTGCACGGAGGTAAATAAAATGGAGACCCACAAAAAATCCCTACACAGGGTACGAAAGAGATTTATTTCAAAACATGAGCATGTCTGTCTGTGTTACAACAGTATGCTTACAAAACGGTAACTTCGTCCGTGAATATGATTCGTGGTGTGATTGCTTTATTGTCCTTTCGAGCTATTTTTGCTGTTCCTACGGACTGACAATTTCCAAAAGCGTGAAGCGGGAGTCCTGAGAAGCTGTCAAACTCCCTCAGACAGTCCCTGCAGAAGAAGCTGCAACCTTGGTCATCTCCGCCAATCATGTTTGTTGTAACAAAACTTTCGTCCCTCGAAGCCAAATCACCTGTCTTCGACGATGACGTCAGGTTGCGAACTGGCGCGCTTTTGTGACGCCGCCTTGCGGGTACGCAGGCATTGCAGCTGATACAGGTGGTACACCTGGCGGACGGACGCCGCTCCCTTTTACTCCTGCCTAATTCACTGCCAATGATTCTTCTTTCAGATTGTGGCGCATCCGCATTTGGAACAACAGATTTTCCCTCTTTCGAGGCCGTTTTCATTTTGACGCCATCATCTTCAATGCTAGCATTTCCAACGTGCTTTTCGTTGTTCCGTTGCACTGAAGACTGATCACGATCGAAGTTGGTTGTGGATACTTGCGGCGACTCAAATTTCTCCCTTGCAACCGTAACAGCCGAACAGCCTACGTTGTCGATGGCCTTCCCCTTTCTGCGTTGTCTTCTCTGATCTGCTGTCTTTTCCGTGCCACCATTTTGGCCATCTACTTCACAGTTTTCTTTCCTACTGTCCTTCGCTGTTTTGTTTTGTCCTTCGTCTGCAGAAGTGTCTTCTTCCCGCGTTTTCCAATCGAACGCCGTTTTATCCGAAGTTGTAACGGTTGTTTTGGGCTTCTCAAACGTTGAGGGTATCTGACCAACGTTTGTTGATAAATCGTGTTGGTTCTCAGTAGGATCTTCTCCAACATGCCGCTCTCCGTCGAGGAATTTCTTCAGATCCACCTCCATGTTTGACATAAACAGAAGAACGTCTTGACAGACGCCGTCACGATTAGCAACGTTGGAAGAAGAGACAGTCAAAGTATGCTCCTTCAGGCTTCTCAAGTTCTGTGGGGTCTTCTTCTGATTTTTCGGCATATTGTCTAGAGTTATGTCAGTTTTATACGACAGAAGCATAGCTACTTTGCCAACTATCTAACTCCAGCTTCACAACCACTGGCCAACACCAGAAAGTTACCAAATAATGCAAAGAAAATTTTACGTGCTTACACTTCAGGACTGAAAAATGCGTTGCTAACCACAGAAGTGTTTGTGTTCAGCTGTTCTATTCTGCATTTTTAATTGTCGGGTCTATGTTCCAGAACATCCATTCTAATGTATCCACATGGCTCACATTACAGTACAGATCATAGTCCATGTACAGTTCTCACAGAGTCAGCTAATCTTGACCAAGTTAATTATTAAGTCCGTACCTCACGTTACATGAGCAAAGTCACCTTTGAACTAGTAACGACACTTTCACCCCTGACCGGTTTACGTGAGAGGAAGAAACATCATACGAAGCAGGTAAGGCTTCAAACCGAGTAGCCAACTTTTGTTGTATCAATCATGCATAAATGTGTGAGATACTTGCTGTTGAGTAACGCCACAGTTAGATAGTCATTGATGGGCCTTTATCGTGATGTGAATATTTTCGGAAATGAAGGGGGAGGGGGGCAATGTTAAACGCATGTAACGTTACGTAAACGGTGTGAAAGGTAAATCGGCAATGGAATTTGTTTGAAGCTAGAATAGTGTCATTGGAAATATGATCAACTGATAACTCATGGAAATGTGGATCTTTTTTTGCATAACCAATGAGAAACATAATTTGTAAGTCAAGGTCAATATTTGGCGAAGGTATGACGTCATTGGACTCTTGATAACTTTTCTTGTTTGTTTCGTATTTACAGCTGAAATATTTCTACAAGTAGTCTTGTCTTTTATCTTAAAACACAGAAAATGGACACAACGAAGCCTGAACACTATTCTCAGAACCGCTCCCTGCAGCAAAATATCGGAGTTGAGCTGCTGCAACAGTACATGAGGTGGGAGGGAGGCGACACAGTTTTGGACGCGGGATGTGGCACTGGGGAAATCTGCAAGTACATCTCCCAACAGCCAGGGGTCGCTTCTGTGGTGGGCTTTGATGTCTCACCTGACTTCATCAGGTAATATCTGATTCTGCAGTTTTCACATCATTGCACATCATATGACACTTTGGTTTTGAATATGCATTCAATTAGCATGTAGTCAGGGCAGTGTTTTTTTTATCCTGTGTATCTTGAGGTCTTTGGAATTCTGGTACCCAAAGTTCGGTTTACAGTTACTAGTTAGACGTTATACACCTGACAAGTAATTGAAGACAGGCTTCTACTTTTTCTACAGCTTTGCTAGCCAGCACAACTCATCCGCAAACATGCGTTACCACGTGTCTGATGTGTCGGATGCGTCAACTATCAAGCCAGAGTGGCAAGGTGCCTTCAGTAAGGTAGTTTCGTTCGCAGTACTACACTGGATCCAAGACAAGGTTGCAGCACTGAAAGTGTTGCATTCATGCCTGAAGCCTGGTGGAGAAATGTTATTATGGTTCAGTACTGATAAGAGTAAGTTCTGTCAAACCGTCATTGATATGGCTACCCACCATAAGTGGAAAACCTACTTGAACGATTTTGAGCCGAATTGGTTTCCATGGCCTTCCAGCGATTTTGTAAATGGAGGCTGCAGCAGCCGCCTACTGGAGGAGTGTGGTTTTGAGGTCCTCTCAACTCATTCTAAAGAATTTCAAGAGTCTTTTAGCTCTAAGAAACAGTGGAGGGAGCTTATGAGTTCTGTTTTACCCCACCTTAGCTACATACCACTAGACAAACACGAGGATTTCTTGGACGACGTCGAAAAGATGGCAAAAGATATCCACTACTTAACTTCAAGCGATTACAAAGTAACTGATAAGTGTCAGTTTGTTCATGCTCGAAAGATGTAATATTCTCACGCAATACTACACCGGGTTAGAGACAAGGCTGCAGCACTGAAAGTGTTGCATGTTTGCCCGAAGCCTGGTGGAGAAATGTTGTATGGTTTAGTTCCTAGAAAGAAAGATCTGCGAAATTGTTCTAGCTACCCATTGAATATTATATTATTCAATATACACACTAGTAGTGCTTTCGCAAAAAAAAAAAAAAAAACTTGCTTCTCAATGATTGGACATAGATTGACACTGGTGTTGGTCAGAACTGCTATGATACTATTGATAGGTCAAACATTCCTTATAAAATATCGAGTTTTTCATAATCATATGTTTCAGCCACTCCAATGTTGAATTTAGAAAAAATTCCTATTAGGGAATGGACTCTTCTAGCAGCTTTTTTTCTTGTTCAACTGATTTCAATACATTGGATTCTTAAGGTAAATTCAGTTACATTCTCATGGGAGTAACCAATACAATGTTCAAATAGGGAAATGCATGAAATAATGTCTGAATCTTAGAGACTACATGTTAGAGAATAGTTAGGCACTTATTGTTTCCGCTGACACATATTCTGTACGTAGGTTGCCGCATACATACATTATGGACGTAGGGTGACTTTATCCATACCTGTATTAGCTTTATTAGATCTTAAGTTGTAGAAGACCATACAAAAGTCTCTGTACTATTTGTTGAGTCAATAAAGAATCTGTAATCTGCATGATATGGACTTTTTTCAGTGCCTAATAAGGAACGAGAACGTCATGTTCTAACGAACTTTACCACGATACTTCAGATCAATAGATAGCAACTGAATGCAACAAGAGTATTACAAGACATGACAAAATGTATGTACGAAATGCCCCCCCCCCCGCACACACACATATACAAAGACACGCAGACACACACAGGAAACACACTATGATGTCATGGGTGATTTAGATTTCGTATGACAGAATTCTACCAAGGAGGTACGTCGCCTTTTAAATTGCCCCCCCCCCCCCCAAGCAAATGCAGCCAGGGATAAAAGATAAAAGAGTGGTATCACACCGGGAAAGAAGGTCACCATTCTGGACCGAGAAAGCAGATGGTTCGAACGAGGAGTCAAGGAAGCCGTGCACATCATTCATATATTCATCAGGTCCCGCTCCCCGTCCCTCAACCAGGGTCCCTCGTCCAGTCATGTCACCTGGGTGACATTTGACACCTAGGTCATGTGACTCCTCCCATGAGCTGAAGAAAGATGGCGGATGCCACCTGAAATTTTGTCGTGAGTACCAGTTTACCTCCTTCTTTCAAAGGAGTGGTATCAAATCTCGCAAGATCAATGAAGAGACAACTACTGTATTAAATAATTGGTCATAATTGCACCCCTGCATCTTATAAATTGCAATGCACGAAGCCGAACACCTCCTTTGATATGATTTTCAATGTGTTATACTTACAATAGACGGAATTATATAGATGTACGAGCATATAGAACTAAAAATTTGTCAAGTTTCATAAAAAATATGAATTTTTCTAGTTCTTTTAAATGTGCAGACAACTACTCTGTAAAGTCCCCACCCCTTCACTAATTAGCATAATTGCTAACCGTGAACAGGTCATGAGACCCGCGCACTCCTTCATTCCATCCGCTCGTCTCCAGACCTGAGAAGAAGAAAAAAACTCCAAACGCCAGCCTTACCGTGATCGACTTGACAAGAAATTTGGTAAGCAGCAACTCATATATTTGCATCTGCAATATTTTTCGTTTGTTTAGATGGAACCTCCTGATCATATACAAATTTAAGTGGGATTTCTAGACGCTTTGTCGACGCAAAAATTCAGCGACTGGGATCGTCTACAGGTGCGAAGACAGCCAGCCCAAACCACGATATTAAAGGCCACACTAAGTCTTACTACTAAAGTACTTTTTTTATGGATGACGTCCTTTGGAGACCCTAAATCTAATGTGAGGCCATGTGAGTGCGCGAGAAAATAACAAGGGACGACAGAAGATGCCCAGACCGCTCGCCCCCCTCCCCCTGTACACTCAGTTACATAAAACTGTGACTGATCATGATGAAACGTATTGGATGTACGAAAAGTGCTACTTAACGTTTTGCAGTTTGTAAAATCTATGCAGTTGCTTGAGTTACTCTACGCCAAAGATTGACCTTCACGACGATCATCTACGTCATGTGATTCGTCAGTCGTAAAGGTTAACATTTAGCGAAGGTATTACGTATATTGAAATGTTGCTACTAATAACCGCTTTTCTCGTATTTACAGTTGAAACATTATTAGGATTTGTCTTTTATGTTAAATCACAGAAAATGGACACAACAAAACCCGAGAACTATTCTACAAACCACTCCTTCCAGCACAATCTCGGAATTGAGTTGCAGCAGAAGCACATGAGGTGGGAGGAAGGCGACACAGTTTTGGACGCGGGATGTGGCACTGGGGAAATCTGCAAGTACATCTCCCAACAGCCAGGGGTCGCTTCTGTGGTGGGCTTTGATGTCTCACCTGACTTCATCAGGTAATATCTGATTCCGCAATTTGCACATCATATATGACACTTTGGTCGAAAGAATTTAATACTATTGAGTTAGCATGTAGTCAGGGCAGTGTCTTTTTTATCTTGTGTATTTTGAAGTTTTGGGATTCTGCTCCCCAAAATTTGGTTTACAGTTAGACGTTACTGATGACGATCTTCTACGTTTTCACAGCTTTGCCAGTCAGCACAACTCATCCGCAAACATGCGCTACCACGTGTCTGATGTGTCGGATGCGTCAACCATCAAGCCAGAGTGGCAAGCTGCCTTCAGTAAGGTAGTTTCTCACGCAGTACTACACTGGGTCCAAGACAAGGTTGCAGCACTGAAAGTGTTGCATTCATGCCTGAAGCCTGGTGGAGAAATGTTATTATGGTTCTGTGCTAGTAATGAGAGTAAGTTCTGTCAAATCGTCCTGGATATGGCTACCCACCACAAGTGGAAAACCTACTTGAACGATTTTGAGCCAAATTTGTTTCCGTGGCCTTCCAGTGATTTTGTAAATGGAGGCCACAGTAGCTACTTTCTGGAGGAGTGTGGTTTTGAGGTCCTCTCATGTTATTCTAAATCATATCAACAGCCTTTTGGCTCTAAGGAAAAGTGGAGGAAAGCTATCAGTACGCTTTTACGCCACCTTAGCTACATACCACAAGACAGACACGAGGAATTCTTGGACGACGTCGAAAAGATGTCCAGAGATATCAACTTTGTGTCAGACGATTATAAAGCAATTGGGAAGTGTCAGGTTGTTCATGCTCGAAAGTTGTAATGTTCTCACGAAGTTCTACACTGGGTACAAGAAAAGGTTGCAGCCTTAAAAGTATAGTATTCATAATATCCGATATTGATATAAATATACATTAAGAAGAGGGTAAGACAAGTTAACATACAAATACTTAGCAGAGGTAAGAGTTTGAAAGTCAATTTTTCAACTGTTGTTGCTGCATGATTTAAAGAGATCTGGGAATAAAAGACTGGACTTTGTCTTTCGATACGACTCAGAGGAATCTTGTAGTTGAGGATTTAGGATACAGTGTATCATTTCATTTTATACAAGTAAATAGACAGTTTATAGTAACATTAAGATTCATGTATTCAAATTCACCATGATGTAAGATGGAATGGATGGTAGCGATTCATAAGTTATCACGAAGCCCAACAAATTAGCAGATTCGTCAGGATTAAAACAGCAACACTTCACACTCAACATGCAGCCATCTTGCTGCCCTTCGACCCCATCTAGATAAGAGCGCAGCAAAATGCCAGGGTCGTTACAATTTTAAAGTCAGCTTTAAGTTAGCAAATAAAGAAGAGGACGAAGGAGACTCCACAGCTAAAGATAAGCGTACCACTCGCCACATTTGAATACACATAGTCGCTTATGTATATATCTAGACAGACCTACACCACCATGGAAAAAAACTGGCCTGTGAGTGCTTCCCAAATTGGTACAACCTTAAACTTTTCAAGTCTAGGGTGAGCAAACACCTGTCTCTACAGTTCCTTAACATAACACAAAACATGTTTACTAAGTGGTTCATAAATTGAAGTGAATAAAAAAAATTATATCCAAAAAAAAAGATAGATAAATAGATACTGCAAATTTCCAAAGATAGTCTCCATATGCACCTTGGTTTAGTTAATTTTTGTATTTTCCATTGGGAACGCTACATTTCGTATGCCCCTTTCCATGTCGTCTGGTGGAGACTTAACCTCGATAACCCGGGGACGCCGCTGTTTCCCCAGGAGTCCCAGTACCCGCTGCCACAGGTACTCCCACACCTCCAGGACGGTCAGCAGACTGGCGCCGATAAACAGGCCCATCATTCCTCCTATGTTACCTGCAGGATGGAGAGGGGGGCGGTCCAATCAGTGTACTGATGACATTTCAGTCAAACCATAGTAGGGATATCATCATGAAAGTATGTCATATGTGCTGTATGTGTTAGGTGTGCACGCTATCAGCATACTTGCTGCCTAGTGCACACTTTGTATTGTCATGTTACAATTTCTGAATAAATAAATGAACGTTCATCTGTGTTAGTAGTTAATGTTACATGTTTAAAGCTAAAACGATTGATCCAACATAAAGGTGACAGAACTTTATTGTGTTGGATCAAAAGTTTTAAATTTAAACACATAGTAGGAATGTCTGTGAAAACTCGTAATCAGGGATATAGAAAAATAAAATTGTGATTCAAATTTACCGCTGGATACAATTGAAACAATATAATGTCAGTCGTTTCGAGTGTCAGTTTGACACTCTTCATCATTGAAGAACATTTGTAGTTGTTAATTAATGTAGTTTGGTAAACCTTATACAGACATTGACTTCACTGATGATGAGTGTCGGACAGACTCGAAACGTCTGTTAACATTCAAGCCAACAATTCTTGTTCTACGTACTCGCAAGCTGTCCTCCGTCCATGGCTTTCAGCTCGGTGATTTTCTGATAGTTCAGTTTCTCGTAGTAGACGCTGAACATGACGCCGTTTAGTCTGCAACAAACAAACAAAACACACCACAAGATATATAAAACATTGACATAAAGCGGTCCCGTAGGGGTGAGTATTGTATCCAGAGCCGTGCCTATCCAGTTCTATGCCAGAATTGGTTTGAATTAGGATCAGGCACGTTTCTGGATAGAATTCACGTATCAAATAATATCAATTTGCCTCAGGTACGGTTTTGGATATGCGTGGAATGCCTCGGATACACACGTGTCTGAGCATGATCCTAGATTAATTAAACATGCATGGTTCTGGATACACTATACATGAGGACAGTCAAACTATACATGGCGACGAAATTGGAAATGACGTCACGTTCACTTACTCTAAGTACTCTCCAGTCGAGCCCCACAACGGAGAAATGTACTCGCCGGTGAGCTTGTTGGGCCACCCTGCGTACGATACAGACATGCTGTAAGCTGTCATACTGCAGGGCACGGGGCAGTTACACTCCAGTTCTCCTCTGGTCACTTGATCTGTAACAGTGATAATTAAGAAATGTTAGGCGACCTACACGCCAAGTCACTTTTGGGACCACATAATCATTGAAAGAAGTGATAGCTTTTGGCGATAAGTGGATCAAGTCATGATAGCAAGAGAAACGACAAATGTTAGACGACCTGCAAGGGTTGTCTGTTACCAAATGCAAGTCCAGTTTAACATTTTGCTGTTCCATAGTCAATAGTGGATCAGAAAATTTACAAGAGGGGATGCAAACCCAGTCACGTTTGGGATCACGTTATCACTGCAGCGACACCTTGCGGCGAGAAGTGGCTCAAGTCATGATGATAACGTTAAACATGAGGAAATTGCAGACAAACTACTAAAACGTTGGGAGGTAAGAGTAGTCTAGTTGTGTACAAGAAAACTGTAAGTGTCGAATATGTTCCTCTTTCACTGATGTGAAGGATAGAATATCGACAGCCACTCACCTAATACAGCTCTGACACATGAAAACATCGTGTTTGGATCGCAGGATGGTGCAGTTCCTAATGGAAAAAAGAGCCAAACGCTAGGTTGGTCATCCTTTCACTATGAAGGCTAATGTCTCCAGTTTTAAAAGTTGAAAAAAGGATACTGAACTTCTAATATTACAAAGAACTGTATATCATTAATATGAGTATTATCAGAAATGTAGCATGTACATCATAATGTTTACCTTCGCATGGTCTAGATTAACACCCCTCTGCTCTGTGTATTGTTATCAAACACATTCATATACTAATACATGGTGACCAGCCTACAACTCTACCCTGCTACATAATGTAACCCAGCCCCCAGGATTGCCTGCTACAGCACCAGTTACCATGGTGACAGGCGGCCTAGTCGAGGTCATTGACCTTATATGTTTGGAGAAGAGGACGAAACAGCAACAACTTTTTGCGTTCTAACGTGAACTGATTAAGCGTAGGGCTGTGATATTTGGTCGCTTGATAAATTACATAACATACATTCGTCCTTTCGATCATTTCTTTTGACTATCGCACCTGGTAGATCGTACGGCCTACAGCTGCAGTTCCGAACCACGTGTTTACTCCTGCACTCCAGATAGCAGCCGTTCAGCGTGTAGGTGTCGTAATACTCCAGCTGCAGGTCCTGACAGACCCCCCACGGAGGGACGTGGTTCTCGTACTGAGGAGGAGGAGGAGAAATCGTACGGACTTGTGATGTTTGCTATCATCTTTGGGATGACACAGTAACCAAAGAAAGTTCGAAGCTAGACTGGTAATGTATACCCTGTCTTTCATTGCTAAGGCTTAGTCTAAGCTTTCCCTCTTGTCACATTTAAGACGTTTGTCACTTCAGTGCATATAGTATTGATTTGAAACCAATTGAATTGAAGGTGGTCTGTGCGTCAGGCCTGTCGATGTCAAGCACTCCTGTTTTTATCTGACCATATTACAACATCCCCCCCCCCAGCGTTAGCAGTAGTCAAATCACCAGGTTGACCAATTATTTGAGTCACACATCGTTATCACCCACCCACCCACCAACCAACCAACCAACCAACCAACCAACCAACCAACCAACCAACCAACCAACCAACCAACCAACCAACCAACCAACCAACGATTCCTATGTTTACCCGTCTAGCTTTGAAATATGTCTTGTTTTAACCACAGCGGTATTTCCGTTATCTTAGGTTTATTGATTATCATTTATTATTGTTTATTTCATTTTGCACATAAAAAAGGGCATACAGAGAATTAATATCAAATACATTTGTACACGATATGAAACAAAGTATAGAAACTAAATAACTTATACAAAAGGAATGTATTGGAAGCAGAAAAAACAATAAGGTGTAATTCTGATCTTGAGGACTCACTAATGTCCGTTTAGCGGCGATGAAGGCGTGGCTGCCCGGCGCGAGGGCGATGCCCTGGGTGTCCATCATGGGAGGCTCGTTCTGGTCATGCAGCAGGAGCTTCAATCCGACCTCGGAATTCCCACTCGCGTAATAACTTTCCGTGTAATCATTCTGCCGGGAAAAAGTCTAATTAATTATTTACCGTAAAATAGAAATAAAATAAGAACAACGGAAGAAAAAAACTGGCTGAGAAAAGGTACAAGACCGGATACTACACTTTATCTTAGCCAAATTAAAAGGCTGTGAATTTGATCAATTGAAGCGATCGATATCTGCTTCGACCTCCTCGAGTTATATTGATTATTGTCCACAGTTTGCGCGGACGGATTCCTGAGCCTATAATATACACTATAAAGTTAGCCCCAGAGGCGTCGCCAATAACCCCAAGTAATGCACAGTAACAATAAGATTATCAAACTTTCGTAACCAAAAATGTGTTAATATCAAGTTATATATTTTGCTTGCCTAATTGCCTTCAAAGGTTTATGGTCACTCACCACTTTAAGGTCGACGAACGCCACGAAGCCGTTCCCGGACCCTTGAATGGTCTGCTTCAGAGGGCTGTTCGCGTCGGCGTTGAAAGTGTAACAGTTTCCGTAATAGCCGAAAGAGTGGTTGAAGTCCTGTAGTGTAGATGGAAGTATATCACAAGAAAAGTGACCAATCAGGGAGCAGCATTAAAGATGCCCCAACCGGGACGGTGGACGATACCGACTTCCTACTACGGTAACCTTTGACCCACGAGAGCGTGATGCAAAGGGAGAATTAGTAATCAAAAACAGCATGAAAGCTGCCACAACCGGGACGGTGGACGATACCGACTTTCTATTTCGGAAACCTTTGACCCATGAGAGAGTGATGCAAAAGAAGAGTTATAGTAATCAAAGAACAGAATGAAAGCTACGCCAACCAGGACGTTGGACGATACCGACTTTCTACTACGGTAACCTTCGATCTATGAGAGAAGGGCAGCATACTATCATGACTTCTGGTGTATTGTGATCGACACTACCACAAAATACAGCGACAATTTAGACTTACCTGTTGAGTACAGGGATTTCCCTTCCACTTGCAGAGAGGCATGCGAGGCCATTGGAGGTTAAAGCCTTTTTCCAACAGGAGGTCCCCCACCGTCACGCCCTGTTTGGTTATTATTTTTCTTTTTTTAATTAATGAAGACCTTTATTGTACATTTTTGCCCCACTGGGCTAAGCACTGGTCACATGTTAGCAAAGTGTATACATGTAAATATAAATGTCTAAAGTATACAACTTTAACTCCAAAGACCCTCCAAAGTGGCTGAGCCACTTTACTATGCACGTAGAGGCCATTTGCATGAGGACGGCGGCAGATATCGACTTCCAAGACCTTTGACCCGCTCATGACGTCACGCGTCGATCAGAATTGTGGGTCAAATTCCTGACTGAGATCTATGTTTACGTATTGATGGCTGCTTTAATGTTGAATTGAAGTTAAAACTCAACTCTGCATCGTGACAGACAAGACAAAGGAGCCTTCAGGCTAAAATTAACGTGCATAACCTCGCGCATACTAGCAGACGACGTGCCAAACTACATACCGATGCAGCGAATGGATCATGAGTTATAGCTGCGAAGGTACCAACACAACTGACCACAATATTCTGTCGGAGGTCACTGATCTCTTTCACAGAGCAGTAAACAACAACAACAAAAAAAACTACAGCATTTAACGCACTCGACTCAACACACACGATTTACCTCCAGAGTAGAGTTGACGGTTTCATCCGGATATGCACCTGGTGAGGCGAGGATAGCGTCAACGTCAAGTTGAACTCCATACAGGAACAAGGACAGGTACGAGAAGTCAATGATCTTTAACTTGGATTCGTCAAACCTGAAAAGGGCACATGGCGTGATTAAGCCACGTGGGTAGTACTAGTACGCAACTGTCAATATTATAACCCTATGTGTGCATGCCCCCCCCCCTCTCTATCTATCTGAGAGTAGCCGCACGTGTGCGTTCCCGTGTGAAAGAGTACGCACATGCGTGTGTATGTGAGAAGGCTTGCGTGTGTATGTATGTGTGTTTGCGCGTGTGTGTGCGTTTGCGCGCGTGTATGTGCTTTTGTGTGTGCGTGTGTGTGTGTGAGTGAGCTTGTATGATCAATTTGTGCTTACGTGTCTGTATATGTTTGTGTCATGAATGTGTGTGCTTGTGTGTGTGCCTGTGTGTTTGTGTGTGTATGTGTTTGGGTGTGTGTATTATGTGTGTGTTTGTGCTTTTGTGCTTTATTTTGGGGGGGTGTGCGTGCATGTGTGTGTTCGTGTGTTAAACTCAAGAGAACATTGAACCTACTTGTTCATGTTGCAAATCGTGACAGCCGGAAATGTTAAGTCTTCAGCAAACTCCAACTTCGTATCAGTGATGGTTCTGTAACTGAAGTAGTCAATGATCCTGCAAAGTGTAAAAAGAAAAAAAACTCCAATCAATCAAAATCAATCAACTGATGATTTTGTTTTAATGAACTTTTGCTACAAGATTAGGGGCGTGACTACACGATTATTCCTTTTTTCACGAGAGATCGGTCAGTCAAACTACCCTCAACAATCAACCGGGACGGGGGCAGACATTGTTTACCAGATATCTTTGACCTAGTGTTGACGTCACAATTCAGAGAAGCAAGCCACGTACTGGCAAGTCTCACCGGATCAGTCTATTGAATTGAAGAAGACCAAAGTGAATGGTCTAGGTGAGAACAATCTCTTGTGGTGGATCAAAAAGTTTTAACTCTGATTTTAATAAACACCCTCAACATGATTAGAAGTACAGAAGTCAGACAATATGCCAGGATAAGTAGCTAGATATTATGAGTGCGGGCCGCTACATGACACGCCATGACAACCTGACAAAGACAATCCTGCAGGACACTCTGTAAGGAGGACGCCGTCGGGGACGACAGAGGAAGTCCTGGCAGGATAACATCCCAGAGTGGACGTCAACCTGTCCGAAAGGCTAACTGCCACAAGAGACAGAAAGGCCTGGAGACTGCTATCCATCCTCACTTTTACCTTGTCCTTACTTTGACCTTACCCCAACGACCAGGAGGTCAAGGGACGAGGTAGGTAGATAGTATACTTACATGGAGCTGAACATGTAGGCAAACCCGGAGTATGAACCCAGGATAGCGACGACCCACAGGACACGGAAGTAGCCGCTGGGAGCGATGACAATCTGCGGGGAGAGATGGAACAACAGGCGGTCAAGATTAGCCTCTGCCAGGCTTCAGAAGCGGTCGGAAAGAGTATATATTGGCCAAATAGACAATTATAACATGCCAGGAGAGTTGGTTTGCTAAACATTGGAATACATTGTACGGAAGCAGCTAACTGTACTGTTTCTCCTTTATCAGAACAACTCTCATGGCATGTTACATGTATCTATCTAATAGTATGATAACTCTTTCCAGCCGCCTCTGAAGCCTGGTAGAGGCTATCTCAAGATGACGAATGATAAAAATGTCCATACTGTATATTGCATACATGTTGATCTTTGTGGCAATTCTTTTGAACTTTTACCTGTTACATACCATTGCCTGTAACAGAATGGAGATAGCTACAGGATGGATCTTGCCATTAATTATAAATGTATTTCAACAATACCATCCACATCTTAATCTGCCTCACCTGTGGCCTTTTTGGCATATCGGGTTTCAGTGGGACATTTGTGTCGTGTCTCTGATGCAAAATTCAGAGCCAAAATAGCAGAAATGAATTGACAACCTGGGCACACTATTCCACACATTCTCATCACAGCTACAAATTAACAGATAGATAAATTATGAAGCAGTTTTGAACTTTCAACACAGGAACTTGGACTCACCCAAATTGTCGATTCTACAATTCTAGTCTTTTAAGAGCAGTCAACCGCTATACAGTAGATTTCGTGTGTTAGAAATTGAAGTTCAACCATGCTTCATAATGACTTCTACCAAGTTGTGAACACAAATCAACTTTCAATATAAGTTATAGAAATAATTTTCTCTTGCCCCCGTGCAGTTTTCCCTTATCTTTTCTTTTCTTTTTTACAAATGATACAAAATTGCAAGCACCTACCCTATTGAGTCCGTGCAGAGTCGTGTTACCGGCGAACTCTTTTTCTGGGGACTCTTTCTCCTCTCCCGGTGACATGGCGGAAGGTTACTGCTAAAACGGGTTCGAACGGGAAAACCGTTTTAAACTTGTACTCCTCCTCTGGGCTGTGAGAGTATGGAGACAGAGTGACGTGTAGATTGCAAATTCTGGGGTGTCCTATATATATGAAGACTGGTCTTTTGTTCACCTTTTCTCTGGGACCCAAAGAAAAATAAACAAACTGAACAAAAAGGTAGCTACTATGGCTAAGCCACCTGATATTACGTTTAATTCATAAACAAATTTAGCTGCAAGGATAGTACAGATTGAGACTTGTGCCATCATGTAGCCTGGTATCCAAACCTATCTTAGCTGCCTAGTCTCAGTCTCAGTTGATTAGATACTGGCTAAGTTTGGAAAATCTACATAATGTAGGGTTGTTAAAAGGGATGCGCATGACTGGCCAAATGACGTTCAGGACATATCATGTAGACATGGGCTCCGAAATGGTTGACTTAACCCCGCTGTTAATGCCAACCGTTTTGAAACATATTCAGAGAACGTCTGAAAGACACATTTCTGTTGGAACAAGTTAAAGATACCAGTAAACTCCACACATATTCTAAAATAAATAAAAAACATTTTGGCATGGTAGAATATCTCACATCAATTCAGTACGAACCCGCTTGCAAATACCATGATAACCAAACTGAGAATCAGCGCACATTGCCCTCAAAATGAAAAGGGCCGACACCGGTGCGAGTATCAAAGAGAACGAAAGAGTTTCGGCAGGTGAAATAGGTCTGGAAACCAGGCTAGCCATTACCGTCGTTACGACTTGAACACAACAGACATCTACAGTACCTGAAACAACGTCTTACCACTTCGAGACGTTTGCTCAATCAACACGCCGTTTTCTTGTCGTCGAGAAGTTTGCCCAATCTACACTTCTTCTTTTTTTCTTGCCGTCGAGGAGTTTACTCAAACAACACTTCGTTTTCTTCTCGTTGAGACGTTTGCTCAATAAATAAAAATTAATCGACAACCACAAATTGAAAAAAAAAACGCTGCAATGTTTTCTTCTCGTCAAGAAGTTTGCCCAATCCACAAAAATGAACGGACGGCCACAAAACTGACCGACAGGTGGCTGAAATTCAACGCAACAACAACAAACAGAAAACGACGGCCGTATGTTGGGGGTAAGGCGGCGATAAAAAGACTTTCTATCCCCTCGTTTGTCTACCGTTTGTCAGATTTAGGACGACCGATAGGACGAAGTGACGTCAATATATGTGTGGGATCGTTCAGTTAGTTATTCTACTCTCAGCAAAATCATTTTTGTAAGAGATAAGCATGAGAAAAGCCAGAGGTTTTCGGAATGAAGTGTTCTCATCTCATTTGCAGCAAACAGGACAACAAACAAAGTTGGACCTATTAAAAGTACATGTAGACTCCTGCCTAAACATGTCAGAAACCGTGAAAAAATCAGGGAAATACATGTATCTGTAAATCACAAAAACTTTAGAAAAACATGTAGGTATGCAGCGAAACCTGTTTCCCAACGTGATTAGGGACAAGCAGTGTCTATAAATCTTTTTGTTATCGAGAAAATAACTGGAAATCCTCAGGGGCAATTGCAAAGCAAGTGGTGAATGGAGATTAAAAAACAACAAGGTAGAATACTCTAGAACTTAGTGTGGCCTCATGCTTATTTGTCTTACATGTAACATGTTTTCATGGTTGAATTGTGGATAACATCTTCTAAAGCCCCCAAACTAGGGCGCGCCGGAGAATAGTAACAAAATTTCAGCAAAAAATGGTGCTATTATAAACCACAGGAATGCAAAGCTGGTATTGTGAATTTGCATTAGTGCATAGCGACTTTTGCGACAAGCTGGCACATGCTGGCCATTTGCGGCATGTTTCAGTCGGGAATTTGTTATAAACTTTCTAAATCACTATTTTATGCCTGAAGTCTTCAAGTTTGGTTATCATGTTGTTACGCTCTCATAAGAAGAGAAAAAAAATATCATTCGAATATCGGAAAATAACCGAGACATGGCACGAGCCCTAGTCATGTGTAAATGACTCACAGTCTTCCTCTACGAAAGTCGGTCACTGAAAACGGCCTTTTCTGACACAAAACCCTCCCATCCACCTCTTAACCCACCCATACAGGCGGCTTTACAAAAACGCTAAAACCTAAAACCATGCTTTACCTCCACACGTACTGTTTCTATATCAATACGCGGAAACATAGAACTTAGCGGACGTCTCGATCGACTGAACAAAAAGACGAGAAAAGCTCCCAAACATGACATTCTAAAGAATTAGGTTACGCAATGTCGCATTGAGGGTGACCGTCAAGGTTACTAGTATTGCATGCGTATTGATGGTTATTATATGCCTCAGGCCGTCCACACCCGGATGTTTTAAACAAATACTGATATCTCACAACTCAGCCCAAAAGGTAAATAAATAAATTTGATTTGTTTTGTTTTGATTTGATTTTTTCGACAGCATGTGTATATGTACAACATAGGTTAATGTTCTATCCAGAACCGTGCTTTATTCAGAGCTATGCTCACGCATATCTTGGATACGCGAAGACCATATCCAGAACCATTCTCGATCCTAACCCTAACCCATTAAGGTATAGAATAGACGCAATTCTGGATGCGATAGCTACAACTAGCCAAATGCTATTACAAAGGCGACTGAGCAATATGCGATATAAGGCACAAGGCACGTATAATCATGAAGGCGTTTATACGACTTTAGGTGCTATTTTTAATTGACAACACACACGTAAAGTACAGTGTTCACCAGATATTATTGAGTAGTTGCTTACCTGCTTCTTGTCTGGTGCCGTCGGCGTGATGTGACGGCTTGAAAACGACACATTCACATACTTTTTAGATGATCTCAACCGTTCTGGGTGACAACCTCTTCAGCGCGGTTTCTGAAGCCGGGGGTCTTTGTGCAGAGCCCAGGCGGAACCTCCCGTGTCCAGCTTTGTTGGCGGATCAAATCAGGCGTTTGTCCGTGAAGGACTCAGGCAACAGCCCCACAAGTCGCCTGCTTGCACAGTTTGTTTTCTCCCGTGAAAAGGGATTTTATTTTTTGGCAACGCCTCTGGGGCAGGGTTTATTTTGGTGCTCAACAACTCAACAAGCAGTCCCGAGCTTCAATATGAACGTAGGTGTATACAGCTCTAGTAGTGTCTCAAGGATATGATTTAAAATGATACACATTACTAAGTACAGTCACAGGAACGTCAATGTACGTAGATGTACAGCTCTCCTGTGGTTATGTCTTAAGTATAAAATTCTTTTTAAAAATGATTTAATCTGATACACATGACTAAATACAGGCGCAGGAACTTCAATGCACGTACACGTCACTTGTAATGAAGTGTTTATATTATTACCTCCGGGTAGGGATGTATATCCCGAGCGCGGAGGTTTTGTGAGGGAAGACGAAAATTGCGTTCGCAGCCGTTTCTCGCGTTTGGGTGGACGGATATGTCTGGGACTTGGTATACGTTTTGCTGTTGGGCTGTAGATGGTGCACGTTGTTTTGGTTTTTTAGTATGTGTGTTTTAGTGCGTGAAAATGATGCGTTTAGACCGCCGATGGACACCCCTTTCAGTGTGAAAGTGGACCTCAGCTTTTGACCTCTGCATGTATAATCACCATTGAGGTCGCGACCACTGATCTGACCTTTCACACAGAGGGGTGTCAGCATTCTTTGAAACTGTTCAGATGTGAACCACATGTGCCGTCAATCAACGTCTCATTATCGTGCCTGGTGGGATCGCGCGGGTCGCAGCCAGGGTCGCAGCCAGCCAACTTCCGGGTGGGCCAATGGGTCAGGGGTCAACGCCCTCTTGCGCAATTTCGGATGTTTTCGGCTTACAAATACCGTGGTATACTGTCTCAGACGTTCTCGACATGCATTTCGCGTTGGGGTAGTTGGTGTATCTTCTGTTAATGGGCTGTAGATGGTGCAGGTTTTTTTTTGTTTTATTGTATATGTGTTTTGGGGCGTAAGATTATTTGTATTTCCTTTTCGTGTCTCGGACACCCGTTACTGTGTTTGTTTACATTATCGCTGGTCGCTGAGGGTCGGGCAGCCAGATTCGCCACGGGATGCCTCCTGTCCTTTCTATTTTTGGGCTCCAGTCGGCTAGGGGGGATTAGTGATTTCACACATCATTTAGCCAATTACAAACATTTCGAAACTTTTCGAAAAAAATGGTATTCGCGCGAATTCACTAGTTAATTCAAAGAACAGTCCCAACATGCACCCAACATTCTGCAACATACATTACAATACCCGGAGGTACAAAATCTACGATTTTCCTTGTTCTAATTCTATAGTAAACTGGATTTTCACATGACTTAATAAGTTATCATGAAAGTTCATCTGTGTTGGTAGTAATCATAGTAAAAGGTTGAAATTTATTCCAACACACAATTATACAGGGATCAAATTTTCAGCGACCACTGTCGCCTTCATCAGGATAATTAATAACCAATCACTTCAGAATGTGATCTCGCGAGAATTACGGTTTACAAACTCGTGACCTTATTCACACGAGATTTTACTGATACGTGACGTAAATATCAGAGCACTTCAGACTTCACTCAAAAGAGATGGTGGACGATATAAACTCCCTTGCACTTTTGATCAATTGCTTACGTCACGTATCAGTAAAATCTTTATAAAAAAATTCACATGGCATTGCTATGAATTTAATGCGTTTATCAAAATGAAAATAAAAAAGTTAGACATGACAAAAGTACAGAATTATATTATATATTTTGTGTTGTCATTATTCATAGCTTTCCTTCTGGTTTTATCATTTCTCTATCTACCTTATAGAAGGCAAGCTATTTTGGTACAACTTTTTGTGACCACTAAATCAAACTGTGGTTTCCTTTTCCCCAAACTGAAGATCTATCTCATGACGACATTCTGTAAGTTTCTGTTCCAGTTCCTCAGGTGTCGGTCTGGCCGACGGCTCTTCCCGCCAACACGACCTCATGACGTCATACAGCCTGTCCGGACATCCCGGCGGCTTTGGCAGACGCTTTCCTACCCTCAGGAACTCTACTAAGTTCGGATAGGTGAGCCGGACCATCTCCTGATAGTTGGGCTCCTCTCCAAACGCCGCGATCTCCCACAGCAGCACGCCGAACGACCACGTGTCGGACTCGCACGTGAACTTACGACATTTCAGTGACTCCAGAGCAATCCACTTCAGAGGCAGGAGCTCTTCAGCTCCTATGTTAGCTGAAATGGTGCTGTACACGTCACGGGCCAGGCCGAAGTCGGTAAGTTTAGCAACGTCATCTACATTGATGAGAACGTTCCGAGCGGCCACGTCACCGTGAGCGATAGGAAGGCGTCGGAGCTCCTCCAGGGCACGTGACATGTGGACAGCATAGCGCAGAACATTGCTGAGGAGAAGAACGCGATTCAAGCGTCGACGTTCGGTTTGTTGCTTCAATCGTTTTAGATGTTGCAAAAGATCACCACTGGCATATTCCAGGAGAACACACTTTGGCCTGGACTTCGTGATGACCCCAAACAGCCGGACAATGTTGGAGACTCCGTTATTGTGTTCTTGGTTTTCGTGAACAGCTATGAGTGCGGCAACTTCTCGACAGAACGCTTGATAGTACTGTTTATCCTCCCCACGCACGGACTTAACAGCTACAGTCACTTCAGCGTTGTCAATGCGGAGATGGCCCTTTCTGATATGTGCAAACGTACCGAGCCCGATCAGCTGACCTAGAGTCAGATCCTTGGCCTCCCTTTCCCATCGGTTGAGCCAGCCGGGTTGTAGACTCTGTGCTAAGTTTTCTTCCATGATACTAGTCAGTTCGAGTAGAGCCTGTGCCTCCTCTAAGCCCTCTTCTTTTTCACCTGAGTAGCCCTCTTCCACATACAAAGCACCACCAACACTACCGACACAAACAGGACCAGTAAAAGTGGTACAGAGATTTGCAGCGGCAGTTGGAAACTGTCGGTTTGGATGACCTCGCACCACTGCCCAGTCCAGGGCGCCTCGCACGTACAGTTTCCGTCCACGTGGTGACATGTGGCGTTGTTCTTACAAGAACACGCATGCTGACAATGATCCCCGTACCGACCACTTGGGCACGGCGTGCTACAATCTACGCCAAACCAACCTTCACCGCAGAAACAATAACCGTTGATATTGTTGCTGCGGGCCCCATTCTGACATTGGCATTCACTGCTACAGTTCTGTCCAAACGTGCCGTGTGGGCACCAAGTCTCGCACATTGTCCCAACGTATCCCGGCGGACAGACACAGCCGGCCCACCGTTCACAACTGGCTTCTTCTGGACAGTCGCAGTCGTCTTCGCACAATTCACCCGTCTTCCCGGGAGGACAGGCGACTGCCTGAAGCTCGTAACTTGCGACAAAGACCCGTTCGTCTTCTGTAACTACAGTACATGTGTAAGTGCCATTGTGTTCGGACCGGATGCTTTCTATTCTTACCTGATCTTCTTGAGTCCTCTGTAACCACGTTTTGGTTCCATTTGGAAATCCCCACATCATCCTTTCGACGGCCAGATTGAAAGCTCTGCATTCCAGTGTCAACGAACCCTTAATGTGAATCTGTCGCGAGTCGCTAGGAGTCGCTTTGATGGCAACGGTACTGTGAGGTATGTCGCAGACAACACCTTGCCATCCAGGCTGACACTTACAGGCCCCGTTCAACCCATGGCAACGGGCTCCGTTTTCACATTCACACTGCTTTTCACACATGACGCCATATTTGGTGGGTGGGCATCCTTTGGGCTTAGCGTCAAATTCCAGTCGAATAAGATGTGTGACCTCGTAATGCACATAATTATTCCTGACCGGCAAAGACAATTTTAGTTTTGGTAGGTTGCATTTGAGATTGTACGATTCGCGGGCTTCTAGAGACTGGAGCTTGCGAAAAGAACCGGCTATGTCAAGCCGTGTGGTCAGATAGTCGAAATTCGAGCCCACGTCACTTGTAAAATCACATTCAGCACTCCCGTCAGTGTTGAGAACTGCGAGTTCAAAGACTGCTGCACCGTCAGGCGAGGAGAAACATTGGAGACATTTCCCACGCAACACTCTAGTTGCGGCCTTGTCTATTTCTGCTTCACTTGTGACAGTTGCGGCAAACAGCACACCACAGTTGCTACCGGCGTGGTAAAATGCGGAGTCAAATAATTTACGAAAAGAACCCCGAATCGTACTTGTGAATGAAAGAATTCCTCTGTTCTTCTCCATAATCTCAAGCGTACCTTCCCCATCGAAGACCGGACTGCCAGGCGACTTCCCGTTAGCCAGAACCGGCGTTTCGCAGGTGTCGTTGTAAACAGGCGGGTATCCTTCCACATCCTGGACGCGTATATCCACGCGTCGCTCTTCTACCTCTCCGGCCGACCAAATGACATTGACCGTGAGGTTGTACATCGGACTAACGTCATAATCTAACGGCCGTGCAACTGTGATCCTACAGGCGGTTATCATGAACCGGCGGTGCCTGTCTCCCTCGACAATCTCACACTGAACGTCGTCTTCATTCATCTGAGAAGTGGTCAGCACTCCTGTAACGTTTGTTCCGATAGCTGCATTTTCCGGGACAGTGGCATAGAGAGGAGTTGCTGAACAAGGGACGTTGGAGAACGCCAACAACGTAACGATATTGACTAAGCTCTTGAATGTCTGCATCTTGAATGTGGTCACAGGGTGCGACTGCTGAGCTTACACGCAAAACTATAGCTGCTTTGTCTCAAGTAGAAACGTGACAAAATCAGGACTTTTCTCACGGTATGGAATTGAATGAAATTATTATGACTAATCAATGAAGTCCCCTCGCTCATTTTCCTGGTTTAAAAAGAGGAAGCATTTGATGAGGTCACACATCCCTTTTTCGTTCCGTTGTTTAAACACGTGAATATTCAATGTATGGCAAGTAAACATTGGACGTGTTCTAAGTACAAGGCACATACCACAGCTAGTGCAGTTGCTTGGTAATATATTGCTATCAATCAATAGTAAGTTGGTAATAAGCCGGCGAACATGCAGCAAGGTTTAGTCGTGCTATAAAGCTAGTAGCTATCAGGCCACACCAAGTAAATTTTATGGATGACGTCCGCGCGCGCATTGATTTCGGCCTGTTCCTAGAAAAAAAAAACAAGAAATTCCACTTCCTGTAACTATGACCAAAGAGTCACGACAGTGCCACAAATCGTCAGATTGACGTGGAACCCGTAACGCGAGAACAGGGCAGAACGACAACTGCTGTTCCACCTGATTTATTGCTGTTTTGATTACGAATAAAAAATTCCTTGCTTGTTACACTGTATCACCTCATTCAAATTGTGCCCTAACATTTGTCGTCTCTTAGTATATTTCTTATCTAGGCATCTTGTTTTTTAGGGCCCTTCTTGTTTTTTTTTTCGCCCTCTCGCATTAGATTTAGGGTCTCCAAAGGACGTCATCCATAAAATTTACTTGGTGTGGCCTCATACAAAATAAGCTGTTTCTCTTTAGACTTTTACTAAGAGTGGTGTTAATGAATAGGATATAACATGTTTATTTGTTGAGTTTTTAGCGAAAGTGCCCCTGATGATATTTGTTTTGTGAAACAGATGAGATTAAAAAAATACGTAATTACAGGTTGTCACAGTCACCTAGTTATCTGAATTCCACATTGCACTAGGCACAAAACATTCCGACATGGAAACTGACATATTTTAATCAAAAAGTTTTGGCAACTCAGAACGTTTACCTAGAAACGTTAGGCACGAAATCTACAAACTTAAAAACCTGTTTTGTACATAGTGTCTATCATCATCCATTACCAGAACGTTGGATACAAAAGAAGCTGATATTTTTCTTGATTTCACTTGATAAAACGGGAAAGTGGCTAAAAAGCCAGAGTCTCGTCCGAGGCCACAAGCATAATAAGGGAGCTCATTCTGGTGTATAGCTCACAGACATACCACCATGGTTAAGGTAACTTCTTACCCCCGTTTCCTTACATAAGAATGAAGTCTTTAAAAGGATTAGGGATTCTCTCAGACAATTTTACTGGTAGTGAAGAAATTATGTTATCATTTTAAGAAACTTAGAGTTAAAATTAAGAATACAACACCATCTTAAAAGAGTTCACTTAGAGTGATCAAAACTTCAGTGAAAAAAGTTCGGATGATTGTTTTAGAAACTTGGCTACCAGTAGATAAATAAAAGGACGGTAAAAAAATACTATACAGCATGATTTTGTTTAGTTTACACGTGGCAAGTAACTGCCTAGCCCTTTTATGTTTTAACTAAAAGAAATGTGCAGAAGCTAAACATAGAGCATAATGTAATTTACAAAATAATACTTGGTGTACCCTTTACCCTGTGTTATATTTTCAGACTGTCCTGACCTTCGGTCTGGTGACTGCCATCTTGCTTGTAGCTGGCGACGTCACGTTTACTGCTGAAATTCCTCAACCACAAGTTGATCAAGGTATTATACATATCATAACGTCTATTCTTATTTCCGCCGTGTACCTATAAGTGCTACGTATACATTAATGTGTTATATTCAAAAACTTTTCAAAAATGTCTTAAGTGGTAGCATACATGTAGCTGTATATGTTTAACTATGTTGGTTAAAGAATGATACCTATAAGCACTTATACATAATATAGTATCAATGAATAAGGTTCTGTACAATGTATGTATTAATTTTGTACTGTAAGTTACAGGTACATTTACCTTTATCTGGCGTATATAGTGTAGGTGTGTAATGTGGATATACGCAGTGTTTCCTTTACTGTGCAATCATGAAAAATACAAGGTATGTTCAATGTATTTACTGTATACAGATGAAAGTTTGAACCCTGTGAATGTTGGCGGCCCGACGGACGACCCAACCCCGGCTGCCGCTACGTTCCAGGACTGTGCAGATCTCTACACTGTACTCTACTGGACCAACACGGTACAGAACGGAGTCTTCTCCATCAAACCTGAGTCTTCCACCGACCGGTTTGACGTCTACTGTGACATGACTACAAACGGCGGGGGATGGACGGTCATACAGAGGAGGTTTGATGGGAGACTCAACTTTTACAGACGCTGGGCTGACTACAAAAATGGGTTTGGGAGGGTCGAGGGGGAACACTGGCTTGGACTGGATAAAATTCACAACCTGGTGTCTCAGAATAGCTACGAGTTGGCTGTAGAGTTGGAGGATTGGGAAGGGAGTGTGAGATATGCTATATATGATACGTTCAGCATTGGGGATGAGGGTACAGATTATAGGCGTAACATAGGGGGTTACAGCGGGAATGTTGCTGACTCTATGTCGGCTCATGACGGTATGAAATTCAGCGCTAGAGATGTGGATAACGACATCTCCAGTAGTCGTCACTGTGCCCAGTGGTACGGGGGTGGCTGGTGGTATGAAACCTGTGCTCACTCAGCCCTGAATGGTGCGTACTTCCAGCCAGAAGACTATCATGGTGCCGACACGGGGAGGGGAATTTACTGGATGAACTGGAAAGGGTGGGACTACTCACTGAAGGCCACCAAGATGATGGTGCGACCTCAAAACTTTATCCGCAAACTGTAACTGAAGTGCGGATGCTTGTTCCATTCAAGCATACTCAAACTTTATCAACATATTGTATCACCTTAGTAAGAGAGGCGTGTTAATACTATCTGATTATGTCTCGTTTCAGTGATATTTTGTGTCATACCGTGCGATATGAAGCTAAGGCATCCAATACAATTTCATGTCGGCGAAACAAAAATATGAGGAAATTTACCTGATATTGACATTTACTTCCATTTCTTAGCACATTTTCGTAAAGCGTTGGAATTTGAAGCGTTTGAATTAAAAATATAACGCAGAAACAAGCTACGCGAGGAGTTCCTTTATTTTTTTTTGTACCAACAACAAACAGATAGAACCAGCCTACGGTGCGAAACAAGCAATTGTTTTCCGTCATTTTTGCCAGAGATTTTTTGTCACAGATATCAGTATGCTAATATTGGGATAGGTTTGGATAAACTTACCATATGAAAGAAATTGCCCGAAAATTGACTTTGAGAATCCAAGTTTTCTGCCCTAAAAACAGTGCCGTCATTTCAACACAGAGTTCAGACTTGTTAACGTGTACGCAAGGCGGGAAACACATGGATTAAAGTGCAAAGGACGCGGTCACCGGCCATGATATTGACTTTGCACCTTGTGACGGGGATCTACGTCAGCCAAAAGTAAATATAGTTTTCCGCCCACTGTATAGAAAGCTTTATCTGTATGCTGCAGTTCCGTGTTCTACAGCTTTGTTGACAGTTAGAGCGTTTGTGCGCTCGTCAGTCCGGTCAGAAGAGTAGCGGGTGAAGGAACTGAATGAACCGATAGGTGTCGCTGTGTGTGTGTGTGTGTGTGTAGCACTGTATATGTGGGGGAGGGGGCGGAGCTACAGTATAATGTTTAATAAGCTCTCAAAAATAATTTTCGACCCAATTAAATCAAACATTAGTACAGCAGTTTTTTTAATCACCTTTATTCTCATTGTCTCATCACATGACCACCTCATTAAATTTAGCTTTGCTACGAGCTTAGCAACAGTTGAACAATAGACCAGGATCGTCTCATATTTCCTGATGGTGGATAAAAGAAATATGTACGTTTAGACTATTTGGTCCACTGAAGTTGATGCCTTTAAATCAGATGTTGGGCTAGAAGATATATTATTGCTTTCTGTCAGCAGGGTTTTACTGAAAATCACCAAGGCTGACTGTCAGAGAAGCCTGGCGGTCAGAAACCATTACAATCATCCATCCCAACATCTTTACTCAGAGATCAAGGTATCTCTCTACACCTCTACACGAGAGTACACTCTACGCGAGAGTACTTTAGAATGAAGGCTAGGATGCAGACTCAGGCTTGTTGCTGCTGAGGAGAAATGAACTTGCAGAACTCGTCAAAAGACACCTTGCGATCCGGCCCTCCGATTTGAGTGATCACGTCCTCCAGAGCGTCGTCTGGCATGGGGCCTGCACCCGCCATCTCCAGGAGCTTCTTCAGCTCGTCTTTTTCCAGATTCCCGCTTCCGTCCTGAGGAACAACATCAGGGGTACTGCATTAGCACGTCAGTAGAGCGTATTACGCCTGTGCGATATGTGCATAGCACATGCTAAGAACGTATTGTTTAAGGTTGTGTTGGAATAGTAGTGTGTCAAAAAAGACATGAAACGGACAAAATTCAAATTCTGATGCAACGTTGACCAAACATCCATTTGAAAAAGTGGTTTGGCTCATGCAGGCAAAGTACGTTTTCTGACATGCTGGTAGCATCCAAAAAGCAATGCTTGCACTCACGTGACTGCGACCGTAATCACGTGAGTCCTCCATACTGGATGGTTAAACTCTGAAGTCGCGTAAATTGGAATTTGTAGTAACCGCCATCATGCCGAAAATTACTATTTTAATAACATAGGTACATCATCCTAAAACTTTATTGGTTGATAATTATTGGGCAATAACTTACGGTATCCATTTGTTCGAAGGCCTGCCTGAGGGCATCAACAGGGGGCGGCATCGACATGATGAACGCCACGAACTCGTTGAAGTCGAGAGACCCCTTACCGTCCTTGTCGATCCTTGCAAAGACAACCTGCATAGAAAATATACAAAATCAACAATGGACAACGTAACGACACATGTCATTTTATCCCAATAATCTGATTTATGTAGATGAACTCAGCTTGGCTATCTTTTAAAGACATTTTCTGTTCTTTGGAGGAATAGTTCATTGCGCAGGGGGTTTTTAACACTGTGCCACCATAATAGACATGATGTCATAAAAAAGACCTGAATTACTACTTACGTCTATCATTTGCTGATTGGGGGGTTGCTTTCCGGCTTGAGTCAGGGCTTTGGCCAGCTCAGCCTTGCTGATAGTTCCGTCACCACTGGTGTCGAACGCTTGGAAGACTTCCCTCAACTGTTCCTCCATTTTGTCTGGGTTATTCTACAAGACAATATATGAAATGTTTAAGTATTGCATAGAGTGTGAACAATGTATGAAATGTTTAAGTATTGCATACAGTGTCCCTTTGTCTCATTTGGACTTCTAGCGTCAACAGCTGTTCCAGTGTAATTCTCCTACTCATACAACCAGTCCTTAGCCCTGTTAACAGACAAGGACACATAATTTTGTCACTGTAGTAAACGATCATGTATGACACTGCAAAACGAGTACTCGAATGTGGCTTGGACTGTTACTAGTTCAATAGTCTTCGAGCCGCATGGACGAAGTATGGTGGAAATTCCATAGGTCCAACGGTATGTTATCCCACATGATTTGAAAAGGAGGTGTGTAAGATCATTGTAGACAACACAGTTTGCCTTCAAGCGCGTAAACTGCAGCAGACCTTATGTAATTGAAAGTTAATTATCGAATTCCCTTCGACCTTGAAAAGCTGGGGAGTGGGGGGTAGTAAGAAACAGAGAAGTTATAGTGTTGTGGAATAAAAGTAGCTAAATCAAAATCAAACGAGACAGTCATGCGGTTTTAGCTGTTTCCCACGTAAGGGGCGTGGCAGATTTGCTTCATAGCGTTCTGGGCGTTGCCAAGATGACTCACTCATGTATGGCCACATGTGCACTATGACCTATAGCCTCACTTCAAGCATACTGAGACTAGAAATGGTGAATAAGCGAAGACAGATTAACTGAAATATGTTACACCAGGTGTTTGTTGGAGGTATACGATTTTGCATTTGATCTCCACTTTGCTAATATTATTTTGTCAACAGAAAAGGAAAAAAGATTACCCACACATAGGTACTAGTATACGTACTCAGAAGTTAGAATTTTTTTTATTCCAACATGTAATCCCCAGACGTGGTGACGACACACTCAAGTTTTTTTTCAACTTATATTAATGCCGCCACCAACACAGGGTACAAATACATGACAGGACAATACTCATTTACACCTGAGCCAAGTGAGAAAAGTCGTGTGAAGTGCCTTTCCCAAGGGCACAAGATCGGTGGCATGTCAGGACTCGAACCCGGGACTCTTAGTTCCGAGTCGCGCACTCTGCCGCCCGGCGCCACACGACCTCACTTTTTTGTTTTACATGCATTTTGCTAACATTGTCCTTGTCTGTTAGTAACTCAGGTTTTGAGTCGAGTAATCTGTTCAACAATCAATGCATGTGGGCAATGTCACGCCCACCGTACTGAGAAAATTGTCTAAAAACCGTTGTTTTTTCCACTACCTTCGTCGCTAGTTCATTTGTGACAAAGTCAAGATATCCTTGTCTCAAATAATAAGGTGTCTCTTGTACAATTTCTAGATCTTACCTTCTGTTTCTGTAGAACACAGACGGGGCGACTTGTCTGCTACTTGGCGCTGTCTCAAGTGAGTTAAGATAACTGGCACAACCAGTTTTAGCAGCCGATACTTAAAAGTCACCTTCATTTGCGAGCAAATGCAACATGATCTCCACCATTAGTCATCGACAATTCTAAAAACCAAGTATAGGCGTGGTGGTGGTGTCTTGGCACTGTACAGTGCCTCCTCGATTTTTATCGTAACTACTATCGTATACAAGAAGTGAATACCGCGAATTCATACTCAAAACATTTAATAGGTATTTTTGGTAGGGGCAGAAGAACAGACTCTTGTCGTCTGGCACCCCTAGTATTTTCATTGACATGTGCACTTTTCTGATCCCGTCAGCGAAACGTCCCGCCGAGACCGTGGCAGGATGGGTGTGTCGGAGTAACCTTTAGAGGCAGGGATTATCTTCACCCCACTGCACACGGCATGTCTGGTTAGACTTGTCGGCAGACAGTCTTGCCAAAAATCCAAGTTATGGAGTTTAACTGATATAGATAAGCTCTCGGTCTAATTGGATTGGTTTACGGAACATGTACAACACAAAAAAGCGACACATTACTGAATGGCTTGAAAGATATTTTAGTAAGGAAAAAACTTTTAGGATTTTAAAGACTGTGCATGCGGCCCCATGAATTAACCGATACCAGATGGCATTCATATTTTTGATGGATACATAAAGTTGACTATTACCTTAATCTTATATGGAGACCATAGTTAATCTGACGGATAACTTTAATTGTGTAAGACTAGCTGTCCCGGGTTCTTGGACCGTGCCCGTGCCCTAGAGGATGTAGGCCCCCTCATTTACGAGGAATTTTTGGTGTCTGGCCAAGTGTAACATCCAGGGCAAGTCCATACATGGTCAAGGGTAGACAATATTCACCTTCTGACAGGCCGTAAACGTTCTTCTATTTGCAGAAAGCTGATGTCAGTTAGCAATCACGTGATCGCTAACAGACCATCACGTGATTGCTAACAAACCATCGCGTGATTGCTCAGAGAACATCACGTGATTGATAACAGTCCATCACGTGATTGCTAACAGACCATTGCGTGATTGCTTAGAGAACATCACGTGATTGATAAGTCCATCACGTGATTGCTGACAGAACATCACGTGATTGTTAACATAAAAGTGCAGTTTTGCAGATGAAGACACATACGCAGTTACGCACCGTTATGTCTCCACCGTCATATCCTTGTTCACTTGGAAGATGCGTTTCGCAAAACTCCATAAACTGAGAGAAGTTTATGCTTCCCGTGTTGTCCTTGTCTAAGATTTTCATAGCTTCCTAGAAAGATACAACACAAGTAATAATTTCTTTTGTATGACGTTTTATCTACTTTCTCTTTCACACACATCTAGAAGATTATTAATTAATTTCTCCCGCAAATTTACATTAAAAGGAATATGCTATTTTTTTTACCCTACCTCAATTTTGTCATCAGGAAGATTGTGGCCCATCTCCTTGAGAGTAGCCTTGAGTTCATCTCTGGTTATCTGTACTTCTTCACTTCCGCCAAGTATATCAAACAGTTGGTCACCGGCCGCCATGATAATCAGCTATAGACTGTACTTGATATGAAGTGACTTGATAATGATAATGATACTTTAAACAAATCAAAAGAAAAACATGAATTGTATGTGTGAAGACATATTTGCAGATTCGATTACGTGACTTTTCATGAACATTTTAATGTATTTTCTTTCCTTGTTTCATTCCATAATCTCTTTTTTTTTCATAGCTAAATCGTTCAGCGTTAGCAGGTTATACCATTTCAGACCACCGAACTGTTACGTCATGGGGGCATACGTCATATCCGTCAAATCTGTTTGACTGTGGCTGACTAACACATACCGAAGCAGTGCTGTATATATATAGTATACATGTGTTAAAATTATTCGTTCAGAATCGGTAGCCATTATGTGTAATTGATGAGTACACGTAGATACCATACTTATCAAATATATTATGCACGTAGTCCAGTTTAATGCATCATTCTATTTGAAAGGGAACATTTCAAAATTTCAAATGCAATTTAGCATCCCCTATTTCTAAAAGGTAACTGTATCTACGATCTGTGCCCCAATAGTAGAACTATGATGTTGAGAACGTACCTTATGATGTCATGAGAATATGGTGAGGATTTGGAGAGGTGTAAATAGAGTATAGATCAGGATATGTAGTGTACAGACAACACAGACAATTATAGGCAACTTGTGTGTGTTGCGGTCAGAGGTTGATAGTGAGCCACACCTTTGTATAGAGTCATTGGTGCGCACGGATTGGGTGCAAACTCGCTGGGTCAGATCAAATCTTTGATTGTCAAAGCTCGAAGCTAAGTTTGTACCCTACAGGACTAGCCTCTACCAAACACCGCGGATGGCTGAAAAAAATAGTAGAAATTGGTCGCATATTGGATCCTCTCCTTTATTTCGGTCAATTTCTACTACTAGTATTTTTCCAGCGATCCGCGGTGCCTGGTAGAGGCTACTATAGGACCACATCAATGTTCAATCACACCTTATTTTTGTCTGGAAACAACTAGTTTAAAATACCTGCTGTTACTGTGCTATTACATGGTACATTACTGTTTCGTTTATTCAGTCTCAGTTACTCTAGAGCTAGCAAATTCTTTACTAGGGATCTGTAAAGATGTAAAAAAATTCAAATACTTGAGCAATTGAGGTATCACCAGACACCTTTATTGTTCATACAGTACATGTATGTTGCTTGTCACAAACATTACGTATTTCTGCAAGTCTAGTTTTTTGTTCTCTTTTGCTTCATATTGCAATCGACAAAACCCGAAGTATATTACAGTATAGTAGCAGATTGGGTCTGGTTTGTGTCAAGAATTTAATATAACCACGTTCATCAGACACCAGCCTGGTCTTAACAAGAAGCTTCTTCATTATTGTACAGGGTGGCAGAACAACTAAGCTGTCTGGAGAGCGAGGCTATACTCGTAGAGAACTATATTACTGGGCATCATACAGGGTGGTAGAAGAAGTAAGCTAAGCCCTGGCTAATGTCTGTAGAGCGAGGCTATACTCGTACAGCACCATATTACTACTGGGCATTGTTCATCAGGGTTATGAACTCCTCAAAGCTGATGCGACCGTCTTCCCCTCCGAGCTTCACCGCGATCTTGTCCAGCATGCCCTCGGACACGTTCTGGCCGGTTCTCTTAAAAATCTCCCGGAGCTCGTCCTTGCCGATGTAGCCACTGCCGTCCTGGGTCAAAAGAAGTGGGGGTCATTAACTAAAAATGTTCTTGAAAAATTTACATGAGGAACTTGACAAATATGTCATGGGCTGACTTCTTCTGCTTTGATTGTAAACGCACATCGTAATCTCGTACTACATGTAGTATACGAGTGTCGAGGTCCCGAGTTCGAATCCTGCCATGACGCCTTTGGGAAAGGCATTTAACACGAATTTTCTCACTTAACTCAGGTGAAAATGAATATAGATGTTGTTTGTTCATGCGTTTGTCTGTGTTGGTGGCGGCATAACAATAAGTTGAAAAAAACTTGAGTGTGCCGTCGCCACGTCTTGTGATAAATGTTGGAATAGAAAATAAAAATGCCGTACCGTGTCCAGCTCCTCGAAGGCCTGCCGCATGCCCGCGCCTGCGTCTGGAGGCGGCTGCATCTGGCAGAACTCCATGAACTCTGGGAAGTTCAGAAACCCGGAATTGTCCTTGTCGAGCTCTTCCATGGCCATCTGGAGGGGCAGTGTTTTGATTGATTTGATTAATTAGACTGTAGAAAATGATACAACAGGACGGTCAAACTAGAGGCTATTTTTTTAAGTCTGGTAGCTGGACAATATACAATAAGAACAGTTTACAAATGCTCATTCACGATGCGTAGTAACATTGAAGAAACATGCATATATATGGTAAGCAAATAACTGTTGTTTACTCTAATACTCTAAAACTACGTAAATGAAGTGAACATTCCAAAACCAAGCCAGGAAGCATCGACACGTTATGATATTCTGTTAAGGCCACACCGATTTAATTTTATGGATGACATCCTCTGAAGACCCCCAAACTAGTGCGCGCGGGCGAAAAAAATAAAAATCCGGCCAAAAATAAAAATGCTACAAAACCACAGGAATACAAACCTGGTATTGTGAATTTGGCGCATTACATAGCGACGTATACGACAGGCCGACACATGCTGGATTTTTGCGGAATATATGAATCGACACTGCTGTACGTATGTACTGAGTTCTTGAGTCTTGGAGCTTCGGTAGCCTGGCTGCCGTCAACCAGAGTTATCACCACCATGCACTACCCAGGCCTAAAGCCAGGCCAGAGCCTCGGAATACGTGATCTTTTTTTTTTTTTTTTTTGAGATCGGGCGAAAATTAATGCGCGCGCGGATGTCATCCATAAAATTAAATCGGTGTGGCCTAAGAAAGAAAGCTACAAAAATTACTACTGAGTACTGTGCAAATAATCATCTGAACAGCCATGAATGAGTTACCTCCATGAGTTGTTCGGTAGGGTTGTACCCCAGTTTAGCCATTGCGTCCCTCAGTTCGCCCTTACTGATCTTGTTGTCTCCGCTGGTGTCAAACTCGTCAAACACTGCCTTATACTTCTGTAGTTCCTCCATCTTCCGCTAGGATTTAGCACTGGGGGGAAAAGAGCCCACTGTTAATATAAAACATATATTCATATGCATGAGCTTGCAGGCGCTATAAATCGTAGCAGGCATATAAAGGTGAAATATACCATGTACTGGGCGAAATTGATGGTACTACCCCTTGCTAGCATTGACGCCTGGCGACATTCTTGTGTAATGCATGTGTACATGAATAATGCCAACATTTAATATCGCCTTAACAAACTACAAACGTTTGTGCTTACTTCGTGACAGATTCAATCTACTGAACACAAGAAATTAGAAAATTGTTCCTTATATTCATGACATAGACGTCGACCCACAAGATCCATAACGAATTTTCCCCCTTATGTTTACAAAAGTGTGGGAGGCTATGCATGTTGGTTTCTTGGCGAGGTTACAAATTCCGCCTAGGGCTAGACAATATGCTGATGGGGGTGGGGTGGAATGATCAAGCCATATGTATGTGGTTTGTCTTAGATAGCGCTAGAGATTTAGGACGCAACGCTTGTCAAATGAGCAAAAGGGTTTCAGACCCAACGTAGCGAAAATAACAAACAGTACGTGCCTTGACATTTAACACAACAGCGCATAACCCACTAAACTAAGGCCAAGTAGTGACGGCATTTCCTAAAAGTGACATTCTCGTTATGATTTCTTTACACCCACATGCACTGATTTGCTTAGATATCATATTATGTTTTATTTGAAAAACAAGTCGACAGATAAAAGACAAAAAGTATGTATAATCTACTTACGATCTCTTTCAGTGAACCAGTGACCTGTCGTCCGAGCCAGCTGTGCGTAAGGAATGAGGTAAACGCCCCTGGTCGGAGTGATTTCTGTGTGAACATGAGTTGTTCGACTGCTCGTACGATGCGCATGTGCGTCATCGGAGCTCTGACCAATGACAACGCCGCAATCCCAAGGTCTTTAAAGTTACCCAACAACTTCTCCAATCGGCCTGCACGTGTTTGTCTACAGAAATACGAGTCATCTTGTGGGCGGGGCCATTTCCAGTCCCTAGGGTTGTCATTTTAATTACCTATAATCAATTCCCAACGCACACATCTAGCTGCTATTATCAGCTGTATTTCGCACCGCATTTTGAGGTGTGTTTTCTTTGATCCATACGCCCTACCCCCTTCCCTCGGTTCTACAATGTCCTTGGTTGTACACTGATAATTGCACAATAGGTAAATGACCTTCTGTATGGCGATTCCTGTGTGTAAAAGATCGTTTCAAATCCACAGAACATTTAGAGAGAACCTATTGTAAATTATTACAAGATATTGAATAAACGGTGAAGTTTTTTTAGTTGCTACACAATATAAGAGAAACTCAGTATTAGAGGTAGTGGCCAGTGTCGGGGGAAAATGGCTGTCAGACAACTTTACAATTTTCAACCCTAACATCTGCTTGGAGAAGGTTCTTTAGAATGTGCCCGCGGGGCATGACTATTGTAAGCAGTCCTCATTGTGTTCCGTCAACCGTGTTGACCCTACCCCCTTTTAACATCGGCTTTCTGGAGAACAGCAGTTTGCAATTCTCACGGTAAGGCGTTTCACAGGTTAGTCTGTGTCTCTCTCATACACTTTGTAGACTAGCTCTTGAAATAACTTTTGAAGCATGATGGAATCCTGAAAATTGCAAATGCGTATCGTTTGAATTATTCATTTACTAGTTCCTGTTTTGGGTGTGTATGTGTCAGGGTCTGTTAGGTCTCTTAACAAATTCTTGATCAAGGTATGGCGGTTCACTTGACACATGTTTTACATTCTGATACAGTTCGCGAGCTTAAATCTTTTGAAAGCTTACATGACCGTGCAGTCTGTATGTATATACCAAAAACTACAACAATTTGAACAGTTACGGTAATGCACGGAAACATCCAATATCGGCAGTTGCTATGGGGGATGTATGAAAACTTGAGTTTAAAGGCCTTTTTTCGGGATCAGATGGCACATAGAAACAAACAGGCACACATACACACACACTCATACATGCATGTGGTATTCCGGACGGTTTGAAAGATTACAGAGTCGTGCAGTCTGTATGTGTACCACCAACTACAACAATTTGAACAGTTATGGTTAAATGCACGGGAGTATCCAATATAGGCAGTGGGAGATGCATCAAAAGTTTAAAGGCCTTCTTTCGGGATCCGATGGCATGTGCACACACACACAGACAGAGGGGCACACAGTGGCACAGCTCAGACATGCATGTGGTATTCTAGACGATTCTTCCCGGTGAAGTAAAAATTGTTTTATGTTCACACGAAGTCAAGGGGAAGTTTTCAAAAGGATTCCTCACCGGTGTGCCACAGTAGCCGTAGTAACGTTATGTATTGTTCCTTTTGGACAATAGACCATGGTGTCTATCACATTGTGAGGAGAGGGCTGCACATTTATGTAGTATTTAACACGCAGTCGGACATCATCAACAACAAAAAACTTGCGCGATTTAAGTGGTTTAGAGCACCATAAGGAGCTACACGATTACAGGTTTTCAGCATTTTTATTGGCGATTTTAGGTTGGATAACAGGTTCAGTGTACATTTAACAACCGTGCACGTATGTAATAACAATATGGTAGTGTCAACGTTTCCCGTGGATTCCGACGGGTGCTTGTAGATACCTTTTTTTAATGAAAACCTGTTCCTGTGGATTTTTAAGTCAAAATTGTCAAATTATATGACAGATTAGAACAGTTGACTCTGACACGGCTTTCCAAAAAATCCACAGCAAGTACCAACGCATGAAAATCAAATGTAGTATCTGAGATCTGACCATAAGACGAGAATGGAAGTAGGAATTGGGTTACTGCCACCAATATGTATGCAAATAGACGTGTCTTCAGACACATAATTATGTATAATTACGAATTCTGGGCACATACAAGCCGTACTTAAAAGCCTGTAATGCAAATATAAAGGCACACAGGAAACACACCACCCCCTTATTCTATACTTTGTCTGATCTGTTCTTCTTCTCCAGTTGAAAACAGCGTCGCTACAAGCATGGCTGAACACAACTTTTCTGACGAGGATCTGTCGAAGATCAGGGTGGTGTTTGATGGTTTCGATGTTGACGGGCAGGGGACCATCAACAGTACGGAGCTACAGGCCGCCCTCACCGCCCTCAATCCAGAGACCACCCCTGAGTTCGCCCAGGTAGGCTCACGGAATGATTGGTGATTTTTAAAGTGGAATTTTGATTTATTCAACATCCTTAAATCTCTACTCTTTTTTAACGAACATTAAATTTACATCATCTACAAAGTGATGAAGTAATCTTATATGAATTTGTTGTTTAAAAAGCAAAATACATGTACATGTATTAGAAAGATAGATTCTAAAGAATGCATAGAATAGCTTCTCGTGTTACACAAAGAATTCTTGTTTCTTTACACTGAGTTAAGATCAGAGAAGATATGTAATACTTTTCTTCAGTGACTGAAAGTAGTGATTGCTACTTGAAACGTCTGACAGTTTTCAAAATGTATCCAGTTGCTTGAGTAACAATTCCTTGTGTATCTCATTACCTGGATGTCTAACAGTCATTGCCGATGTTGTCTTTAAACTAATTTGTGACTGACCACAGGCCGTGATGAAGAATCTGGACGATGACCACAGTGGGGACATCTCGTTTGAAGAGTTTCTGGACATGGTCAAGTCGGTCAAGACCAAGCCGAGGGAAGACTCCCTACTCACCCTCTTCAAAAAGCACGACGCTGTAAGTCACATCTAACAGACTTTATGATACTAAATGGGTCCTAAACGAACAGTGTACACCTCAGAGTACAATAGAGAACCACCCACTTCCGTAACTATCTGGATAGATCGATGGCTTATCTTTACTGTGTAGTTTGGTTTACCGTAGAACGGAAGTTTCATATCTGTTCTCCGTTGTGAAGCGTACCGTGGAGTTAGTTTTAGTTTTAAGCTAGCTTTGCCCGTGCTGTACCGTATGTTCATCTTTCTTCTGCCTCATCATCTTTACAATTGGTGTACCCAAGGTACAGCCTCCCTATGTCATAGCCCCCCTAGAGTGGAAATAAGTCATTTTCGTCTTTCTCAGTCTGTTCTGTGTGATTTGTTGTACTGTAGAGTGGAAACGGTACATTCATCATTGCCTTGTGTTGTTAGTTGTACTGTAGAGTGAGAACAGTACTAGTACATCCATCTTTGCCTTGTGTTGTTTGTTGTACCGTAGATCTAGAGTGGGAACGGTACATTCATCTTTACCCTGTGTTGTTTGTTGTGCCCTAGAGCGGGAACAGTACTAGTACATCCATCTTTACCCTGTGTTGTTTGTTGTACCGTAGATCTAGAGTGGGAACGGTATATCCATCTTTACCCAGTGTTGTTTGTTGTTACCATAGAGTTGAAAAGGTACATTCATCTTTACCCTGCATTGTTTGTTGTACCGTAGATTGGGAACGGTACATTCATCTTTACCCTGTGTTGTTTGTTGTACAGTAGAGTGACAACGGTATTAGTACATCCATCTTTGCCTAGTGTTGTTTGTTGTACCGTAGATCTAGAGTGGGAACGGTACATTCGTCTTTACCCTGTGTCGTTTATTGTATGTACCAGAGATCTAGAGTTGGAACGATACATCCATCTTTACCCTGTGTTGTTTTTTGTACCCTAGAGCGGTAACGGCACGCTGAACGCCTCAGAGATCCGGGGAGCGATGCGTGAGAGCGGCGTGAAGCTGTCGGACCGCGCCATCGACTACCTGGTCAACAAGGCGGACACCTCGGGAGACGGGGAGATCAACTATCAGGAGTTCTGCAAGCTGCTGGGCCGCTGAGAACATTGACGGGAAAAGGCACCGACATAAGACCCTGTCGTAAATGGGCTTCCAAACATAGTCTCCACCAGACTCCTTTGCAGGCTCAATAGTAGAAATCGGTGGGCACCCAGTGCAGGATTTAGGGCTTGGTTTTTTTTAAATAAAAAGCTAATATTCTAGTCATTCACATGCTGAGTTGAAAAACCACACTATCCCATTGTATACTGACCCTCATGGAGCAAAAAATCCCAAAATTCTGACGGAAAATGGTTACTGGAAGGGCTCTGGGCTGATTTTTAGGGTACCACCCAGAAAATAAAGGATTCATCCTGGGGCTTGTTTCTGCAGTTTTAAATGCCCCAAAGTATGAAATACTGACTCAAATGTGCTAATGTAAAGCAGTATGTGTCAGTATCACAAAGATTGCTTTATTTAGAATATTTCCAGTTTTCTACCCTGAAATCGCATTGGATGCCTTTAAATGAAGGCACGTAACTGGCCAGGGGAGTTAGCCGGCCATAGATGGTCCAATTTGCCTGCACAGAGTCGGTGAGAACTATTTCGTCAGCCTGCAAAGGAGTCTGGTGGAGACTATTGACGATGTGTCTCCTAGGCTAGAACATACGATCAGCTTCAGCTACCAACATGTTCCAACCGTAGAGAATTTTTCCAGCACTGTGTCTCATTTTTTTTAGAAATTTAACAGAACTATACACGTACGTCCTGCACACGTTTGTCCTAAGGAAAAATATTACGAGACGTTCTGACTGAATAAACCTGATAACATCTTCTCAACACTTGTGAGAACTCGTCTTGAATATTAAGTTACTTCATGTCGTACAGTTTAGAATGTTGGTTGGTCTAAGGAGGTTAGAAAAGGGGACTCCCTTGGTTGACTATCGGATCGCCTTGATATGGAGGGTGTCGAGCTAGTCATATCCAACCAATTAAATCATCCGCAGTCATAGTAAGTTTTTGTTGATTCCATAGTATATTATCAAAACGTTTATTTATGTAATAAAGACCAAGCTTTAACTTCCAACACTAACTACAATGAATTGGGACTTACCCCAAATTCCATAATGACTTGTTCGAACACAAATGAACTTTCATGCTAAAACGTTGTTTTGGTACAAGTACGTTTCCCTCTTAAGCTTCTATGAAATTTTCTCGAAAGCAACTTTATTCCAACTTCAGTCCATGGAGTTAAAATACAGATGTTCAGTCCATGTTCAGTCTAAACAAAAAAAGCAAAATTAGAACATGTCCACAGCAAAGATTTATTAACGAAATGTCCCCGGGCTTTTCCGTTATGTAAATATCACCAGGCGATGCGAGACATTGTTCCACATACTGACTGCCAACAATAGCGTTTCCTCTCCGATCTAAATCCTGGGGTGGGCGGGGTGCATGGTGAGGTTTTCCTGCATTCTTAGCTTCTTATAACAGCAAATGATGGCAGGCATAATGACAGATGGTGTATTGGTATTGGCGAGGCCAAAATAAAGGCTTACACCGTGACAACGTTAGATAACTGACAAGAGGACTTAAGTCTGTAGTCTTCCCTCAGCCTCTGTATAACCTTACGTCATCTACCGATTACAGCCAAACAGGTGATCCTTTTCTACAAAAAGATTACCTGTCCAACGACGTTTTGTTGGTCCCTTAGATAATTTTCCCATTGACACAAGCATTTAGAATCCTGTCTATAGTGACCACCTGTGAACATTGACCAAATTTTTTCTGCCCCTTGAGTGATATTCTCAGAAAGTTTCGACTCTATGGTGTACCAGTCGGGCCCAATTTCTATAGCTTTTTCAACTCGACGATTAGATTTATTCAAAGTCTTCCTCACAATCATAGAGGAAATGTAAGAATGCTACAGAACAACGAGTTTCTTTGATCAGACTTTACCCGACATTGTAAAATTTCTGAGATAGCATGAGACCGATCTTTAAAGACTGACATCATGGAAGTGGGCGTTTCCTACTCTGTGTGTGAAGAAGCTGACACATGGGACAGGAATGTCATGAATACGTGGTGACCCTACTTATTTGTGTTAGGTCGTGGAGGGTGTGTTACTACAGTTTACACTGTGATGGTTTAGGATTACCCTTCTTTACATTCTTGGGGAGGAGTACATCAAATATACATTATTTCATGTTAAAATCTATCTATAGCTAAAACAGCTGTCCTCTCTTAAATCCCGTTTTTAACAAAATCAAAAAAGGAGGAAAACTAGACAAGAGAGACAAGAGTTTTTGTAAATATTTTTTGTACTTTTCGACGTTACTAGAAACGTAGTTAATAGAAAAACGATGTGTCAAGCTACCCACGACAGATTACTAGACTAAGTATACTGTCCTAGCGCTCCCACCAACCCACTCCTGCCAACTTGACATATCAAAATCCCTTTGTTTTTAACTCTTATGATCTATTGAGGGTATAGATATTTTGTTTCATATCTGACTTGCATCTTGTGTTTGCTAACTTTCTTGGTGTGGGTTTTCTAGTGAGAGTTGTATTATGTTGTTCATACAGACCCATTGTACCATTTTGTCACGTAGACAGCAAATTACCGGACGCCATTTTGACTATTATGAATAATGGTGTGTTAGTTGGCCCGTGATGACCGGGTCTTTCACCGTGTCTGACAAGTACCCGTCAGCGAAATGGAATTTAAATGTGCGGAAAGCCGTAACTAAAGCTTTGGCTTGGTTACAAAAGATCATTCATTTCAACATCGTGTTAACAACAGTTCTGTCACAATAGAAGTCACTAGAAATAAGATGAAATGCGGTTTAATAACTACACACTTCTTATTGCACTGACCAACATGTAAAACTGCCACGCCCACTTTTACGAGTATTTTTAGTGGTAGGTTGTCTTCTTCAATGTATTCATGAAATGTGTGTAACATGCTACACACGTACGTAGCATTCTAGGGAAAGTTTATCGGTACAAAGGGTTTGGGGCTGAATCATTTCAGGTATTCTAAGGGACTAGTAAAACTAGCCCAAAATGTGGAAATATGTCCTTCAAAAGTTCGCTCTGCATTTGCTCTCTTCAAAATCCCCCCATAATTTTGACATAGTAAGTATATATTATACCAACGCTCGCACAGACACACACACTCACAGACAAATATAAGTTCTGGCTGAATTTGGTTCTTGGTTAACCTGATCCTCCACTATAACCTTGGCGAGTGGAAAGGCCCTTGCATTTTCCTTTTGTACGAAGCCAGTAGACTGTTGCACGAAAGGCACACAAAATGGCAGCGAAGTTCAGCGAGTCCGAACAAGCAGCCATCAAAACGGTGTTCGACAAGTTTGACAAGGACGGAGGCGGTTCGATAGACCGCGAGGAGCTGGGGGAAATGCTTCGGGAGCTGGGAGAGACCCCCACCGAGGATGTGGTGACGGTAGGCCGGTGTTTTTTTAAAGACAGTCAGGTTAATGTGCATATATGAGATTAGGAGCCAAGGTACTGAACTGCCAACTGGTAGTCAATTTGGACATATGTCACTATCAGTAGTGGGCAACATTTACTGATTATATATGTGCCGTGAATTGAAAACTGGCCATGGCTTTTTTTATTTTCAGTTGAGGCAAGGAGGTTAAATCTTGTATTTAACCTTCTTGGTTGGGGAGAGCTTTATTTGTAGCAAAACTTAGCCGTGGCTCGTAATGAGGAAGTTAGTTTGCCCTGTTTGCTAGCTGTTCTAGGATGGCCAAAATAAACGACAAATAACTGAAATTTTCCTTTATGGATATCTAAACATGGTTTGCTTTAAGTGTATCCATTTGACAGGTAGGAAATTCAGAGAATCGAGGACAGAAAAATACGTTAATATTAGATGTTTCAGGAATTCCGTTGCGTGTCCGTTGTTATATTATGAAGCATTCATTATTGATAAGTGAAATAAGAGAATTTACGTTAGCATTTTTACCTCCTTCAACTTATAAATAACCAGTAATATAAGCTAGGATACTAATTAATTATAATGTGGGGTCGTGTGGCGCAGCGGCAGCGTTCTCGACTCGGAACCAGAGGCCCCGGGTTCGAGTCCTGACATGCCACCGATCTTGTGCCCTTGGGAAAGGCACTTTACACGACTTTCCTCACTTCGCTCAGGTGAAAATGAGTATTGTACTGTCCCTGTGTTGGTGGCGGCATTAATATAAGTTGAAAAAACTTGAGTGTGTCGTCACCACGTCTTGTGATTAAATATTTCGTCACCATGTCTTGTGATTAAATATTTCGGAATAAATAAATAAAAAAAATTATAAGAGGTTAGTATTTGATACTGAAATAAATGTACAAACATTTTTTTTTTTGCGTTGCATTTCTGCAGGCTATGATGATGTCATTGGATAAAGACAAAAGTGGAACGATTGACTTTGATGAGTTCCTGTCTATGGTGAAGCAAGTAAAGACCGTCCCACGACAGGACACTCTACTGGCGGTCTTTCAGGAGTATGATCAGGTAAAGCTGGAGTGCCTATTCAAAGATTTAATCTAATAATGAGATAGTTGCGATAAGCACGTTGAGAGAGTTTTCTGCATTGTAATGGTTAAGCATGACGCCAGGGGGCGCAAATGAAGGGTGTTTGAAGCTGTGTAGCAATGGGCATTTTGGATCAAGTAAATCCGGTGTCTCGATTTTTAAAAGATTTAATCTAATACTGTAATACTAATAGCACGTTGACAGAGTTAAAACGTTGTCTGTGTTGTAATGATTAAGCATGTCACCAGGGGGCGCATCCGTTCAACCACACACCTTACAGAATGGCTAATGCGTGTTGTGTTCCAATAGGACGGCAGCGGAAAGCTGGACGCCGCAGAGATCAAAGAGGCAATGAAAAAAGGCGGGTGTGAGATGTCTGACAAGGCCGTCAGCTACCTCATCAAACGTGCCGACAAAGACGGGGATGGCTTCATCAACTATCAAGAGTTCGCCAGCATCATGAAACCAAAGAAGTGATGTTAGTCTTACTCTTACCGTACAACAGACGAAAGTTCTGTTCCATCGTTGAAAAATTACCGATGGTTTTATGCTGTAGGATATAGTGTATTAATCTCCAAGCAGATCATACGGTGGCAAGGCAGTATCCGTTGGCCAGAGGAGTGTCCATTAGCCTTCGGTGGGGAAATGGATATTGTTTGGCAAATGGATACAGGCTGGCCAATTTGATACTGTCTTACCCCCTCCCAAAGACGATCTACTTGGAGATTAATAGTGTATTACTATATATGGAGAAAGATACCAAAAATTTTTGTCAGCTTACGCTCTTCATACTCCATGTGCTTTGCACAGGGAATGTGCGTTTAGGGACTGACGTCGATAAAATAATGATTGTAATCTTAGAGTGGTACCTTCATCAGAATAAACATAGTTTGCTTCATTACCACAGTACTTTCCGCCTTTTACTTTTTGCTTCTTTACAACAGTTTCTCTTTCTAGCATTAGATTTGCTAAACAGAGGTGAGCTAACCTGGTAACCAGACCGCCGTGAGCTCAGCGCTATCCCTTCGGCACAGAGAGCGTTTGGGGCCGCCAACCAGGCCTCAATTACCGCGCTTCGGGGGGTTTAGCTTTGGGTCGGCGGCAAAAGAAGACCAAGCGTAATACAGGAAGTCAGCGGATACAGGGAAACAGCTGGAGATAGGGCCGTGGTATAACTCGCCTTGGCTAATGGTAAAGGCCGGGGCCGAAAAAATACCGCCAAGCCGACCAAAGGTTTGGTACCCAGGCTAGAGGTGAGCAAGTGACTATACACAATATTACATATAATATCAGTGCATAGTTTATTCATTGTGAAAAATAATAAAGTTCTAAAACAAAACACTGTGTGGTGTTAAAAGGAGCAGCTCGATAAGTTGTTTATACGTCGAAACACACTCTCACTTTATCAATTTTGTCTAAAACGATTGTGCTGTGACAATATTAAAACTTTATAATACATGACTGAAACATGATAACATCATAACAGCATTAGATAAAAGTGACAGTTTTAATTAATACTACGTTGGTATTGGATACCATTGAAGCGTCCTTTTGTATTTCATAATACAGGATCTTATTAAGTTTTTAATGATTGTCTTTAGCAAGTCGCGTACGTCTACGAGAGAAAAAAAAACATGTATACAAGGCATTTGAAATATGTTCGCCGAAGTTTGGATTCAAAATGCCGTTGGCACTGTCAAAAGGTTCGTTGCCACTATTTCTATTATTGCTGTGATCGTACGTACCATATATTGATACATGGATACGGTGCAACACATCTTATACTGTAAAGGGACTAAGTTGTAGTACCCTCACTAATCTGGTGGACTTCAAACTTAAGTGAAGAGTTTCTATAATTGCGCCATTGTTTAATCAAAATGGCCTAAAGTCAGTTCCTTTACATTAGTTAGTTAGTACTAATTTAGATACAGTATCGTGCGAATATAAAGTTGGTATCATAACCGTTTTCTCCAATTCAAGGTCTAAGGTAAATTGTTTTGATCTTCAAACTACAGTCACAGGGAGAATTAGAAAAACTGGGTCCTACTTTTATATGCCGTTTGGACTAAAAAAACGGAAAAATAAGTCCATCGCTCGCTCGATATAACTGTGACGTGAATTAGTCTAGTAATGGTGGTTCATGGAACAGCCACATGACCTTTGACACCCGTGACGTCACACTCCTCATGACGTCAGTGCTTACGACCTGGGGCGGATCAGCTTGACGAACTCTTCATAAGTCAGTTTCCCGTCCGCGTCCTTGTCAACCTACATGGGCGGACATCAAAGCGGACGTCAATGTAGTATTACTAGACATTAAAACTTTAATGCACAACAGCTGCATACATGTATTACAGGCATGGCATCTACGCATACTCTAAACGTTATATAACAACCAACATAATATGAGACAAATCTACCTTATCAAAGTATCGGACGATAATGTACTTTTACAATCATTGGTGGAATTTCTAGCATTTAAGCATCTATATATAATACATAAAAATCTGCGCCTTTCGCACAAATGGAAACCATACTATCGATGAATTATTCTACTCCCGATTCTTATATACATGTATCTATCTTTGTGTTGTGTTGACCATCACAAAGGATAACCACGCTGATCACCTTGTTGATAAGATAGTCGATGGTCCTGTCGGACAGTTCACATCCTCTGGCCTTCATGGCTTCCTTCAGCTCCTCAGGTCCGAGCTGACCACTGCCGTCCTGAGATGGACACAGCGGTTTATAGCCACACATCAACTCACTAACTCGTTGAGTAACGCTATTATACAACAGCATGCAAGTTTATAAATGTTAGTTGATAAAAAATTTTCATAAGGCCACAGCAAGTAAATTTTGTGGATGCCATACTCCGCAGACTCCAAATCTAATGCGATGAGGCGAACAAAACAGGGCAGGCCAAGAAAAAAAAACATTTTTTTTTCAAAATCAGGCAAAAATTAATGCGCGCGCTTACTTCATCCATAATTACTTGCGCAATTGCTGTGGCCTAACTGGAACTATAAGAGCTAACTCTTAAACCCACGAGGTTTGACCTAGATGTAAAGAGAAGAAAAATTCTAGTTTAACTACAAAGCCATAGAAGGTAACACTTAAATTCTAGCTCACCTTGTCGTACGTCTTGAAGATTGTGAGAAGAGCATCCTCCCTTGGAACTGTCTTCACCTGTTTGACCATCCCCAGAAACTCCTCAAAGGAAAGAGTTCCACTCCGGTCTTTGTCCAAAGAAAGCATCAGTGCCTAGATGGATATAGAATTAACAAATTGCATGTATGTAGAAACTGCATAAACAGTACAGGGCTAATGCCCCGCCTCGAGGTGTATATGGTGAGATAATCCCTGACCAGGCGCTATAACTACCGAATAAACCACCGAGTGAGCGTAGCGAACCCCTTTTTTTTCATTGTTCACCACTGATGATGTTACGGCCTGATAACCGATGGGAAACAGAAGCTTCTCATTGGTCGACGTCGCCCGGCTATATGATACTAGTACTATGGAAATAATATGCCATAAAGTTCATTGTCATTGATATAACGTCCTTGGTATGACCGGGCTCACCGTGACGGTGTCTTCGGACGGATTCTCTCCCAGCTCCGCCAGGGTCGCCTCCAGCTCCGTGATGTTGATGGCGCCGCTCCCGTCCGAGTCAAACTTGTTAAACACGCCCTTGATCTTAGCCAGCTCATCGATGCTAAACTTGTCAGCCATATTTCTTTGTCTATTGGAAACAGCATTGAAGCAAATATTGAACATTTTGAATGACTGACAACATTGTAGTTTGCTTAACATTTATATAGTCTCCAACACGGATTGAGCTGTATGTACTTGTAAATCATAATTAGTAAAACGCGTAATTTCGAATTCAATACAATGGACTGCATGGTCTTTGTGTCAGACCGACAACGCCACCTGTCGACATTTCTATGCACGGCACGTCGGTGCATGTTGCATGCTTGACAGCAGACCGTTGGTTTTATTGTACCGTAGATCATAGGTGTCCAATTTCAGCAAATGCCAATAAGAGCAGATGGTCCCCTGTCACGCTTGTATTCAATCGCCATGCCTTAAAACCTTAACCTAAGAATAGGCTGCGATCGACATTTTAATCATTGAGGGGCCCAATTCGATATTGGCTGGGTATTTCAAAGTTGTATCCTGTGCAACGAAAACATTGCATGGTTTGTCCCCAACATAGAACGAAGACTCCCAAAGTATAGGGTATTGTTTTTGCTACATTTCTTTTTCTTCTTCTCCAAGCAGTGACCTCTGACCTGACTGAACCAGGCTGTCTCTCGCCATGGTAACTGGCGTTGGGTTACATAATGCTGCAATTTCATAGCAGGAGGGATTTAGACTCCTGTCACCATATATCTGAATTTGTTTGATTGATAATTGACAGAGCAGACCATATGCGAAGGTAAACATTGCTTTGCAAATGTTACTTTTCTAGGTAATAGCTATAGTACCATTCCTTTCGGCTGTTTTGAAACCAAGAAACCAGGTGCGACATTTCTCTAAATGCATCTATTCCAAACACAATGGACCCTTCTATAGTGAGAATCCGATTTCACAAACGTGACTTGAATACATCGGCCGTTATTTTCCGATGATTAAATTAGGCGAAGGCTCGGTGACTGGATTTAATATCACCGTGATGATATGCGCAATATGAAATGGATCTTGCAAATATAATTCCGTTTCATTTGCGAGATTAACCCAAGAATTCTCGTGGGAAAACTACATCGAAGTCTTCTTGAGGCTAAAAATGTGGGAGTCAGATACGCGCTATGCGAACAAAATTCTTTCTTTAAGAGTGGGTGTAAGAATACGTCCTTTCTGTCGGCCTTCTCATATAATCGCATTAACTAGAACACTTAAAGTAATGCTATATTCCTCCTACACTATTCTCCAAGTACGAATGTGGGCGGAATAGAAGTAACGCATTCTTGGTAAGAATTATACTTCGTTAGTAAGGGCAGGAATTATGTTTATAGATGCAGTGAAAACGTCACCACACATTACATATTATTCATCGGTCCGGTTGAACTGAACATATTTGCTCAGTCAAGGGTAATGCATCAGCCAGTCCCGACTTCACTGGTTAACAATTTTCTCAATAGAAGACATTTAATGCAAGAAGCCAAGCAAGTCCATTGATAATCATTAGCATCCAATCTAATTCACACTTATTGTTTTGCCTTTTATGATGATCACTGTCTTGCTCACAGCATTCTGGTAAATACTAGACAATATGCTACGTATATATAGTACCGAGTACTTAGACCAAACAAGCTACGGTTGAAGTACAAGCAAACATTGCGTATTTGGAAATCTGTACGTGACATGTTTGAATATACCACTGTGTACTGTCCATGGACCATTGCACTTGTTCAACTTCATTTACAGCGAGCTCTGAAAGACTTGAGGTATTGTTTTCATCATGTCGTGTGTGCCTGCATGTCTGTGTGTTTGTGTGTGTGTGTGTGTGTGTGTGTGTGTGTGTGTGTGTGTTGTGTGTGTGTGTGTGTGTGTGTGTGTGTGTGTGTGTGTGTGTGTGTGTGTGTTTCTGTTTCTGGACATTTGTGGTTATCACAACTTAAGAAAAGCTTTATGGATCGCGATTCTTGCTAAACATGTCATTTCAATCACAAATTTCATATTTGTAGTTATGCTGATGATTATCACGGCTGTATTTTTCTTTCATTGATATTTGAAAAAAATATATACATATACTGACAACAGCCAAACAGACCGTGTTCTGGTCGTTTATCAGATTAAACAGGACGTTACATCCTGCGGAGCCCCTCCCACCCCTACACGCCCACCCTAAGGAATCTCCGTATCGACAGAATTCCTCCATGACTCATCTCATCAGTGAGTGGGTGACGGGAAGTGTGGACTTGTACTTGTACACGACACTGCCAAGTGTTCGTTTCTAGGATTATATACGGAACTTCTACTTCCTTTTTATACCATCCGGTGCTACAATTCATACACCATCTGTTCATATCGATATGGCAGCAGCAATATTAATACAATGGCCACTTGCATTGGCTGCATCACTGACTTTTATCTCGAAGAGGAACAAACTGTTACTTACTAGTATTTAGTTTTTTTTCGGGGTAGACAGTGCAAAGAGCCCCGTTACAAAACGAACAGCGCCCAGGCTAACAGAGTGTCTTTTGGGTACGTAACTATTAAATACTGAAAATTACTTTACTTCTAGTTAAAACCTAGGTTTAACTTCGGTATGTCTGAGATAGTGCATCATAAAAATGTTTTCCACGGGATGACTCCAAATATGGGGCATGTCTTGATAAAGCTTTATCTTCGGTCCAGTGTACATCTGGGACATGTCACTCTAACGTATAAATCCGTCGGACATTCTGGTGAAACCATAAACAATTTCTTGGCGCAGGTCAGGAGGGCAGGCCTCTGTTGCCTTTTTGTTTCTCACGACCGCAGGACTAATATTTTATAAAAGTCAAGCTAGAAGTAGAAACACCAAGAAAAGTTCCATCTAGCACCTGATTATAAGACCTGTGTAACTACTATACTAATACACGTATTTGATACAGATGCCTTTTACTAGTTTTAGTCAAATAAGAGGTAGAAAGATATAGAGTTAGGGGGAGGGGCGAAGGGAAGGGCCCTCTTGGTCCACCCCAGGAGCCTAATCTTTTTAGCCTCCATCTCTACTTCGACAGCCTCCCCCAAAAACATTCAAGCAGATCCTTGAGAGCAAAATCCTGATGGTTTCGGATCCGACTGGGACCAAGAAACAGTCACGATTTCAGAGCCCCCAAAGATCTGCTTGGAGATCAAGGGTCTGGCTGTTCACTCCATATGATATGAGTTGTATACAGACTGGGACGTGTATCTAGTTCGAGCCCCAAGGCTTTTATGGAGAACTCTCACTGATAACCGGGTGACTGAACGGGAACACATGCCGTGTAAGTGGGTCAGGCGACCCGGCCATGTTTATGTAACTTATAACCTACGAAAGGTCATTCACTTGGTGTTTTCTCATGTCATATATATGTCAGTCCACTGGCAAGAGGGAGGGGGGGGGGGCACCACTGTGTGTTTATAATAAGTACATTTATAGTCCAACGAACAAGATTGAACATCGTTGCTAGTCGCGTTCCCAGCATTGTACGGTGTAGTCTTGTATCTGTCAACTAAATGATGGAATGTATGGGGAGGGGGGCAGTGAGACCAGTGGGTGCTAGACGTCTAGACAAATTGTGTGGTATTTCACTGTATAACTGTAATGGGATAGTAACTATGCTATGTTACACTAATACCTTATAGTACATGTTGCACGACAAGGCGTTATCAACTTGCGAAACATTATACATGTACAACCAGGAATGCATATCGACAATCGTGATTTAAACAGCCATGGCATATTATTAATGGCATAAACGTGTACATGCAACATGCGATATATATGTTATCTATTCATCTAACAAAGTGTGTGACAATAACCGATAACTGAATGTTGTCACGATGATAAAAGCAATCAACAAAACCATTAACTTGTTGAATTCGATAATTATTAACTGAAAAGATCAAACAGATAAGTGTCAGAACTAAATGTTACTAATGACATAGAAGTAACAGCAATGTTGTACATACCTGTTCGAGTTACCGTGAACTACAAGTTGAGTTTTACCCTGGGTGTGGCCGTCTGCTCGAGGTTGTGTACTTTGAATAATTGGTGCCAGACTGGGTCTGCTTAGCGGTCCGCTTATATAGGGCCTGTTGCCAATAACGGGCTGGTTCAGCTTAGTCACTTGTTTGTGGGTACTGTACTTACAAATTTCGACATTCCCCTCAAATGGTCTGCTTTGTATCTTTAAAAAATCTGTATCTTGTGGTCATACTTAACACAAGGGAGATATATATGCATTCTGACAAATGTTGTTGAACTTTTATTGGGCATTTGTTTACGTACTTTAAAAGAACTTATCTGTATTTTTATGGTCATACTTGACACAAGGGAGATATATGCATTCTGACAAATATTGTTGAATTTTATTGGCCATTTGTTTATGTACTTTAAACGAACTTGTATCTGTATTTTATGGTCATACTTAACACAAAGGAGATATATACTCTGACAAATATTGTTGACCTTTGTTGTTTACGCACTAAAAGTCTCAACCCCAATATATATTTCTGACCGGGCCAGACAATCTACATGCTAACACGGAACTAGTTGGATCTAGTTGAGGTATGACTGTTTTGATGTATATTTTAGCAGAGCAGCTGTGTAAGTAGGCGGGGAGGAACTACATTCCAACTGCCTGCCGTCACTATGGGGCAGCTGGCTTGTGGCCTTGTAGGACGGTGTGGGAGGGGGGCGTGGAACTCAGATTACGAGAAGGCGGAGGCATGTCGTCATGGGACGTGGCTTCTTGATAGTGAAGGCATGCGGAACTAAGAACGAAACATGACTAATTATATTCTTTGTTTCTCATCAAAATAATACTTGCAGAACAATAGAGGGTTAATTTTAGAATTTTGTTTGAGAGATTTAATATTAGGGAAAGGAAAAAGTTTCAAATTCTCCCCATCACCTTACAACAAACTTACAAACCTTAGAGCCCAGTGCATTGTGTACACTTCATAGTATGGCAAAAAAGACAATTTAATTAAAAAAACAAACTTTTTCAACGTTTCAACGTTGCAATTCATGATCAAGAACTGACTGATTCCGAAATCCTCTGAATTTAGCTTAAAGCTAAAAGAATGCCAGACTGACTGAATTTAGCGCAATACGTAATCAGCCATCCGGGATTTAGCATAACAAGATCAGTCAGGGTACCTCCCCTATCCTTCCCCTTTTGCAGGCCCCGTTCAGTTCATGTCAACCGTGACCGTGTGTTCACCTCCTTGTTTTTGTTTGTTTATTTGTTTGTATTTTCTTGATACGCTCAATGGCCCATATACGTACGTGTAGATGGCTTTCCTTCATATCTGTATTTCTTAACAGCAAGATGGGTGATATTACATGCTTCCGATGACACCGTGGTACGGGAGGAAATGACTTCATTCGGACAGACGGCACGTCGCTCTATACTGTCCATCTGGAGTCACGCCAAGTGGAATATAGATTATCGGGATCCGGTCTTTATTGAGATTGGATGGATAATACCGACCGCAGTCAGCAACTGTGACGGACGTGAGCTTCTTTCTAATTAAAAGGAGATGTTTTCTGACTTACCAGTCAATGTAGCACTGTTACTTCTGTCCTATTTTAAACTTAAGAAAACAAACGTCTGCGACAAGGGTAACTGTTGCATGCAGTCTAAAGGATGGCAGGTTTAACCGATAAACGTTTGATTATGTGCACTGACGTAACAAGCCGCCAGGGGCCCAGACGTCTATAGCGTCTTTTTACTAGGACGAAAATCTACCTGCCAAGGAAGAAAAAATATCAGGGGACATGTTTCTATACGAAGTCATGGAAAACGCTTTCGTTCGAACCGAAACGACTATTGTAATCATATTATAGCATTAGGTATAGGTATGATATTCACATTTATTTGAAATCACCAGTTTGTGACATTTTTGTAGAACGAGAATAATGAGAGTTCTGTCCTATAGACTTTTGTAGCTAAGCAAGTGCTTCATGATGTATTGTAAGTGTTTTTTGTTTAACATTCCTTCAGCAAAACATTTAATATTCTGCCTGTCAAGACAGAGGGTCTGCATGGCGGGGTCCTGGCAACTCTTCACGGTAAATTTAGGATGGTTGGCAACTCTTCAACAACGCTAAATTAAGTTGTTCTTGTGTACGGCTTTGGGACATTTACTTTATTGGATTGTTGTTTTGTATTCAAGGGGTGTCTGGTAAAAATAGCCTGCGGACGCCGGTTGCTCCATTCTGTTTTTTTAGTGGATGGCGTTCAACTTGAATTCAGGATAACAAATAACGTGCTACGTGCAATTAAAGCGACAAATTACGCTTCACGAAGAATTTCCCGACAACAGTAAATGTTGATTTAAAGAAGCCGGCCATGTTTAACTGTGAATTCAACTTCAATACAACTTCACCGTCCAAATTCCTTGTTCGAAATCTTTTTACAGTGACAGTATCTTTCCCCGTGCGGCCAAGCTTTGGAATTCCCTCCCTGACAAGTGTTTCCCCCAACCTACAGCAACACAAGTCTACAGACTTTTAAATCAAACGTTTACCGCCATCTCTTGACATAGCCATGTTTCTGTCATATTTCTAGTTCAATGCCGAGAAGTGGTCGTATAGGCCTTGCATTGAACCACACCGTTAGAAAAAAATTAATCTTTGGCTCCCTACGCCTAATGTCAAATGGCATGCAGACCATGAAAAAAATCATTACACTTGCTCTGCCGGACTGTTATGTCCGATAGCCTGTCCTACTAACCTTCTGACCCCGGGAACGTGAAGATAAACAGAAGAGTTAACAGACGCTGTGTTTTACTAACGACCTGTGCCACACCTGACACTGTCCGCTTTCACACACAGATCGACTGAATCGATTTTCGGTGCTGAGAAGAAACGAACTAGGTCATAACGATTATCATCAAATGTGATAATGCTGTGCTTTGCAAGGATAAAGCCCTTCTTTAAAGCACTTCTATACCTTCTAAAGCAGTCCGTATTGTAGTAGGATTTGCTTGCAGACTTCCTATCATTATAATTGACCATATACGACAGCGATGCTGTTTGTTACTTGTACTTGCAAATTTTAAGAGTGTAGTGCGGAAGTTAAAAAAAGGGAGATTTGACTGAAGATATGCATGGATAACACCTAACCATTGAGCTAAATCTACACATCCTTCCTAATGCATGATTGATATTGCTTATCTATTGCGTAGAATTTCCGTTCTGCATATATGAGATTACCTTCGTTCTTCTTACTTGCATTATTCAGACCGACCGCGCGTTTAGATCGATCAGAATTCGGTTTGAAATTTCTACCAAAGAACTGACAGCTATCCCGCTGCTGATGGTGTCCACATGGTGTCCATCTATCCTTCTCTGCTGATGGTGTCCACCTTTCCTGCTGATGGTGTTCACCTGTCCTTCTGTTGATAGTGCTCACCTAGATTTCTGCTTATGGTGTCCACTTAGCCTTCTAGCTGCTGATTGTGTCCACCTATCCTTCTAGCTGCTGATGGTGTCCACCTATCCTTCTGCTGATGGTGCCCACCTATCCTTCTGATGCCTGTAAGTTACATCGTTGTAAAGGAACTGCACATCCGTAACTGCAGTTTCCTTCATTCTTCAGAAAAGTAGAATAGCATTCCGGATCCCATCTACTTTCCTCGCCGATCGATTTGTTAAGATAATGGCCCATTCGTATCTATTGACTTCCTGACCTGAGGAGAGGTTCGCATCAATCGTGTAGCTGCTTCATGACGCGTAGAATTCGAAGTTTCTTATAAATCAAACTCAATGTTGAAAGGAACTTATCTCTCATGTGAGCTGCTTGGCGTCTGTGTTAAGCTTTTGAACTGTTTCAAATCCGTCCGCTGATCGCATCCCGTCTCCAAGCCCTGTATGCATCGATCAGACGATATTTTAGGTAGGATACAGATTTACTATTCGTAACGTGCAGTTCACACAACTCTCGCATGGTAGCAGTGTTTGGAATACTAGTGTACATACACTGATACAGCGTACCGAAAAACATCATCATGCCAGTAATAGACTGCAAGAATACAAGATTGCTTATGGTGTCTTTAGTAACAAAGATGCAAGTCATTCAATCGTTTGTTTGAAAATAATGAACAGAATTATATATAATTTATTTCACAATCAAGCTTAGAAGAAAATTGTCAATTTTTATCTGCATACCTTACTCGGTCGCCTTTTTTCTCTCGGTAATATAAATGTGTCTGAATTTGATTTAAAAATCTCAGTCTCTGTATTTTGTCCATTTACGCGTTGATTGTTCAAAGAACATTGAACCTGCTGTCTCAGATACCCCCCCCCCCCATACCTTTGTACACCGAACTGTACTTGATAAAGATGGATTGTAATGTTTTTTTATCTCTTTTTCATAATGTGTGTAATTTGATTTTTTTTTAAATCTCAGTCTCTGTATTTTCTCAATTCACGCGTTGATTGTTCAAAGAACATTGGAGGTGCTGTCTCAGATATACCCCCCTCCCTATACCTTTGAACACGGAACTGTAGTTGATGAAGATGAATTGTAATGACGAGGTGCTGATCATTATCAAGCACGGGAGGTGATCACGATCATAATGATCAGAGAATGATGATAAACGCACACGCTGGGAATGTGGATTTTTACACTTTTACAAGCCTAACGTTCCGTGTCGAGGCTTAGGCCATGTTGATTTGATTATATGGATGACATCCACGCGCGCATGAATTTTCGGCCGTTTCCAAAAAAAAAAAAGTTTTCAACCATACTGTAAATCGTGCAAAACAGTTGCTAAATGAGCAAAAATATACCATAAATTGCAAGGAAAACATTTAGAAACGATACCAATGTCGTAGAATGCCAAAATCAAAGGAAAAAAGACAAAAATGTAAAGAAATGAATTCGAAGAGTAGATTATTCGCCATAACATATTCTGTGCCATTTGTTCAACCTTCATGACCACGTATATTTCATAGTGAAAGCAACTTTTTTTTTGCAAAACTTTTTTTTTATTCGCACGCGCGCATCAGTTTTGGGGTTCCCAGAGGATGTCATCCATATAATCAAATCAACATGGCCTTAGCATCAGCGGTTTGACGGTGGAGGCGACAATTTCCGGTTGTGTGTGGTGATTGATTTGGTTGTGCTGCACCGTCGATATGTGAGGGATGATATTTCTGTGTTCGTTGCATAATCGACTCCAATCTGAACCCTGGTGATGGATTATCGAGTCCTGGGTTTTCAAGGACACTAGTGAGAGCACGGCGGATATACAGCCATGCACTGATGGTGTGTGATATTCCGTTGTGTGAAATAGCAATGATAAAACACACATTACACACGCACACATGTACACATGCATGCAAGCACGCATTATTAACACGCGCACAGATGCGTGCACACGTCACAAACGAAAACACACACATAGAAATATATACAAAAAGCACACACGCACGCACGTTTGTACACGCACACACACAGAGTCTCGCACACACTCGCACACACACACGCACGCACGCACACACTAGGACACACAAACACACACATACACACAAACACATACATGTATCGTATACAATTGCAAGTTGTTTCTGTGGTTCTTCTGGGCAGTTCTGGGTATATATTGAAGTCTATTACATATTGTATTTACCTTAATGCTGTCCATATGTGTCACATCGCATTGGAGTGGATTAAGAAAGCTCCATTCGACTTAACTGACAAAGGCCTTTCCAAGCAGTGACCTAGATAAGTTGAAATCGTTTGTGGCATTTTCGGCAATAAGCGGTGATATATGAAAGGCGAGAACTGGGTCAATCACTGGAAAATATTGGATTTACCCTCGGTGAAAAATAGGACTTAATCGACTTGTTTACAGAGCTGGTGCTTTTAAGTTGCACAAGCCATCACTCAAACGGCGCATTTACGTATACGTTTAAGAATCGTTTTCTAAACGCTATTCTGTAGCACCAAGGATGTCGTCTTTTTTTCAAAAACGTCATGGTTTCCGTCATACAGGCTATATCGCAGTTGTAAGGCTAAATGGCCGAATGATTGGACAAAGACAGGGACCAAAAACTGTATAATCGCATTGGCTTTACCATTAGTTCTAGTTTTGGCGGTCCTCAGTTGCTGACCAACCAACAATGAAAAGACATGCGTGATGTAGTCTTCGTGTAGGGCGTGGTTATAATAGGTGGTGCAGGTTCGGACGTCCATATCCATACAAAAAAAGGACCACCTTGTAATCGACTAACCTTGCAAATCTTCCCCTTAAAGATACAGATTGAGAATCTAAATCTGTTCGACTAGACAAGCCGTTCAACACCTCCCGATAGGAACCGTGAAGAAGGAATCATCGTGTTTTGATATCGGCGCTCCCCGGCGGCGGCTCTGTCCTCAGCGCAATTTGCCCGGCTAATTTTCCGCCGTCTCCCGGACGATGAAGACAGATTTTCCACCGGTGGAGCCAAATGGCACCCAGGCACCGTCACCGTGCGTCCGACGGGATTAAATTAAAGGAGACGAATACAGCAGAGCCGGAAAAGTCGATCTACACATTTGTCTTTGTGGACGTTTATTGATTCCTGTGCTTTTTACCTGAGTTCAATCTAACGGTGCGATGATTTTTCGTGCCGTTTTCTGGACGGCTCCAACTGAATGTCACGGGCCATAAAGCACAGTGGATACTACCGGATGTCAGAATGTAGTGATGTATGGGGCGTCATAATGTGTTCTTTCTCACGTCTCTCTCACAAGATCAATACTGTGGTTCCACACTTTGCAATTGGTAGCACGTTTGCACATGGTTCTAAGAACATCTACCAACATTCCAAGCGTAAGGAACTTCTAGATCTTCGAGAGTAGCAGCTTTCACAATCACGATTTAACAGCGAAGATATAGACATCAATATTTTAGGTGTTTCGCTGGCCACAATTTAAATGGTATAGTTATGCGACTGGTTTTAGTAGATTCATGAACTGAAAACATCCTCTAGATTTTTGGAGAATCATGGTTGTTCTACCAAATAGATTATATATTTGAATGACAGTCATTAAATTTGGATCATTATCAAAATTTGGACATACCAGTATCATTAAATGTTCTAGATGTCTTGTTGTTTAGAGCTGCTTTATAGCTCTGAATTATGTAATGACCAACTGTAAAGACGTTTAGTGATATAAATTCTGCTGCAATATTGACAAAATACCAACGGAATTTAAGTCTGTGAGTCATCAAATGACTTCCAATGCCTCCCCGGCAGTCAATTGAATAAGTGCTTCCACGACCCCATAGGTGAATATTGAGACAAGGATGAGAAGGAAGTAAAATGATCTAAGACCCTGGGATTCATAGATCAAAACTGTCGTTTATTTTCTGATCAGATCGATTCACAGAGGCCTCAAACAAGGGAAAGCTTTGCTGAGGGCAACTCAACACCGATGATCATTACAATATCTCACGTTTTCTTTGTTCATGGACTTTAGCTTCTACAACTACTCTACTTTAACCTTACGTCGTTTCCTACTTAAACTGGCCGCTAACTTAGATGTCTAGCCGTCACGTCATAAATGCCAGAGATTGTATATTGCTATGTTTCCGTATAAAATTCTTGTAAATATTGTAAACATATGTTAAAGATAGGCTAAGTTGGACCCATGGCCATAGCGACAAGATTCCCAGAGTCCCTTGCGCGCGAAGTTATTGCTGCAAAGCATGGCGGGAGTATAATGTAGTTTTTTCTTTGCAAAAAAGCAGACGAGATTTCAATATAGCTACCCGCTGAAGGGCCAATCATTCTACATACCGCTACTCACAAACACGAGGACAGGGTATCGACAGACATTATTGCTTCAACACTTACAACAACAGCTAGCTACAACTCACCCAACTCACTCAATGTAGGGCTACACAGATATATGAGCAAGACGACGTATGATAAAAGAAGGATTCTGAATGTTGTCATGCATACATGTTAGCAGCAAAGTTCATTCGTGACTAAATGATGTATCAGAAGAGTTGCTATAGAGGAAGAACGCTCCCATTGTCCGTGTTATATAGCAGACTTCCATGCAGACGTCGTTATACTGTGCATATGTGGAACGTAAATTGCAACTCGGGAGTGACCATTATTTCTACAGCATGCTTCATAAACGTTATTCGACAGACAGACAGACAGACAGAATGAACGTTAGAAAATGCAACTCAGTTTACCACAACACGACATACCTAAGGTTAGCACATTTATATTTTTCTTTTAAATACATATTACGGCAGAGCAATTTTACATGCAAGGTATAGGCGTTACCCTTTCTTCCTGACTCAAGCATGTTTCAAACATCCCCTTTCCTGGCCCCATATAATGAACCATTTACAGTTACGAGTTAGTCGTCTACGCGAGCACCGTTAATTTGCCGATCTACTGTCTGGCACCAACCCTACGTCAAGGAAGAAAGAATAAGACGCTAGACTGTCACCGGATAGGATTTGCCGATTTTTTATGTGGCCGCCATCTTAGTTTCCATCTCACTCCAAAGTTGTCATATTTACCATTGCCATTTCTACAAACCATCTTTTCATACGAGCACATTTTAGGATTATACTTCTAATGAATTATATAGAGCACCACTATCATTCCTTATGTAAGGATATGATGTATTTAGCTACCTGCTAAGATAGGATGTTTCTGTTCTAATTCGGTTTGTTGCATGAGAAAATCATGTACCGTCTACTTTGTGCTTGTACATTTAACCTGGATTGTCTTAGGTCCCATTCTTGCTCTTCTCCACTGTAAGCTATTCACCGACTATTCCCATCTCTGTATGTTCTAGCTTCTACAAGGAAACCAAGATGGCCGACATCACATTCGCGCACACGCAAGGAACCCTGGGATAGCTGGTTCGGAGGCCACGGTATATCCCTATGCTTTGTCGCTTTCTTTAAGCCTTGGGACGGAGGATGTTGATGAATTCCTCGTAGTTGACCCGGCCATCGCCGTCTTTGTCGGCAGCCTGGATCATCTCATCGATTTCAGCATCAGTCATCCGCTGTCCCATGCTGGCCATGGCTGCTTTCAGTTCCTGGGGATCAATGTAGCCATTGCCATCCTGTGGAAAAGGAACAAACCATACTTAGAACTGGATGCCATAATCAGATGTATATTAACTACAGTTTCATCTCATCTGATGGTGGCCACTGTTAAAGATATATCTGGGAGTTTTAACCAATAGTGGCAGAGGTGTAAAATTGCTCCATGCTGTTCCATTGGTGGGGCCTAGCCACAAATACTGCATACTGAGCCTTTCGACGATGGCCCTTGCACACTTGATAACATTGGGACTAGCTATATATAGTGTGCAATGGGTGTGGCATCCAGGCTACACTAATAACTATTAGTACTCAATCCATAAAGATCACAGTCTCGTTTATTAATTAATCTTAGCTTTGCATACAAGAAAATAATTCAGAAGGAGGGATGCGGAGACTATCCAGAACTGACCCTATAACCTTAACCCATTCAGGCATAGAAACTAGATAGGCACATGCAGTTCTGGATAAAGTACCTCCCTCCGACGTCTGTCCGTATTTTGTATGCACACTAGTACTGTCAAAGTAAGGGCCGTGTAAGGGCGATCGATCTGGCATGGTACAGAAGGGAACAAGTCAAGAATTCTACCCACACACTCTTTCAAAAGTTCTGAAGGCTTCATTTGTTTGATGGCGGCACGAACATAAAGTTCGATCCAGTGAGGGCGCCGTCATACCGTCTGTTGTTCTTTATTTAAGTTTCAATGGGAAAAATGATTAAACGGCCAATTGATAAGGAACAAGTCACGAATTCTACCCATGCACACTAACGAAAGTTCTGAAGGCTTCATGAGGCGTCTACTAGCCATAACTTTTTATGGAGACCTTGCAAAGGCCAGCTTCCAGTATTTAGTATCCGCAATATATGGAACTGAAGTGAAGAAGTCAAGAAGAGTTGTACCCACCCTGTCGAAGGTTCTGAAGACTTTAGCGTCTACTATCCATAACTTTTTATGTAGGCCTGGCAAAGTATCCACAAGTCAAGAAGAGTTGTACCCACCCTATAGAAGGTTCTGAAGCCTTCACGAAGTGTCTACTACCCCTAAGGTCTTAGAAAGGCCTGACAAAGGCCAGTTTACACACTGTCATGGCTGCTCAAAGGTAAAGACCAGTTGTACCCACCCTATCGAAGGTTCTGAAGGCTTCACGAAGCGTCTCCTCGGCCGGCTGGTTGGACATGACCTGGTACACCATCCCCAGGAACTCGTCGAAGTTCAGAGTGCCACTGTCATCCTTATCAGCCGCCTTGATCATGGCCTGGTGGGAGGGAACGGAGACGTACGGATTAGTATTTATATTGAGGATGTGGGGACACAGTTCAGGTAACCTGTGAAGGACACCGGATCTCTGGCTGTCGCCTGGAATTCAGAAAGAAGCATGACTGTGATACCACTGGTACGGGTAGACATTGTACATCATGGCCTGGTGGGACGCAACGGAGACGTACGGATTAGCATTTGTGGGAGGAGGTGGGAGACACAGTTCAGGTAACCTGTGAATGGCACCGGGTCTCTGGCGGTCGCGTGGAATTCAGAAAGAAGTATGTGTGGTACAGGTAGACATTGTACACCAATAGCAACACGTCATGAAGAAAAACTAAATCTTATGTTCAGAATAAAACTTATAAGATATAACTTAATTTCCCGTTCAAGAATTTAAAATTATTTAAAAACTTTAAAATTTAATGGATATTCATGCTCCCAAAGTTGTAACTTCTAATGATATACCAAAAAGAAAACTGTTACAGTATTTTTCCCGAGAAAAAACAACGTCTTATTAACCCATTTTCAGCACTATTATAAACTTTTTGCCGTTCCAAAACAACCATTGGGATCATCCATAAGGACAAGTTGTCAAATTCATATTCACGTCACCCAAATGGATCTATATCAACTTATTAGAAAAATGAGGGGTTTATATTAAACGATGAAGAATCTCGACCTCGGGCATTAATCAATAAAAACTGTCGTTACTTCAGATCCCTTCATCCACAGTTGCTGTACTTCCTACAGCAGATCAATAAGATTAAACCTGTGATGTTTTATACAATAAAATTTCATCATTTTTACAGCTCAGGTCGGGAACTTTACAATAGAGGTTACCCTAGCAGAGATAGATCGATGTTGATGGTATGTCAACGTCTTATCTGCTAGCAATTATTTGTAAGTCGATGTTGCATATCGGGTATCATGTAGGCGCGCAGTATAGTGCGTGCATGACAAGAAGTTTCAGGGATATAAAGTATCAAAATCATAAAAAGCAGTATTCAACCTGTCCTGTGGTGCATACTTTATACATGGTGTGTTGAGTTTAGGTAAATGCATCTGATCGGTTGAAGATAGCTTTTATGACATGAATTCATCCATATTTTATGCGTGTGTGGAAGTTGCGACGCATATTTGAATTTTATGTATCAGAACATTCACGCAACATCGGACACATCCACATTTATAGGTATGGCTCTTCCAGGTTAACCAACCAAGATGGCGGTCGTGACGTCAGCGCGAACACCGCATGCATACGTACGCGAACACCGCATGCATACGCACCCGAACCATTTCTTCCATATTCTTTATAGAATTTTGATGTTTAAGAACAGTCACACGGCATTACACACATCCACATTTGGTATGGCTCTTCTAGGTTAACCAACCAAGATGGCGGCCGTGACGTCAGCGCGAACACCGCAGGCATACGTACCCGAACCATTTCCTTTGTCGGGGCCTGGCCGAGCTGCTTGAGTGCCGTTTCCAACTCCTCCGCGTTGATCACGCCGTCCTTGTTCTTATCGAAAGCCTCGAAAACCGCCTTGTACTGCTTCAGCTGATCCTGGGAGAATCGTCCAGCCATCTTGATTTATTTCTAGAAAAACGGGAGAAAACGTATCACTTGTTTGCTAAAATTACTAGAATTCAAACCATAAACATTTCTTTACTATCACAATGCAAGACAAACGTTTGATAAACAGCATCCCAGATTTCTTATTGAATAAAGAAAAAAAAAAACAAATAAATATAATGAGCTAGCTATAGGCTACTGTTGGTAAGATAGAGAGTTGAATGTCCCAAGCTACGACAGAATTGGAATACATTCTAGTTGAAAGTGAAGACTGACTTTAATCTATCTTTACTACTTACCTTTCCTGATGAGAGCTTTATTAGTTTTTTTAGTTGTTATAGTTCCCATGCGTTCATTAGCTTGTAACAATTTAGTAGAATTATCCAACTTGAAGATATACGTGTATTTCGCTTCAAAATAAGTTATACGTTTTGTATATCAGATATTGTCATCAAGTTTTATGTATCAATGTCCATAGTAACAGTGTTAGTAAGGTTAGTTGGTGTAACTTTAAGTGATGGATACCTGCAATTCAAATGCCATGAGGGGGGGGGGTGAAAAGAGAACATCATTACATGGACTAACTTAACATTGAGATTAAGACCTACGTCTAACGACTTAGGAAAAAGACAACAAACTAGTACACACTTCAATAGCTTTAAAGTTTGTAGGAATATTGTAGCAATGTTAAAATCTTGGTTGTTCAATTTAGCGTAGTACACCTTTGCTAAACATATTTCTTTTTCATAAATATGTAAGCACCTGAAAGAGAAAGAACGCAAAACAGGAGAAAAGAGACGTGATTCAATGAGAGGAGGAAAATGAAGGCAGTCAGTTACGTCACACTTACGTCAGCTTGGTTTGTCTTCCCTGAAGCTCGGGTGCTTCGGACGACTACAGAGAGGAGACAGAAGAGGACAGGATAGACAGAGACAGACAGACACACAGACAGAGAGAAGCGACAGATGTAGACAGATGAAAGGCAGAGAGAAGAAGAGTGAATACTAACAGCTCTTAACAAGAATATGAAAAAAAAAAACTACATGAAAAAAGCTACATAGGCCCGTACCTAATTTGGCACATATAAATTCAGATAGTATATTTTGTTTTGTTTTAAAATCAAGATAGACATTGACAATGTTAAAATGCTGTATGACTCGCGTCTATTTGCTCACAAGGCAATAAACCACGAGTGTTGAAATGCCCTAAAGCCGTGTTAGATTTGTACTAATGGAATTATGATGTCAACAATCACAGCTGGCATGAGCCGCTACCGGAGACAGACGATTTGATGAATACTGATGATTAGATTGTATATCTGCTTGAAAACTCTTTTCTATATTTGTATCTGTATAGCCAGTATAGCCACCCTTCGGTATAACACACCATCTCCACAGGCACGCGGCGCGGCGGCACATGGTTATATCACCTCTTATAGTTTGATTCAGAAATTTGTATTGTTTCTTACGTTTTGATATATCTCCATAATATAATACTAAGAAATCCATGACTACAACAGAAGTACTACTATACGTCACGTCATATAAATTGCTCTTTTACAATTCCTCTTGAGGGCCCCATTGCCGCTAGATTTAAGGCCCCGCGATATCGAAGACCTCTAATGTGATGGTTTGAAGTGCCAAGTCCGACTGTAACTGTAACTTAATGGTGACAGAATGTGAGTGTCTTTTAGGATCTCGCCAAGACTCAATAAACTATTACCGTAGCGGCAGTGTTACCTAGCTGAAGAAAAGGACAGAGGAGGGACTATTGTCCGTGCTAAAATTCAATTCCATGAATACGATTTTGTGGGTCATATGGCTTTCACAAAAAGGGTTCGGGAAAATGACCCCTTTGGTAACTTTTCGTCGTAAATATGTACGCTCCTCAAATTGAAAATCGATTTTGAAGCGCAGAAAAAACGCCCTACAACGTCCTGTAATCACATACTTTCCGAGTCAACTTCAACGACTGGATATGGCCCAATAGGTCTTTCATCTTAGTGTTAAGGGTACGGCATTCTTAAATTTGATGTAGGTAGCCTAGAAGAGATAACAGTAGTGGTACTTAAGTAAAGCTCCTTTTATTATTGTAAAGAAGACACAAGGCGCTGTCAAATAAAGTTTTTTTACCTGAAAACAGGTCCGGCCATTGACTTCATGTGATTACGAAATCAATTCCGTTCAAGATACAATCAGAAGAATGTAGTTTTCTTCGATGAAACGTTTCCCATACGACACAAGCTCAATTTCATTGCACAAAAGGAAGTCCGGACCAAGATGATGAGATACTAGTATACAGTCTCAGACTACATCAGATTGAGGTAACTGCAGGACAAGAGCGTTAGATCTAAACTAATGACCTAATACTTCCAAGGCTAAACTGACGAAAATGTTTCTGGACACCAGGGCTTGCTGAGAAAGTACCCCAGAACTACTCTCTCATGTACATATTCCGGGAGCTTCGGATGACGTTCTATCTCTCTGATCAGTATCGACGTCTGTAGCCGGAAAGCCCCGGCTCAGAGGAACGTTAGAACCGGTCAAACGTACGTGACCTTCCGCAAGCGTCCCCCAGACGGATCTCACCTAATCCGGCGTGCAATCCCGCAGGTTCCACTTCATTCCGCGGTAAGCCGCGCAGGGATTGCACCTGTCTGTACCCCTGAGAGAGGGTTGACTTGCAGATGTATCTTCCTAAATGTCGCAAAGAATCTACCTAACTCTCAGGGTCAGGACCCTAGCACACTTCTTTACTTCACACCAGCGCATTCGTGACCTACAGGTCGCATCTCGCTACCGGTATTCTTGTGAAAATACTGAAATGATAGCGGAGAAGATCACCACTCACGCAAACTTTGAGATGATCAGACGCATACATATATAGATCTTTGCCACTTAGCATGTTGATCCTCTCTATTCCAAATATTCCATACAAATCTTTATCCCAGACATAACTTCTAAACTCCTGTATCAAACTTTTCACAAACCAAGCCCATATGCATGCTGCATATGCACGGAAAGCGCAACTCGGCAAAAAATCGATGTTTTCCTGCGTTAGCAACTCATACTTCCTATCTATTTTTTTTCTTAAGTATAGTTTATGATAAAGGTCACATAAACATAATATGATTATGACAGATTATTAATTAATCAAATAAATAGTCTCTTTTATTACTATGGGAAAATGAACTTCCAAACACCTTTGAATATGCAGAACATCTTGATCACAAATGCAGCTTCGAAATTTACGAATCATTGTTTTTGAGAGCTTCAGCAAATCTCAAATGATACGTTTCCTTTGGATGGAGAATTGCTCACCGAGGTGGAAGTAAAGAATATTGCACGAGTATAAGACGTACAGTCACACCCATGGCAGATGATGGACATGAATAGTACATGTCTGAGTGGACTAATTTTGCACACTTCAGCGCTATCTACTTTCCCATAAGCCTGCATGGGGTGGACATAAATCTACATGAACTCCGTGCACAACTTTCAAATTGAATATACGCAGTACACTTTGGCCACAAGCTGCTTACAGGCGCTGAATAGAAACTGCTTAATCCTAACAGTGAGTACGTCGCCGGTATGAATAGTAGGCCACAATGGTTAACCTGGGTCCTTTCAAATGCTTCTGCCAGAAGCGCTGGTTGCGTAGACAGGGGTCAAACGTACCCAATCGCTCACTGAATGACGTGCTGAAAGGAAGATTTTTCAGGCATTCTTGTGGACCAATACTGCCCCTGCTGAGTACTATGGTCCATGCATCACCCAGGACGTCCATTCAGTGGCAGCGATAGCCTTGTGGCCATACTGGCCGGTCAGAACCGCTGACAGCTTCATATGAGGGGCTTTCGGGCAATGCCACTTTACACCATTTTCCTCACTAGAGTATGATCACATAGCTTTGATAGGGGACTTCTTTTCGCATGAAACATAAAAGCTGGACGTATTTGAGGGCTGGCACACCACTGAAATTCTTAAGAACCTAGCAAATGAGCACCCAAACTTCTTTCCCTTTTTCATTTGCTCTTGGAACGTACGTTCTGCAATATTTTCTGGAGCTAGATGGTTGGTTCGTCAAACTTGAACGATATTAAACCGATTATAAGTAATTGCAGATAGAAGGAAAATAAGAGAGGCTGATAACATTTTGATACACTTTATTTTCTCTATCATTTTTGATTGAACCTTTTCATCATGTTTAAGATATTATAATGTGTCTTTGCTGATTGTCTATTGTAACCGCTACACTGATTATAAAGTACATCTAGCCTGTTTTGCTCTAAGTTTTAGCTCTAATAGAGCTAGAAGCACATTAAGGGATTCGTTTAATGTTTCAATCAGAGAGCAAAGCTATCGATTAAGAACTAAAGTTTATACGGGTAAAGAGCTGATCGGTTTCCGTATATATCCTCAGGGCAAACTACGGGTCAGGTAACGGCAGTTTTACGTACATGCGAGTCACGTCTAGGTCTGATGGTTATCGCACTCTGTTGGAGCTTCATTCAAACTCACATTGAAAAGAGATTTGGGGAAAATTTGAAATACAACACGAAATACGAGTTGGCCAATATGGATGACTTGTCGATAATGACTTGTCTACTTCGTGTTTTATTCTCCCCTTTCCGTGCCCCGGGCCTTGAACCCATCGCTGGGTTTATATTTGACCATTATCAGCAAATACAAGTCAAAGAGCACTGCTCCATCCAGTCCAGAAGTAAATTGAGGTGCTCTTAAAATAGATCCCTGAAAAGGTTCTCTCGTACCGAAGAAGATAACAAAAATCAATAATTGGCCCTTTCTGGGGCTTACAGGAGTTCCTGCCTGCTACACCAATGAGATTATACCAACGGAAGCTAAGAATGTTACGGCTGTCTTTGTAAAACAATCCAAACATACACGTTCTAGTAATAAACTTTGGGTATCTTTCAATGCGGCGAAACGAAATTTTCCGCTACTCCAAGTTTATTTGCCATTTGCTGCTGGAAATTGATATTGATTTCCCATAATCCCACGTTCCGGACAGCTGTGGTTATCAGCCCTGTATTTCGTTCACGTATCGACCGTTTTCAGACTTGGGTCACACTGGGCACGGTGTTAGCTTTAAACAAATTCCATCTTAACTTGCTCTCAGTTTTCCTATTGAGCTTCTTTTGCACTGAATCTTAGCAAAACCAAGAAACAAGAGTGTGCCATGTAGTTTCATAATTTTCAAGCAACAAAAAAGCTTTTAGAAGAAAGGGAATTTTGATTTTATCGATTTTCGGCTTGGCACCTCATCGATCTGTTACGTTATTAAACGCTTTTGCGCAGGTTGGAAATTCCCGTAATCTAACCTTTTACATTAATCAGTGGGTCATCATTATTTGATGATCCCAGAGTTACCAGGTGTGAACGTATTTGTCTCAGACATCAGATATTGCCAACAAACTAAAGCAAGGCAATCTATTACTTACATGTAACATCCGAACATTTCATTTAGATTCGTAGAGTTACACAAGAGCTGGCATATTTTTCTATAACATTTATGCTACTCTGTCATTTTTCATGCCTGCGTTTATGAAGAGAACTTAGCTTATGTTTTGATTGTTGATTCTTGGCTGGTTTTAGCTGGTTCTTGACTGGTTCTAGCTAGTTAGGCCCGTCATGCCACGCCCTGATTTCCTAGGGGTCTCCTGAATAAGTAACGACTGTGCGCTGATGTGCCCAGGGCGTGAAATTAGATTGTTTCTACTGTTGAATCTTTTAGCTGGGGATAAATCGTTGTATTGGCGTCCCGTTCGAAGTCGAGGGATAGTTTATATCATGAAGTAGAATAATCCACGATGGGCGATGAAACTTGGCGATTTCAAAATCTGAACCTTGATGCTTTTCTGAAGGAACGACGAG